CTGGACGTGTTCAAACCATCTCTGGATTAGATGGACCTGAATTCAAAGCATCACAGCACTCAGAGGTTTGCTTGTCCTCTTTCAAACTCCTTCCAAGTACCTCTCCCCAAGTTCTCCCGGCAACCCTTTATTAGCGCCTGCACACGTGTGAGGGTCACAACAGGGACCCAAGCCCAGAAGCTGCTGTTCTGACCTCAGGCACGCCGAGGCCTCCGAAGGGCCTCTCTTTCCACATCACCAGCAGCTGCCCAGTGACCCCTCTTCACCTCGTCAGGTTCATTGAAGACACAGAAGGGCCCTTCGTACTCCGGCTTGGGGGTGAACTCAAAGTCCTCGATGTCCTCTGCCACAATCTCCCTGTTGGTGATGAGGTAGCCCTGGAAGTTCACCAGCACTTGTGTGGGTTAGATACAGCTGAGCATGCCTCCTGGCACTCAGCCCAGAAACTCAGACTACAACAACCTGAGCAGCAACTGGGAGGTGCCTTAGCTTCCACCACCTCCCCCCTCCCCCCCACCTGAGCGTCTCAGACTCTCATCGGAAAGGGGAGCATGCTGGTGTCAGAACAGCTCGCTTGCTGTTTCTTGGATTCCGCTCACTCATTATTCACCCCAAAACTATGAGTCACAGGTTGCACACTGTTTTGGTTTGGGGACAAGGTCCCTCTTTCCGGGGAGCTCACATTCCAGAAGGCGCTGCTTACCTGGCCATCAATCATGTAGGAAATCATCATAATCTGGTCCGTCTCAGCATCAGGAAACTTGAGGGGCAGTTTGGTCGTCTCAATGTCAAATGCCAAAACCACAGGGTCCTAGAGGGATCCACCAAGGTTGCAGGTTCAATCCCCAGTCAGGGCACATACAAGAATCAACCAATGCAGACATGAATAAGTAAAACAAATCATTGTTTCTTTCTCTCTCGTCCTGTTTCAAAAAATCATAAAAAAAATAAAAAATAAAAAAAGAAAGAAAGAAAGAAAGAAAGGCATGGCCTCATTTTGGCCTTCATGGCAACCCCGACAGAAGACTGGCTCAGGGCTGGCATGCTGTCTTAGAAATGAGAAAACCTGATCAGGAAGCTGTCCTGAGCCAAGGCCTTCTAGTTATGAACCTGTTTTTCACCACATCACTCGCTGTCAACATCCTAAGTGGAAGCTGAGGGCTCCCTCACACTCCCATCCAGCCCATCAAACGCACTTCACTTGGGGATGCTCAGGCACAGGTGGAACTACACTCGCAGGCTGGAAACTCACCCGGAAATGACGCGTCCACAAGCCTTCCAGAAGGTATTTAGGAAGAAGCAAACAGCCTCTGAATCAGATTCACCTGTCAGCACTGGTGAGGCCTCCCGAACACCCGTGGGAAACTCGGGGGTGGAGGACAGTAGCAGCACTCACCGGCCGCTCTACCAGGTCGTCCCGGCGGGTGATCTCCACTGGCGCGGAGCTCCCTCGGTGCCTTACGTTGTACCAGTGTGCCTGCAGGACAGGTCGCCTTGAGCTAGCGTTCTGCATTTGTCTTCCTGGATTTACCCTTCAGCCCCCTCCGGCTGTCGGGCTTCACCCACTCACCACGTGGATCTTCAGGTCGATGGAGAGGCGGATGTGGTAGGGCACGTCATACTCTCGCATGTCCACGATGTTGTCCAGCTGGTCCGCAATCTTCTTCGAGGTTTCCTCTTCGTCCATAATCACACTGCCTCCTTGCAGAACACTGCCAAAGTGAGGGGGAGAGGGAGAGGGAGAAGGGTAAGTTAATTGCCGAGTTTTCCCACCTTCCATCCATCTTGTCAATTTGGGGAAATGGGAAACAGACCTGTGGGCGGACCAGCTGCTCTGCTCAGAAGGAAACCTACCTGGAGAGCATGGCCGTGTAGGTGTCACTGGAGTGGCCCTGCTCCCGGTTCTTCCTCACGGCAGGGGAGATCTCCTTCCTCACTCGGACAAGGTCCTCCACGGTGTGGAAAGACAGCTTGATGTAATTTCGCTTCAAACCCACCAAGTGATTTGGCTACAGAGTGAAGAGATGATGCTTATGAGTTCAAGAGAAAAAGGATCATATTGGGGAGAGAAAATAAGGACAGAAGGACTCAAAGGTAAATAAATGCACTTGTCAAAGAGCTGGCAACTCCAAAGCACCTGTCCAACCTGGCCTCTGGGCCCAACTATGCCACTCAAGTTCTCGGAAGAGACGTCCAGGCATCAAGGCCCATCATCGGTACCTCCCTCCCCACAGGTGCCAAACTTGGCCTCCTCCACGTCACTGCCTGCCAGTTTTATTTTATTTTTCATTTTTAAAAATTTCTTTATTGAGTAAGGTATCACATATTTGTCCTCAACCTCTAATCCAACCCTCCACTTCTCCCACTCATGCCCCCACTCCCATGGGCCCAGTTTTACATGCCCTCGAAGGTCTGAGCGGCACTCACCAAGTCCAGATCCTCTTTGGGAACGGTCTCTACTTTAGCAAGTTTACCCTGAAACTTCTTGGAGAGAAAGGATGAAACTTCTCGCTCACAACCCTAAGTCAGGACAGAACGAGAGGACTTTCCATTAGTAAAACCCATTTCCTTCCTTGCTCTCTCCAGAGGCCTCTATATTTCCAGTCCTGACGCTCCCCACAGAACACGGAGGCACAGTACATCTGAACTGATCCTTACGAGCCACAGACTTACCTTTCTGGCCGCGATGTAGAAGTATGGTTTGTAGGGCAGCGCCACCTGCAAGAGTCACCAACCCATTCAAGGGGGAGGAGAAAGGGAAAGAGAATGGTGAAGAGAGGCTGCCAGGCCCGGTGCACCCTGGTCTCGTCCCTCTTAGGAGAAATGGGGCTATTGGGATTTAGGGCTGCATGGCCCTGCCACCCTTCCCAGCTAGCTTCTCTCAGCACAGCACAACCTAGGTGGTCACTGAGGTGCTGCGAGGGCCATGATGCTGATGGGATCCAGGCAGCTGCATGGGGAGGCCTCCCAAGCCTTGCAGCTGCGGAGCTAAACAACACTCGTCATTCTCAGCTGCGGAGCTTCGTCACCAAGTGGGTCCACCTTCTTGGTTTCGGGGGGCTCACCTTAAATCTGCTCCCGTCGTCCTGGATAAAGTAGTAATCCACTGCACTGATCAGGCGTTTATCTTCATCTAAAACCTCAGTCTACAAGAATCAATATGGGCATGAGGGTGGGGGGAGGGTCATTGGGTCTGGCCCTTGCCAAGGCATTATGGGTGAGTTAATGAAATGTTCGACCAGCCCTAGGCATTTTGGCTCAGTGGACAGAGTGTTGGCCTGCGGACTGAAGGGTCTTGTGTTCAATTCTGGTCATGGGCACATGCCTGGGTTGTGGGCTCAGGAGGGGGCATGCAGGAGGCAGCTAATCAATGACTCTCTCATCATTGATGTTTCTATTTATCTCTCCCTAATACACACACACACATGTATGTATATATGATTTTAAAAGTTTGACCAAATATAGCAGGCTAATTTTTTAGCTGATAATTTTGTCTGGCCCACGGACGATGTCATACGTATCCAAAAGGCCGTCGGCAGGAAGAAGGTCCCCCACCTGCTCTACACAGTACAGCCCCTTCCTCCTGCTCTTCATGACCACCACCTCCCTCCCCACCCACACCACGGGCCTCGTCACCAGAACCCAGGGTGCACCGGGCCATAGCAGCCTCCAGAGGGGATCTCTCTCCATTTCTCCCTTATTCTTTTTTAAAATATATAAATATATTTTTATTGATTTCAGAGAGGAAGAGAGAGGGAAATAGAAACATCCATGATGAGAGGGAATCATGAATCTGCTGCATCCTGCACGGCCCCCACGGGGACTGAGCCCGCAACCCGGGCCTGTGCCTCTGAATGGAACTGAACCTGCGACCCTTCTGTCTACAGACCCATGCTCCATCCACTGAGGGACGCCGGCCAGAGCTCTCCCTCATTCCTGGAAGCTAAACTCTTACCCCCCCCCCAAACCCCTTCTTCTCAACGTCTCATATGGCCCGAAATGTTAAAAAGTAAAAGAACTCCAAACAAGCCCATCTCCACCTGTGCCACCCAAACAACAGACTCCCACGCCGAGCGCGCCCGCCCTCAGACGAGGGCGCGGGAGCCCAGTGCTCACAGGGTGCATGTTGATCAGCCAGCCCGTCTTCTCCCCGGGCTCCTTGAGCCTCTCAAACCCGAACCGAGAATCCATTTTGTCCGTCCACTGGCTGCGCTCCAGGCGCTTGAGCGCGGAGACAGAGGAGGAAGAGGGGCCATCGTCCCTGAGTGGAAGGAAGGACCAAACCTGGAGACGGCGCCCAGGGGGGGCTTGGGGCCGCCCGGAAGGTTTGGGGGCGGGGCTGGGGCTGTCAAAGCGCCGCAGAGGGGATCCTTGGGGCCCAACAGCTGTTTTGATTGCGGTGGAATCACCACCAACACATGTGTGACTGAAAGCAGAGAAGGAGCCGCCACCTCCGGGCCGCCGGTTCAGGTGACGGACGGCCCCGCCACAGCGGCCGCCCCTCGCCCGCCCCGCTCCCAGAGCGCCAGCCGCCTCTTCGGCGCGAGCCCAGAGCCACGAGGAGGAAGGCCCCGCGTCCGCCGCCCGCCCGGGCGCCCCTCACCGGCTGGCCTCGCCGTCCGCGCCGGGCTCCGCGTACCGCCGCCCGCTGTTCCTCAGCACCATCGCGCCGCCGCCGCCGCGACAGCCGCGGTGAAATTTGGCGCGCTCCCACCGCCTCTCGCGAGAGACCGGAAGCGCCCCGCCGCCCAATCAGGAGGCTCGTCGCCGAGGTCCAATCGCCGCGCGTGCCCGAGGGGGGAGGCGATCCTCCGGGCCTCGGGTGAGGAGTGCGCAGGCGCGTCGACATCCAATCGCCGCCGGCGCCCGGAGGGAGGCGGCGGGTGAGGGGCCCGAGGGCAAGTGCACGGAGGCGCTGCGGGCCGCGGAGGGGCGGGAGTGTCTGGCCGTCCCCGCGCCCGACGCCGTGCAGGCCCGGGGCGGGCTCGGCGCGCGGAGGGATGGCGCCCGCGGCGTCCAGACTGCGGGCTGAGGCCGGGCTCGGGGCGCTGCCGCGGCGAGCGCTCGCCCAGTACCTGCGCCTCCTGCAGCTCTACCCGGTGCTCACCAAGGCGGCCACCAGGTCGGCGCGCGGCGGCCGTAGCCGGGCGGGGGGCGGCGTGGACCCCCGGGTTGGGGCCTCCCGGGGGGCTGAGTGAGGAAAGAGAAATCCCGCGTGTACCACGAGCTTCCGGAGCCCGCGGGGAGCTCGGCAGCTGCTGTTCGATGCGATCGGCTCGGAACAGTGATCCGTAGGCGCCGACGCTGGGCAGAGGAAGCACCCCATCTGGGGGTCCTGCGGACCAGTTCCCGGAGGGGCTGGGAAGGGCCCTGTACCCGTCAGAGGGCGAGGTGATGGGGTCGGTCTTCTTGGCAGAGCTCCGCGGGATGTTGGTCAGCTCCGCCTTTAATTGGCAGCTCTAAACTTTTTATGAGACTTTCCCCCGCCCGTTACCCTCATTTCACTAATTTTATAAGCTTGTTCCCTCTTATTAGTCCAGTCTTTCGTCAGTATGCACAGCATGCTCCCTGAGTGCGGGCATCGGACAGGTGGGCAGGGCCCTGGCCCGCACAGAGGCCGCATTTTAGCGAAGAACTAGACAAAAAGCAGATAAATGCATAAAACGGGGACATTTGAACAGAAGCCTGAACGAAGGGGTGCGGGGCAGAAGGGCAGCAAATGCTTTGGCAGCGGGTCCAGCAGAGCAAAGGTCCTGAGGGAGGGGCAGGCTCTGGAGTGGGAAGGCCTGTGCATAGTGAGCAGGGAGAGGGTGAGGAAGGAGTAGCCAGGGGTCAGATCCAGGGATCAGCACCCACAGGGAGCCCTTTGGATATTTCAGCTCAGAGAGCTTCTTGGAAGTCAGCGAAAGACCAAGCTTTGGAGACACTGGGCCTCTTTCTTCATGAACGTTTTTATTCTGACAATTGGAGACTCACATGCAGTTACGAGGAATAACAGAGATCCCTGTACACTTACCCAGTCTCCACCCTCGGAAACAATTGTAGAACGAATACACTATCACAACCAGAACACTGGTGTGGGCACAGTCCATCGGTCAGACTCAGATTTCCCCAGCCTTTCTTTTTCTTTTAAATATATCTTATTGATTTTTTATTTATTTATTATTTTTTTACAGAGAGGGAGAGGGAATAGAGCCAGAAACATCAATCAGCTGCCTCCTTGCACACCTCCTACTGGGGATGTGCCCAAAACCAAGGTAACATGCCCTTGACTGGAATCGAACCTGGGACCCTTCAGTCAGCAAGCCAACGCTCTATCCACTGAGCCACACTGGTCAGGGCTCCCAGTGTTTCTTGCACTTGCCAAGTGTGTGTGTTTAGTTCCATAGCTTTCTCACGTGTACAGGTTTTATCTGCCAATGGAGTCAAAGTTCACTCTTCATAAGGACCCCTCCCGTCACCTACCCGCCACACAGGGTCGCCTTTGGCAGTGATGATGTATCACCCTCAGGACATCGACACTGGCACACCCACCAAGTGAGATCCGGCTGGGGTCCCCACCCTTTGACACAGGCACCTTGCACTGCAGCTGCTTTGATGAGGACTGGTCTCCGCCCTCCCCAGCCCAATCTCAGAACAGCCCTCCTGCTGGTCCTCCCGTTCCTTACTCCCTCTCTGTCCACAGCGGCGTTTTGTCAGCACTTGGGAACTTCCTGGCCCAGACAATTAAGAAGAGGAAAAAAGGAAACTGCTCTCAAAAGCTCGATGTCAGCGGGCCTCTCAGATATGCCATTTATGGGTGAGTTCCACAGTGGAGCCCAGGGCACCCAAGCCAGGGTATCGAGATTCTGGAGTAATCTAATTTGGAAAAGTAATTGTAAAAAGCACTGGAGGAATAATGGAAGGAAATCAGAACGAGATAACGTTAGCTTATTTACTAACTTTATATGGTCAATTTTAATTTCATGGGTGGGCATGGCCTCTTCACTGAGCTGAGAAAACTAAGAGCAGATAACTCCCCAGAACCTAGAGGCCAACCTCAAGACTCTAAGGCCCATGGGAGTGGACATCAGACTCAGATACGGCCAGTTAGTTATTTCATAGCATTAGCATTAGAAAAGCATCCAGGTGTCCTTTAAAATGTCCAGTTTCCGAACCACTTATTGAATTACAAAAGCTCAGAGATTCAGCAGTTTTACTGATTAAACCCTCCCTGAGTTCTCTGGCCAAAAGTAGTGTTTGTATAGATGGATATTTTTTAAGTCTTTTGCAACAAGTGATCCCCCCCACCCCCCAATTTGAAATTCACAGATGCCATTTCTGTCCACATTGTTAACTTTACTCAGCGTATTGAAAGCTGTAATTTCCACCCCGGGGAGGGGACCAGAGCCATCTGGAGGCCTCACCCACCAGTTTCCCATCCTCAAGGCTTCCATTCTCCTCCCATGGAGAAGCCCTGCTCCAGGCCACGGGTCCTCAGCGTGAGAACGGACAAGGAGAACCACTTGTGTAAAGGCTTTCACTGAGAAGTGGGAAATCCCCGAGTCCCTGCCCATCTTTCTATGACTGAGTTTTAGGGGGCAGCAGCTCATTGTCCAGGTGCTGTGGCTGAACCCAGGTCTCTGCACACTCTGGGAAGAGCAGCAGCAACTCGAGCAAGCAGGTGCACAGCCCAGGGTTCACCCTGGCTAACTCCCGAGGGTTTGATGAGAAATTCACTTATTCATGCTGAGCACCTTCGACGCCGGCCCTGCCCAAGGCACTGCAGACAGCAGTGAACAGACAGGCACGGTCCTGGCCTGTGACCGCTTTACCTTCTGGGGCAGAGAGAGGGCACTGTGCACTAAGCAAAGGAGTCATGGCACGCGGTGATAAATGCGGTGAGGAAAGCCACCTGGGCCTGGAAGAGGGGCAAGGACAGCAATGGGCTTGTGACCTGGAGCCAGCAGGAAAGGACCCTCCAAGCCGCAGTGTTGAGAAGGAGCCGGCAACTTGAAGGAGGCAGTAGCCCAAGGCAGGAAAAGTCCGGTCTGTGAGAAGCAGGCAGGGATGCTGGAAGCAGATTCAAAGCACACTTTCCAGGACCAGGGTCTGTGTGGTCATTGCTGAGAGAGGCAGGGTTTGGGGGTGAGCCCAGCCCTGAGAAGGTGGCCCAGCTTCCCCCGCTTCCCTGTGGCCTCAGGTTCTTCTTCACAGGACCACTGAGCCACTTCTTCTACCTCTTCATGGAGCACTGGATCCCGCCCGACGTGCCCTGGGCCGGGGTCAAGAGGCTGCTGCTGGACCGCCTCCTCTTCGCGCCGGCCTTCCTGCTGCTGTTCTTCTTCGTCATGAGCTTCCTGGAGGTCGGTCTCTGCCGCTGCTCCCCACCGGGCAAGGGCGCTTAGCCTGGCCCTGGGGGGATTCAGGGTCCGCCTCTCACATGGAAGGGTCATAGCTGCCGTGATCAACGTCAGAAGCAAAGCACCGCCGTCCTGGCAGTGCCTGTGGGCGCGAGGGGATACCACGCAGTCGGGTGTCCCTGATCGTGGGTTGTGCGGCCGCTCCTCGGGTCAGGCCACTGAACGTGTTAACGAAACACATCCTCTAGCCTGTCCCCACACTTTCTGACACGTGGATAGCTGTCCTCAGTGTAACGGTTCCCTCAGCAGTCCTGTACATTTTATTTATTTATTTAAAAAAATATATATTTTATTGATTTTTTACAGAGAGGAAGAGAGAGGAATAGAGAGTTAGAAACACTGATGAGAGAGAATCATCGATCAGCTGCCTCTTGCATATCCCCTACTGGGGATGTGCCCACAACCAAGGTACGTGCCCTTGACCGGAATCGAACCCGGGACCCCTCAGTCCGCAGACGGACGCTCTATGCACTAAACCACACCGGTTTCGGCTCCTGTACATTTTATACATTACAAAACATGATTCTGAAGAGGGTTGGTGATGTTGCGGAAGCCTGAGCTAACTCAGCACCCACAGAGTATGGGTGCTCCGAGCAGGCCCACTTACCCACACCGAGCCCACGTCAGAGCCTGCCGCACCAGGCCAGGTCTGCTCTAATGGGCCCTCCACCCCCTCCCACCGCTCTCTGCCAGCCTGCTCTGGGCCCATAATGGGTCGTGATCTGCCTTGGAATTTGTTACAGCCAATCGCAGCAGGTAAAGGCTTCTCACTCAGGTTTTACTTAGAAAACTACATCTCCAGTTCTCGTCACTAAGGAGAATAACCTGTGTTGTGTAAAGTGGCCCTGGGGATAAGTAGGAATATGTTTAGACTTAACTGTGATTGCTCGTAATCCCTGAGAGTAAAAAGAAATGCCTGGGAAGTCCTCGGGACATCTGAGCCCGGAGGAAGCAAAGGGTGCCCACATTGGAAGTGAGCGTACAATGGCTGTTTCTTTTTATTTCCTTCCAAATGCAAAGGGAGCGTATTTTCATTGAAGAGTAAAAAGTGTCATCAAAGTGCATCAAATCCTGGCACATGAAGGATATATGTAGGAGCACAGTGGGCCACAGCTCACACTAACAGTCACACACATTCCAGCCACCGCTGCAGCCGGCGTTCCACCTGCCAGTGTCCCGCCACAGGCCATCCTTTTGTGCGGGATTCCTGGTTGGCCAACTCCTAGAACCGTCCAGAGGAGGGTTTGCCCTCCCGGCAGTGATGCAGGATCAGAGCCCTCACACCTACCCTACATCATCGGCCAGCTCAGGGCGAGGGCGAGGACACAGGTCCCCAGTGTGAGCGCTCACTGCTCTGGTGGTTCCCCAAGTGGACTTAGAGCTGACCGGCTCCTTACCCACCCCATGTGTTGCCCATGTTTACAAGCAACAAAGTCGATCGTGAGAACCCCCACTATATTAGGGTTTGGGGTCCCCAGACCCAGTGCCCCAATCTCCGCCTGAGGCATGGGGCTCCCTCACCGTGGTTTCCTTCCAGGGCGGACACGCTGCCGCTGGCGTTGCCAAGGTGAGGAGCGCGTTCTGGCCGGCCCTGCAGATGAACTGGCGCGTGTGGACCCCGGTGCAGTTCATTAACGTCAACTACGTCCCCATCCAGGTGAGGCCGTCAGCCTCCCCCAGAGGCCATTTCCCATCAGTCCCCTTTCCCCCTTGCGACAATCTTTGTTTTCTCAGGGTGACTGTCACTGGGGACCTCTGTCCACACCTCCTTTCCTCTTGGAAGGCCAGGGGTGGGTAGGGCAGACTGAAGAGGGTTAAGGGGTAAACTTGAGAGCGAGCAGACACGGGGGCCACGGGGGCTGAAGACCTGCCTGTGCACGGGCCTGGGGCTCCAAGAGTGAGAGGTAGGGAGGGTCGAGGGTTTTCCCAAGAGTGAACCCAGGGGACAGGTAGGTAAGGAGACCATGCACTCTCCCCAAAGAAGGAAAGACATGAGAAGACAGGATGGCTGAGGATACAGACCTGTGGTTGTCAGAGGGCAGGCTGGACAGCGGGATCTGTGAAGGTAGCAGGGACAGAGTGCCCTGTGGCTGAAGCTCCATGTTAGTTGGTTGTAGGTATGCCTAAGAGGCAGTGGTTTATTCAACAAATGTTTGCTGAGCACCTGCTACCCGCCCTGCTGCTCAAGACTTGGGATCCAGTGGTGAACCAGACAGACCAAACTGTTTCTTCCAAGTAGCTGACCTTCCAGATAGACTCGCTGACCAGAAGTCCGGGGGGGTTTGCCTGTGAGATCACTGAGGCACGGCAGTGGGACAGTGACAGCTTAGAGTGAAGAGCAGGTCCGGAGGGTGTCAGAAGGACTGGAGGAAGCCACCTTGTGATGGCCAGTCCCAGGGTACGAGGCCGAGCCAGGGCCTGAAGCTGTGTTCATGAAGGAAGGTAGGGGACAGTTACTGTGTTCCCCTGCTGGTCTGTGTACACCTGGCTAGGCAGGAGCTCTGTCTTCCCCATTGCTCTCTGGGGCGGTGGTGGTGTGTGTCTGGCCCAGGGCTCCGGACAAAGTAAAGGCCTGTAAGTGCAATAGGCTGGCTGGACCCGCCAGGGAAGGAACTCTGCCCGAGGGGACTGGTGCCTGGTGGGTGTGGTCAGGGCCTTGCGCTCACTTGGGCCTCTGTTCCCTCCGGCAGTTCCGCGTGCTTTTTGCCAACCTGGTGGCTCTGTTCTGGTACGCCTACCTGGCCTCCCTGGGGAAGTGAGGATGACCGGAGAGACTACATCCGCATGGCCAAGCTACACCCGGGGGAGTGCTTGCCTGCCCAGGGTGAGAGCAGAAACAGCCGGGTCAGAACGAGTCTGACTCCAGATCATGTGATCAACGTGCCCTGAAATGATGGAGAAGCAGCAACCTCAAAAACACTAAGAACAACTTCATTTGTCACCTTAGACTGCATTAGGATCACAATAAACTATAATTAACTGTTTTCAAGGGTAATTTAAGTTTCTCCTAATGACTGCTGTGGCTTTGGGGGCTGCCCTCACGTCTCTTTTTACTTAAAAACAAACAAAACAACAACAAAAACGTGTGTGTGTGTGTGTGTGCGCGCGCGCGCACGCGCGCGCTTCAGAGAGGAAGGGACAGGGAGAGAGAGATACATCAATGATGAGAGAGAACCATTGACTGGCTGGGAATGGAGCCCCCAACCTGGGCATGTGCCCTGACTAGGAACCGAATCGTGACCACCTGGTTCACTGGTTTATGCTTAACCACTGAGCCACGCCAGCTGGGCCAGAGAGGTTTTTTTTAAAAAAATGTAACTCAGATCATGTCACTTCCCAACCTGAACACCCGCAGGGATGACCCAGGAACTTCACTTATGGGCAACGCAACCCCAGAGAACCGAGAGCAGGGACTGGAAGAGAGATTTGCCCACGCGTGTCCACAGCATGGAGGTGGAAACACCCAAGTGTCCACCAATGGATGAAGGGAAAGCCAGATGTGGGCTCTCTATACAGTGGAACCTTATTCAATATTAAGAAGGAAGGGAAGTCAGGCTCCTGCTACATGACGGAGGTGGAAGAAGCTGTTCCCCAAAGAAAAAGTATTAGACGATCCCACTTATACGCGGTCCCTCGAGTCAACCGCATAGAAACAGATGGCGGGAGCCGGAGCCGCGCGGGAAAACGCGGAGTGAGTGACGTGGACGGGGAGTCCGGGAGGACGTAGCGGGGACAAGGGCGGTGTCGGCTGGTTAAGACAGTAAGCCCGGTGGCGCCTATTTTACTACAAACGAAGCCCCCTCTCCTCCCCGGCGGCCCCACAGTTCACTAAACTGAACCCCGAGTGCTCCGAGGCCGCCTCGCCCGCCTCCTCTCCGCGCCTGCGCTCCCCCGGACCCCGCGCTGTCCGGGCGGCGGGGACACTCGCTCTCGAAGGCTCCAGTGACCTGCACCCGGACTTTCTGCAGGAACTGAGGGGGCACGAACCACAGAGCGGTCACTCACCTCTCCGCTGCACCTTCTACCGGAAGTTGGTGTTCCCGGCTGCCCCCGCGGCCCGGAGCCCTAGGAGGCGGGACTTCCGCCCCGCAGCGTCGGCGCGCACGCCGGACCAGACGTCGGCGGAAGCGTGAGCTGCGCCGCGCGCCGTCCGCGCTCTTAGGCGCGTGCGCGGAGCGGGAGGCCCGGCAGGCATGGCGTTCCGGCAGGCGCTGCAGCTGGCGGCCTGCGGCCTGGCGGGCGGCTCGGCCGCCGTGCTCTTCTCGGCCGTGGCGGTGGGAAAGCCCCGCGCGGGTGGGGACGCGGAGCCGCGCGTGGTCGAGCCGCCGGCGTGGGCGGGAGCCGTGCACCCCGGGCCCGGTGTCTGGAACCCCAACTGGGACAGGTGCGCGGCCGGGGCTGCAGGCGGGTGGTGGGTGGGTCCTCCCGGCCCCTCGCCGCGCCGCTCGGTCCGGAAGCCGGTTCACTGAGGGCGGCGTGCTCCGTGCGGGGTCTCTGGCCTGACGTGGGGCGATGCCCCCGCAGCTGCAGCCCCTCGTCTGCCCAGAGGGCTCTTCGGAGGGGCGAGCGCAGGCGGCGGGGACGGGAGTCATTTCCGTTCTGGGCTGAGGACCTCGCGGCGGGGCTGCCACCCGGTCCCTCCCTGCGCTCCTCCGGGGGGAGGTGGCTGTCGATCCCCCCGCGCCGGGAGGAGGGTGTGGATGCTGAGGAGGGAGGACGCGCCGAGGCGGGACTCGCAGGCGCCTCCCGGGACCTCGGGTCGGCCCCTGGCCCCAAACACGTGCCCTTATCAGCACTTGAAAGGTGACTCCTGTGACCTGGAAACGGTTCTTAGTCTCATTGAACGTTAACTTACATTTTAAAACCAAAGCCGTGCAGGTGCGTAGGGGCTTAGCTGCCGGCAGTACTTGTGACCCATCGGATAAGTAAAAGGGAGTTCCTGAATGAAATCCCACCGCCTCTTCCTGCCTGGAAAGTCCCATGTGCTGCTTAGCGTGACTGGGGAAGTGGAGTTTCATTTTCATTTCATTTTCTTTGTTTTGAATGAAGTAGCCACAGGGCTAATGGCTACTGTTGGACAGACTCAGCCTCCCCTTCCTCGGGCTGTGGCCACCCTCCCACAGCCGCTCCTCCCCGTTTCCTGCTTCCTCTCTCCGTCTTCGCTGAAGGGCTTTGGGTGTCTGTCTGCCCACAGGAGGCCTGGCACCCGGCTCTGGGTGGACGAGGGCATTGGCTCCTCGCTGTTTTTGCTGGACAGCGAGGCTGTCTTGTCAGACGTTCTTAGGGGTGACGTGAGGAGGGACATACAGTCTCCTGTCTCAACAACAGGCGAGAACCACTCTCTCTGGTCAACCTCCGGAAGAGGAACTCGTGCTCCGGAGACGAGGACGTGGCGTCCAGGATAGACAACTACAAAGCCAAGGCCACGCGGCACATCTTCCTCATCAGGCACTCCCAGTACCACACGGATGCCCCCCGGGAGAAGGACCGCACCCTGACACCCCTGGGTATGTGGCGGGGCTCGGCCCCGAACGGCCCCTGTGGCAGGGACCTCTGGCCCAGGTTTGAGCATTGTCATCATCGGTAATTCTCAGCCTCCGACACAAAACAGGCTTTGGGAACGTCCTCAGCTTTTTAAATCACCAAGATGCTGTGGGTGTGGTTCCAGGCCACGGCAGTAAAGCTGGTTGTCATTGTTGTGCTGGTGGAGGGTCTTGCCTTCAATTTGTAAAAAAAGCAAGGTCATGCAGCAGCAGAAAACAAAGTTGCCCGTGCAGGGGCGGGGGAGGGTTTGGCGCAGGCAGCGACACCCATGTTCATGTCTGTGGGGCTCACAAAGCCTTGGAGCCTCAGCCTTTGGACAGAGTTGAGTGAGATTGTGTGAGGGACTCAGAAGTAGTAGGCGGGGCCCACCCGATGTTAGAATCCTCTACCTTCGTCATTGTTTTTAATGTTTTCTTCTGCCTGGGACTGGAGGTCACCAGATTGTCTCGTTACTTGGTAAGGACTAAAGTGTTTGTGGGGTACACAGGAGGGACTCCAGCTGCATGTAATTCTCACGTTTCACCTTCAAGGTCGTGAGCAGGCTGAGCTCACTGGCCTCCGACTTGCAAGCTTGGGGCTGAAGTTTAATAAAATCGTCCATTCCTCCATGACCCGGGCAGTGGAAACCACCGACATCATCAGCAAACACCTGCCAGGTGAGTGGCTGTCCCGCTCCCTCAGCCCCTTGAAGGGACCCCGGGGTCTCCGCTGACCCCTGCTGCTCCTTCCGCAGGGGTCTGCACGGTCAGCACCGACCTGCTGAGGGAAGGCGCCCCCATCGAGCCCGACCCGCCTGTGTCTCACTGGAAGCCGGAAGCTGTGGTAAAACGCCCGAGGACACTGGTCTCCCGCCCTTCCCTTGCTGCCCCTGGCACTCCCTTCCTCCCTCCGTTGGCCTGGCTGCCCCCTGGCTTAGGTGCCTCTCTCTGCCCCCAGCAGTATTATGAAGACGGAGCCAGGATTGAGGCCGCCTTCCGGAACTACATCCACCGGGCGGATGTCAAGCAACAGGACGACAGTTACGAGATCTTCATATGCCACGCCAACGTCATCCGCTACATCGTGTGCAGGTGAGGGCCCCTTGGCGCCTCGGCCGGCCTGCCTCTGGCCTGCACACTGTCCCGGAGGCCGCAGGTCTGGTAACGTCTCGTGTGGAGTTTCTCATGATCATATGTTTGGGCAGCAGTTGCCTAGGTCCTGTCCCGGTGGTGCAAGGTGGCCCTGGGTGAAGGCACCGTTTCGTGTGTGTGCACCTGTCCCTGCAGTCGTGTCTCCCCTCGGGGTGATGTGCCCACATCCTGTTTCCTCGGGTTCACACCGACTGAGTGGGGGGCGCCTGGGCTCCACACCCTTCACTCAGGTGCTCTGGGGGCCCAGCCTCAGCGTTGATTCCCAGGGCCGTGCTGTTTGCTGCTCTGGGCACCTGAGGGCGAGCTGTCTGGGGCTGCTGTGCTGTGTACAGGACAGAGCATGTTCACATCCTTGGACAGATTGGCCTAAGCAAGGCCCTGGGTGACCCTCATGCTGAAACAGCACCAAGGGTGACCTGTGCTAACTGAAAGGCCAGAAAGAGCCAAAGCGTCTCCGTGGTGACAGGGTGCTCTGCTGGCTGACTTAGGGCAGACGCTGAGGACAGGGAAGGGACAGACTGGAGCAGGGTTATTCCTTTAAGTTGTGGCTGCTGGTGAAGACAAGCCGGGCCATGCTCCTGGTCCCCAGGCTTTGGGCACGGAGGCTGTGTGGTGGGTGACACAGTGACACAGCTTTTAGTAAACACTAATCATGCCTCATGGAAAGCAGGAAAGGCTCCATGGCCATGGGCTGTCCTGGCCTGGGCTTCTGGGGACAGGCTCTGGGCATTGCTGCTGGGCTGTCCCTGCCTGTCTGTCACAATGGGAACAAATCATGTGTACCCAGAGGACACCAGTGGGTTCTGACTCGTGTGCAGGTTGTGACCTGTGCTGCCATCCCACAGCTGCTGTCACTCAGCCCAGCGCCTGGTCTGAGGTGGGGCCTAGAGCTCACAGTCCGATCCCTGCAGTACCTTCTCCCTCCCCCCAGGGCGCTGCAGTTCCCTCCAGAAGGCTGGCTCCGCCTCTCCCTCAACAATGGCAGCATCACCCACCTGGTGGTCCGGCCGGACGGCTGTGTGGCACTCAGGGCCCTCGGGGACACAGGGTTCATGCCTCCGGACAAGATCTCCCGCTCCTGAGGGCCCACTCCTCACTGTGCCTGGCTCTGGCATCTGGCACGGGGGCCTCCAAGAACACAGAGACTGGCCTCTGTCCACTCCGCAGGCTACACTGCGGTCACTCCATTTCTCTAGGACCAGGCGGAGGTGGAGTGGTGTCTACATCGCCGCCATTGTCCTGGCCTAGGATGGAAAGGAGGAACTTTCTGGCCCTTTGGCGAGGCTTCCTCACGGGTGTCACCGTGGAGACCACAGCACCCGCAGTGGCCACACGAGCCCTTGAGGCACTCAGCAAAGCCGTCGGCACCAGGGACTCGGAGAGCCCAGCATTTCCATCTGTAACTTATTCCACTTCATACATTCTCCACATTTCTTAAAGCCTTTGGTCACTTTGTCAATAAAGATTTCCATCTGTTCTTGTGTGGGAAACCACTGTCTCACTCCGAAGTCCTGTGTCCCTGAAGCTGTTGGGTGAGTGAGGCGAACGTATAACCACTACACTACGGAAACGGCTTGCTGTTGAGTGTGAACACACCTGTTGTTAGTCTCTGGCCAGGTGAGAAGGGGTGCCACCTGCTGGTTTCAGGGGAGGGTCAGGTGGGGAACAGCCAGAAGAGTCCTGTTTCAGTAAAATAGCTGACAGCTCATTCTGTTTGCCTCTGGCTATTAAACTTTTATGCTTATGGATTAAAATACTTTTATGCTTATGGATTAAAATACTTGGACAATGATGTGTCCATCCAAATATTTACAAAAATTACAATTTCTATGAAGTGGTTATGAACTTTTTCTGCAGTGCAACTAAATGGGATGTCTGATCCATGTCTCTGTCAACTTTGGAAATAACTACAAAATAAAACTTTATTTTACTGGTTTTCAAAGTACTAATTGTGAATGTTTTAAAGAAACCAGAAGCCTGTACAGCCTGACAAAGGCAGCCACACTGGCTGGGACACCCAGGAATGACGGCCTTGCTGGGCAGCTGAGGCCTGAGCCAAGACCGTGAGTCCTGACATGACAAATGGCATTTTAGAAGCAGCAACCACACACACCATTTCTGGGGCATTTTGACAGCTAACCTGGGATCTGTGCCAACTTCTAAAACCACAAACATGACAGGAGCACGTATGTCTGACCTCTATGAGGCAGGGGAGCCCAGCATGAGCCCTGGACTCAGGGGTGCTACAGGCCTGAAAGTGGGGGGCAGGCCCTCTTCCCTGTCCTACCTGTTTGGTGGCATTTCTGCCCTTTGCACAATCTGTGAGGAGCAAGATAGCCTTCCAGAAACCGGAAATGAGCCCCCTCAAGGGGGACACAGCTAAAGAGCAGGAGGAGAGTGTTGGGCATTCAGTTACAGTGACCGGTGGAAACAGGACAGGTGACCAGAGGCTGCTTCTCACACGACAGGACCAGTAGTCAGCAAAAACCCTATTTTAATTTCATCTGAGTATTTACAGCAATATACAGCACAGCAGGTAAGATTCTAGGAAAAACAGGTCAGCACTCTGAACATCTGCATTCTGATTTCTATTGAGAACAGATGCCTTTTAAAATGCCATTGGCTTTTACAATACGTTATTTTCTGTCTTATATCTAGACATGAAAACACCTTGTGTAACCACCATTAGAATTTTTAAATCTAAATCTTGATTCTAATATTCCTGACCTGCCTCTTGTTGTGTGAAATAACAATTTTCACGAATGAAAAAATCTCTCACACTGTACATTCTCAAAAAACAAGCTCAGAAAAAAATAAAAAACGATTTACAAAAGGCACTGAAGTCAGTAAAGCACAGGTAAAGTTTCTGTCCTTGGGCATCTGGTCTGGGCCGAGAGCTGTGGTGAACCCCACGCTCTGCACACAGACGGGGAGGGAGGACCCCTAAAGGAAACTTGAGCAACTAAACCAGGCCAGACCTGCCAAAAGCCAAAGTGACCTCTAGTTTCTGTACACGTTATGACGGAACTCCAACTGAAGCGAATTCTAAAACGAGATAATTTCAAAACCAAGAACAACTGACAGATCATCCCATCCCGCTGCACCGGCAGCACCGAGCACACGCAGCTCAGAGCTGGCAGGAGGAAACACCTGGCTGTGCAAGTCCTGCTTGACTAGCATTCGCCTCCCAATGGCTGCACATTTCGTCCAAGAGAACGAACGGCTTTAACTTCATCCAACCAAGGAGCCCAAAAGTGAAAACCCTCCCTGGAAAAGGAAGGTGAACAAAATCACCTTAGTTGTCAGAACAGTTGAAGTGAGCATGGCTGTGACGGGGCGGGGGGGTGAGGGGGAGGAGGGCTGGTCCCGCACGCCATTGTGGGAATGCAGGCAGCTTAGCTCCTGCCACACACGATATCACTGGGCTGCATCACGCTGAGTTTTCAGAAAACGTACCCGCGTTTGCTTTCAACTTCTCTCAAAATGCCAGAAACCTAAAGTTTACATGAAACATCTGCATTTTCTAGAACTCTCTTACTCTCAGAATGAGGGTTAATAAGTGAATGAGAATAAAATTTTGTAAATTTTAGCAATGCACACGTTACCCTTCTCAATGACGCGAGAGCCCAGCACCCACACCAGCCTACAAGGCTGCGTGTGGGGCCAGGCGCACCATCCTGCGCAGGCGGCACCCGTTGGCAGGGCTATAGCGCCCCGGGCTGCCCATACTGGGGGAGAGGGGGGCAGAGCTGGGCTTCCTGGGGCTGCCCCCCGCGGGACCACTTCTTCCTGGGCTGCAGCTCGTCGGGCAATCAAGATCCGGCAGCTGAGATGTCAGCTTCCCTTTTATCGAGGGGCTCGGCCAACTGAGGAAACCAAGAAAGGTCTGTGAGACGGTGGGTGTGGGCAGTGTGGAGGCCACAACAGGACCTGGGCTCCTGCTCCTGAGCCGGGGCTCCACTGTGGCCCCACCAGAGGCCCTTAGAAGCTCAGAACACTGCCCCTGAAGACTCACAGCTCATGTGACTGTCCACGTGGATCCCACATGACCATGACCAGGAACCCCGGGCACCCCCCCACCTGCAGCCTCCCTGTCAGCAGTACCCTTCTGTTCCTACACCCACTACAGACCTCCCTTCCGCAGTGCCCCAGCCACAGCTTCACCAGAGGAACTACACGCTAGCGTGGCAGTCAGTGTTCTGGCGAACCACCAGGTGTATGTGGGCCAGAGCGCTCCGGATGCTAGTGCCAGCAACCCCTGGGCTGTGGTACCTCTGCCTGTCGGAGGGTGGGTAGCCCAGGACAGCGCTCCTCCACCTGTGCACGGCAGGGTGCTGCTGAGGGTCCAGGACTGCAAACTCCAGAGCTGCCAAGACGTCGCGATCCAGTTTGGACGGCTCTTCCCTGCACGACATCATAGAGAAGAGAACATGTGACTAGGACAGGCTTCACACCCTGTCTTAACTCGGACCCAGCACGGTGTGGGGAACACCCCATGGTGTCCCACCGCCCCAAGACCCATCCCTGCTGTGAAAGCGCAGTCCTATTTCCACTGCTGAGAACCACCAACTGGCCAGGCCACCTGGGAGGTGGAGACAGACCCCAGTAGGACTTTCTTTCTAAAACAAGCTACATTCTTAGAACGTTTTGTCATTCTGGGGGCAACCATTTCCCCAGGAAGGACAGCAGCACAAGGACGAGCTAAAAGGACGGGTTTCCATCAGCCCGAGCGCCAGGCTATGGCAGAGAAAGCTTTCAGAGAACCAGTCAGTGTCACACGCACATCCCTCACTCCACATCACTGCACTCAGACCTGCCCCACAGCCACCCTCATGCTCACCCACTCCTACCCCAGAAGGAAGAGCCTCCGGACAGGCTCCTTCCTGGCGGTGACCCCCAAGGGCTCGGAGGACGCAGAGGTGCAGCTGTGCTGGGCCTCATGGCCGGGACAGTGGAGGCCCAGGCACATGTTGGCAATGCCCGCTGATATCTCGCCTTCTGTCCTTGCTTGATTGCTTCCGAGTCTGCCGGCCGCAGGAGGCTCTGCATCACTGTCCACCGCTTCTGGTCTCGCCGTCAGGATCTCCTCCTCTCTCATTTTCACACTTTCACTTGGTGTCTCGGGAAACCCACTTCCTAGATTCTGCAACTGGAGCTTATCGAACTCCACAGTCAAGCCGGAGACAGGCGACGAGAGGGCTTCCTCCGCACTGGCGGCCTCTGTCCCCTTCCCGCTCCCGGGGCTGCAGAAGCCGTTCCTGCTGCCGGGGGGACAGGACCGCGCCGCGTCTTCTATAAGGTCCGCCCTCTGCTCCGAGGGCAGGATGTCACCCCCCGAGCCTCTGGAGGCCCTGGATGAGGGCTGGCTGTGGTTCCGAGCTGTGTTCTGCCGGTTTTTAATCTCTTCCAAGCTCATGTCACCGTCTTCCCCCAGAAAGGCCCTCACGGAGATGGGATCGCTGCACTTCCCACGACAGCCTGTGGGGAGACAGAGTGGCTCCTCAGTGCAGGTAACAGAGTCCGAGGACATGCACTCAGACAGCACAGTCCCCATGACCAACCCGCCTCTCATCACAGCCTCCTCAGACACAAGACCGACCACCCACCCTGCTCCAGGGAAGGACCAGCAGGGAAGCAAACTGAAGCAGCATCCAGGAAAAGGAGAAGGCAGCCAAAACCGAAGCAGCCACAGGGAGGGTGGGCGGCCTGGTGCCTCCCTCTGATCTAGGACCCCGGGCACCGAGAGCCTGAGGGGCAGAGGAGCATAGGCGCTCACGCATCGGCAGGGATGTGCTCCTGGTCCAAGTCCTGGGAGCACAGGGATGCCCACAGGCCCTCACCAAAGGCAGAAGCCTCGTTTTCTCCTAGGTCTCGTTGGGCCTTTCTGCCCACTTCCTGCTGTGCGAGGTATTCCTCCAGCTTCTGCAGGCCCTCCTGGGAAGACAGGTCAGCGAAACAGCCCAGAAAGTCCCAGTACTCGACCCAGGGGTACCCCAGCTCGTGAGCCAGCTGCCTGTGGGAATAAAGCACAGGAGAGTTGTGCAACCAGAGGAAAAACTCCCAGAGCTGTCACACAGCAAAGAGCAGTTAAGGAAGAACACCGCAACCAGACACACCTTCCCAACACCACAGAGATAAAAGACAAAACAGCAAAAACAGACAAACGGTTAGTTTTAATAAAAGAGTGATAAAAAGTTGGATAGGATTCTTGTTTTGGCCAGGCATATAAAATTTACAAGTTCTTTTCAAGTGCAAGCTGTACACCTGAAACTGGGCACAGATTTTGTGAAAGGTTCTAGAGCAATTCAGTGACGCTTTATTTGACTGCATTGTAATTTGGCTCCCTGATTATGACTTACAGCTTCTAGCCAGCCTGAGTCTTGTGTTCTATTTTCTCCCGCCCTGCCAAGGAAGCACCCATGGTAGGCCACCTCACTCCAAACTCGTCCACTCCTCAGACACGGTGTCCCCTTGAGGAGGGATGCAGCATGTACAAGGTTTGCAGGAACCAGAGCTCAGGAAGGTGTCCTGGGAACTCTGGCTCTCAAGGCAGACGTCCCGAGCTCCCGCCCGCCAGCACACGCACAGTGGGGACACATGCCTTCGCCATGCGGCGGCCACGCCTGCGACGCCTTCCTACCTTCCCATTCTCTCCATGCCCCGTTCTGGGTCCGATTTCCGGATACTGTGGAAGAAGCCTGCTTTCTCCCGAGGCGGGGTTTTCCAGAACCTGCGAAAATCTCTTGCCTACGAGGAGAAAACGTGTGAGCTGTGCGACGGGGGCAGCGAGGAGCTCCTGCTGGAAGCTTCCACAGCAGCTCACCTTGGCTGGACTCATGGGCCCTGCGAAGGCTCTCAGGGTCAAAACGGGGTCCCTGGGGCTGCCTCCACCATGGCTGACGTGCGTAGTCTCGGCCGTCTGGTCTGGGGACCACAGCTCCCCGATCACTGGGGACGACGTGTCCTCTGCCCTCAGGAGAGGCACGTAGTAGTGACCTGGGAAGACACCAGCGCTGATCCACCTGCTCAGACGCTCCTCATCTCAGGGCGTAAGACACCACACAGCGATGCCATGCTATTTGCAAGGAAAGGCTGCCATCTCTGGAGCTGAAGGACCTGACGAGAGGCCAGTCTGTGCCAGTCTCACTAATGAGCCTACGTTCTCCCTCTGCCAGGAAGAAAAAGAGGAGGAGAGTGCAAACAACTCCTCACCTCAGGTCAGAAGGACTGAGGCAGGCCTGTGTGGACAAGATCGGCATACAGGGGCAGCAGAGAAATGTTAAAAAGAAGGCACATTCCACCTCTCCCTTCCAATTCCCTATCCTTTCTGTGTGTCACAATTGTGTGTCACTGACACATCTTTAAACAGCAGTGGAACCACAAGACAGTGGAGGGAGGTCACGAGGGAGTGTGGCGAGGTCAGCGGGGAGGTTCAGCAGGGAAGCTCCAAGAGCGCTTGCGGACGGCTGGCTGTCGAGTGCCAGCAGACCGCGTTTACAAAAGCAGGGGGTGGCAGCAGCATCTGTCAGATGGGAACTGACCGACGGGGACTTGGTAAGAATGGAAGCCAGAGGGGGCAAGACAGGCAGCCAGTGGCGGTCGAAGACCTCTGGCTCAGATGACACAGAAGCACTTCTGCCGAGTCCCTGAACCTCACTGGAAACGACAGAGGAGCGTGGGAAAGGCCACTTCTGAAGCCAGCCCTCCTCACGCCAGACCCTGCCAGCTAGGGAGCACAGAGGCCACAGCCCAGCAGCTCCGGACCAGGGAGCGAGACCCCGAGGCAGAGCCGGACCTCCATAGACGCACCAGCTCACGTTGTGAAAAGCCAAGCAGGCAATCCAACTCTGGGCCCAGAGTGAGGAGGCCCAGGGCCGGCCAGGCCTCGGAGTGGGGCTGCCCAGGGAGGAGCGGTCTGGTTTGCCACGGGGGCAGGGCCTGGCACAGAAATGATGACAGGGAGCTTCTGATGAACCACTGAGCAGCCAGGGAGCTTGGGCACAGCCTCTCCGACCTGCTTCCACCTGAGAAAGGTCAGATACACCTGCTACGGGAGTGGCTGCAGAGGGCAAGGGATGAGGCCATGAACAACAGGCATCAAAGGAGGGATTATATGGAGACAGATCTGGAACTCGAGCTGGGCATTCGGGAAACAGTAACTATGACGAGAGCTGCAGGCGGAGCTCACCCACAGCCCTGGCTTCACTCCCAAACACAGCCAAGCTCGGATGCTGTCCAGTCCTGCCCAACAATGGGCCTTACCCCTTACACTCCACACCGATGCCCCTCCTTACCCTTTAGATATTCTCTAATTCGTTCCTTCAGTTCCACAGATTTATTCTTGCTTCTTTCACAAATAACCTGTTTAAAAACACACAGAGTTATGTGAAGTTCATTCTAAATCTTAATTTATCACATTTTCTTATCATTCAAGTTCCTACGACAACAAAATAAGAATAGTATCTTATACTCAAAGAGTAAGAATAGCATCTTATGCACAAAGTCCACATCAAAAACCGTGTGCTGAGCAGCACACACCTACTTCTAGAACATCTGTAACAGCTTAAGAGAGAAGACAGGAAGAAAAACTCAGAGTATGGGTCCCTTTTATTTCCTCCTGAATGCTGCTCTACATGCTAAGTTTCTGCATGGAAAGGAAGTCTTAGCAGAGCACTCAGCCAGGCTCACAGCCTCCCGTGCTCCGAGTCCCGCTGCCTGAGCCTGCGGCTTGGCAGGGCTGACACAGAACACCTAGGTACCATGCGTTTCTAAAGGGTGCAGGTCCAGGCCAGCTAACAGCTCTAATCCATGTTCAGGTCCCTTCCTTCTCCACTCCACAGGCACAGACACCTTTGGCCTTTCTAAGGAACACTGTGCTCAATTGCCAGAGTATAGATCATGACAAGTCCTGCTTTATAAGGCTTGTAAGGGTCAGGCAGGAATGTGTGGGCGGGGTTTCGGACAGCCCCTAGTGCCCCGAGCTGAACATGTCAGCAGTTTACACATCATCACCATCACCATCACCACCACTACTGTCACCCTCACCACCACCACCATCACCCTCACCTTCATCATCACTATCACCCTCACCCTCACTATCATCATTACAACCATCACTACCACCTCTTCTGTTCTCTGACCCTGGTCAACTGAGGAATGTACAAGGGACACTTGATAAAGATTGGTAGCTATTGAGAATAAAGTAAAACCAGCATACTGGAGCTGCTCATTCCCTCCTGGCTCTGTAGATGCCTCTTCCTCAGCAGACAGGCTCTAACACTCAGAGTGACTCCTGACTTCACAGTGGCTGTGATCACAGACTGTGACAGCATTCACAGGTACTTACGTTCTCAGGGGTTTTACCACACTTATTCCGTGGGCATTTTACAATCAAAGGGTGTGAAGAAAGCACGTTGACCACATCCGCATTCCCAAACTTACAAGCAAAATGCAGCGGTGTGTCGTAGCCCTGAGAGATGCAGAGAAAGAACAGTTTACTTAAAAGAGAGAAAATATTAGAAAGTTAAAGCCACAAACAATGCTCCACCTGAGACCACGATGCTTCTCAGATGCTTCTCAATGCCCTGACTTGGTCCCTACAGCTGCACCTCCACACTGCCTGCAGCCTAGCGGCCTGCCAGTCACAGCTCTCCGCTTGGTGAGGTGGACGTGTGTGTGAATGGCTATTTTCCAACTGTCAGGAGCTCCCTAAGCTCAGTGAATGCAAGTCTCCTTCCTGGCCCTCCACAAGCACTGACAAAGTGCAGGGACTAGGCAAATACTCAAAGCCAGGAACCCGAGTCTTGGTGTAACTGAGACTGGCTGTCACGTCACGAAGGAAGAGAAGGCGCCACACTCACCCCCTTGTCGGGTGTGTTCAAGTACAGATCGAGGATGTAACAAATGCGGTTCTGCAGCATGTCCGGGGCGTCATCGGGGTACATGAGCCGCATAAACTCGGGGTTCTCTAGCGTCTCCAGAGTCAGCTGGCAGATGGAAGCCTGATTCTCTCTGGCAGCAACGTGCATGACATTGTACCTACATCCCTCCTGAAGAAAACCAGATTTTGAGCCTCGTGTTTGCCACCAGAGCCTTGAAGCTAAGGAGGCTGGATGCAGGCTTACCTGCACGATGGTTGGATTGTCCCCCGAACCAATCAGATATCGAGGATTACTCCAGATAAGGTCAGAAAAGGTGTCTTCGTCTCCCTGCTCCACAGCTTTTCGCAATTTAGAAGTGAGGTCTTGCGTACGGGGATTTTTATAGCTGTTTGCTCGCTCTCTGTTTACGGTTTCTGACTCAGAAAAGCACAAGCCATCTGTTGCTAAGAGACAATTTAAGAACATTTAATTTGAATAAATTACAGATACAACTACTGCAGATTTGAAAAGGAACTAAAAATAATCTAAAGAAAAAGACAGAAGAAATTAATAAACATAAAGGTTAAAGTGATTAAACAGAACATAAACAATAACAGCAACAAGAAATGATAGAACAGCTAAATGAAACTCAAAAAACAGTTGAAAAAAACCTATCTATATATAAAAGTCTAAGCAACCAAGTGACCAAACAACAGAATGACGGGTTGACTGGTAACTATGAGGCATACTGACCACCAGGGGGAAAACACTCAATGCAGGAGTTGCCCCTGGTGGTCACTGTGCTGGCCAACTTCCTGCAGTCCCTCAAAACAGCCGGCCAGCCCCAATTGGCTCTGATCTTCGGCCAGGCCGTGTACAAATTCGTGCACTGGGCCTCTAGTAACAGACAGTCCCCCGATAAACATGATTTTTTTTTTTTTTTTAAAAGAACATTTACTTTCACAAACATTTCCTCAGCACCCCTGTGCTGCACTGCGGGTGCTGAGTCTGTGGTCTAGTTGGTGATAGGTGGGACAATGACAGTCCTCAGCAGTCAGCCAACGTGGAGCCTCCAGCAGTGGCACAAACACAGGCAGCTGCATGTAAGTGAAGAGCCAACCCCCTGGACTCCAGCTGGGAAAGCTGAGAGAGGGCTGAGCTCAGCAGCTGGAGGGCACGGGGACACCTGGCCATGGCACTGCTCCGATCGTAAAGCACACGGAGCACGACCATGAAGGCGGCAGTGAGCCACAGGGATGTCTATCGGTTCAATGACAACACCTGGAGAAGTGTGAGAGCGATCTTCTCGAGGGAAATTCACACACTGGGCAGCGGGAAGCTTGTCTGAAACCATTCTGGTTTCCCTGTAAGAAGCATCTGTGTAAGGCCCAGCAAGGGACTCTGGATGAAGGGCCCATGTCTGCAGGGAGAGCCTTCCTCTGGACCCCAGCCAGCCTCGGAAGCAGGACAACTGTGAGCCCCAAGAAGGAACAAGACTGAGCCCGGGCTTTGCACAATGCCGACAACAAAGGCCCCCTTCACTAGACTGGGTTCTGAGTCAAGAGGGGTGTGGTGACCTTGCTGACTGAATGGATTGTCTGGGTCACAGCTGGGGCCACAGTCCTAGAAGCAGGTGTAGCTTCAGGTGAGCAACAGAATGGTCTTAGCATAAAAAAAGGGCCTCTGAATCTAATTGGCAAAGGGAGATAGGAAGACGGAGGGAACTGGACAAAAGGTTGATGGTGGTCCTTTCACTGCTCCTCCCACAGCCCGTCAGCATTGGGGCCTAGAGTATCGGCCTGATCCACTCAGCTCCCTCTCAACTCTACCCTCATGGTCCCCGGTCCCCCAGCCCAGCCCAGCCCAGCCCAGCCCATTCTCTTCCAGCTGCTCCTTGGCCTGGGCCTTCACTTCCTGGCAAACTGGACTTCTCTCAAAGGCAGAGAAAACCAACTCCTGTATATAAGGAGAGAGCACAAAACACTTGTGGGCAAATCTGACAGTAATGCCAAGCTATGAACTGCTATATAATTTACCTTTTACCCCACCATTGCTAGAGAGTGATGCTATTTTCACAGGAGAAAGTTGTGAAGAAGTTTTGCTTGGAGAAGGAAAATAACAACAAATTCCTCTAGCAAATTTCTCAGCATCTTCTCTGCTTGAAAAAGCTTTAAATCGGGATCCTTTGATCATCTTGACAGCTTGCAATGCTTCCTTTTTATCTTCATAAACATGAATTCTTTCTGGGAAAATAACAGACGGAAAACAGAGAATAACTAGAACCACTGTCACGTAGTCACTCCGAAGGCCCTGAGTTTAACAGTAAACAGTTGTTACCCAGCTGCCTGACTTTTCTCTTATTTAATGTTTCCTACTCTTAATCCTGAAGAAAAAAAAATTTCACATTTTCTTTATGTACTGTATATATAATATATACATTATATCCTAATCAACAAGTTTCCATTAATTCTTTCCAGTACTACTTTACTTGTTTCAAACAGCAATTTTTTTATGTTGAAAATTATTTATTGCCCATTTGCATTCGTTAACATAATAGATGTTCAGGTTATGTTGAAAAAAAATTTAAAAAGACCCTGGCCGGTTTGGCTCAGTGGATAGAGTGTCAGCCTGCAGATCAAGGGTCCCAGGTTCAGTTCCAGTCAGGGGCATATTCCTAGGTTGTGGGCTCGATTTCCAGTGGGGGGGTGTGTGTAGGAGGCAGCCAATCAATGATTTTCTCTCATCACTGATATTTCTCTCTCCCTCTCTTCCTTTCTCTTCCTCTCTGAAATCAATTTATTTTTATTTTTATTTTTTAATATATTTTATTGATTTTTTCCAGAGAGGAAGGGAGAGAGATAGAGAGCTAGAAACGTTGATGAGAGAGAAACATTGACCAGCTGCCTCTTGCACACCCCCCACCGGGGTTGTGCCCGCAACCAATGTTGACCGGAATCGAACCCGGGACCTTTCAGACGCAGACCGATGCTCTACCGCTGAGCCAAACCGGTTTCGGCTCAATTTATTTTTTTAAAAAGAAAATGAGAAAGATGATTAACAAATAGTAGCCAGTTAATAAATATTTTTCTTGATTTTTGAAAATTCATATATAGATCAAAAAAATGTTTTAAGGAGAGCCCTACATAAAAATGCCAACAGTGGTTAATTTGGGATAACAATTATGGTGACTAGATTACTCTCTCTCCTCTGCTGTTGGGATTTTTAAGATCACTTACCCTTGCTGTCCAGGCACCCCCTCCCTAGGTAAAAAACATCATGCTTGTCACTTTACCATTTCGCGCTGGGGAATCCTCGTAGGCCGGGAACACCCCATAGTACAGAGGCGGCTCAGCAGACGCCCTCTCCCCAGTTTTGGGGCCGTCAACGCCAGGCACAGCACTGAAGGCCACGGAGCAGGTCTCAGACTTCAGGGTCTCTTCCTCCGGAGGGCTCAAGCCCACTCTGTAACCAAAATCTCTGTCTTCAGAAAAGCTGACCTGCTCTGCCGTGCTTCCTATGGTGGCCTGGTAGGGAGGGTGTGATGGAAGGGGTCTTCTGTGCTCTAATAAAGCCTGAGCCAATTTTTTCTCAAAAATGAACCTTGTGGTTGCAGTAATGGGTCCACATTTCAATCCGGCTTTGACAATTTCTTCTCTAAGGTCATCTGGATTTAGGAGTTTTAGTCGCGCTAAGATGGCATCCATTGTCATTGTACCTAGGCCCAAAACAACACAAATCAATTCGATGGTTTAAGTAAATCTTTTCTTTAAGAAGTGGTGCCTGGCCAGGTAGCTCAGTCAGAGCATCGTCCAAATATGACAAGGTTTTGGGCTACATCCTTGGTCAGAGCACATACAAGAATCAAGCATTGACCCTAACCAGTCTGACTCAGTGGACTAAAGGGTCCTGGGTTTGATTCCAGTTGATGGCATATGCCTGGGTTGTAGGCTCAATCTCCAATGGAGGGCATGCAGGAGGCAGCCAGTCTATGGTTCTCCTCATCACTGATGCTTCTATCTCTCTTTCTCTCTTCCTTCCTCTCTGAAATCAACAACAAAATTTTTTTTTTAAAGAATCAATCATTGAATGCATAAGTGGAACAACAAATCAATCATTTCTTCTGTATCTCAAATCAATAAAAAAAAAAAAAAAGGCAAAAAAAGCTTCAAATTTTCATTTCAATGCAGTGTTTGTCCACACTCTCTGGAGTCTATGAACTCCCTATGAAAATTTTCATTAAGGCGTTGGTTTCCAAATCTATCACAACATAAACAAAACTAAGATACCCAGTATCTGGGTCATTTGGATAAGAATCTTATCACCTAGCACAATCACAAGGCAGGATCACACTAACATTCCAGGTCGGTAATCACTGGGGAAACTGGCACACTCCTTTGCTGCTGGTTGGAGTGTAATTTGGAACCAATAACAAGGATGGCAACTGGACAGACTATCCAAGCTCCAACTCCAGAAATTTATCCCAGACAGACTTGCACTTTATTCTGTAAGTGACAAGTTATGCAAAGACTTACAACAGAGAACTAAGGACACAGATAGATGCTCTGGCAGACATTCTGCAGACGCTAACAAGTAGCTCAAACTTAAATTTTTTTGAGCCTTCCCCTGTGCTTGGTGCTGTTTTGAGCACTCTACATACTCAAAATTATTTAACGGCAACAGTAACTCTGTCTGGTAAGTATCATCATTGATCACACACTTTCCCCCCACCCCCCTTTTACAGATGAAAAACCCAAAACACAGAGGAGCTAAGTAACTTGTTCAGGTTGCACAGCTACCAGACAAACAGACTGGAGTGGGAGCTTTAACCCATGTATGTGAAGCACGAGCAGATAAGTCTATGGAGTACAGCTAGAATCAGGGAGAAGGTAAAAATGACAGGGACCTGACCACTGTGATTAATGGGGCTGGAGCCAAGGGCTCACGCTAGACCAGGAGGTCGTAGGGATGGCCGGATGAGATGCCATGCGAGGACCCTGAGGGACTGTAGGCAGCCTGGTTCAAGTGCCCAGGAAGTGAGTCCACCCAAGGCAGAGAATATTGGACATAGAGCTAATGGAGATTGAGGTCCTGAGCATCAGAAACACCTAGAGCACACCACGTGGGCACTTCAGTTTTCAAGTCTGAGATTTAGGAGACAGTAAGTTCAGAGGGAAAAAAAAGTTAGCAAGATTCAGACAACATTAACCGGCTGTCGTAGGACGCTGGGCAAAAGGGGTTCCTCCTATTCTCCTACCTATTTTTGTGCACATCTTTTCAAAAAGCCTTTTAGGATGCTGCCTCCCACTGTCCAACTCCAAGATTTCAAAAACAGCTGTTACTTATTTGCAGAGGAGACTTCGCCTGATAAACAGACACTGTATTGCACAACCCCCACCCTTACCCCCACCCCCTAAAGCTGCCAAAGAACTTGAAGGGGGAGGCCGGGGGAGCACAGGGTCCCACCGGGGAGGGTACCCATTCGGATGCTCTGTACACCGATTCCACCATGGGAAGCTAGCCCTAGCCTGTTTGGCTCAGTGGACAGAGCGCCGGTCTTCGGAAGGGTCCCGGGTTCGATTCCATGCCTGGGTTGTGGACTCGATCCCCAGGTGGGGCCGTGCAGGAAGCAGCCGATCAATGACTCTCATCATTGATGTTTCTACCTCTCTCTCCCTCACCCTTCCTCTCCCAAATTAATAAAATATGTTTTTAAAAAACACTTTAAAAAATGGAAAGCTAAACACGTAAAGACACCGTCATTCCAGTCCCTACAGCCTCTGGGAGGTTCGCAGTCCGGGGTCTGTGCTGCACCGGGTTTCCGGGCCGGGCTGGACCGGGTCAGCGGACGGATCAGCGTGTCGCCTACGGCCTTATTCCAGGGAAGGAGCAGGCGGAACCCCCGGCAAACGCGACAGAGCGGAGGGCAGGGCCGACCCGGCCCGGGGTCACCCCCGCGGAGCCCGCCACCTGTCAGCCCGCGGTTCCCAGGCGGGGACGGCACTTCCGCTTTCCATTCAAAACACACACACAGAACCCCCGACAAACCCGGCCTTCCCACCGGAGAAACCCAACGTGCGAGCCAGGGGTGGCGGCTGACGAGGGAACCCTGCGGACGCGCTGACAGCCAGCCGCGAGGGGACCGCTCCGCAGTCACCAGGCTCCGACGGACGGACGGACGGACGGATAAGACAGACCGGCCTCAGCGCCGCGCCGTCGTCTGCACGTTAAGGGCCCCGGAGTGGGACTCCCGGCCTCTCACCGGAACAGCGGCCTCAGGCGCGGGTGGGCCCAGGCCCCAGGGGAGCGGAGGGGCGCGGACGGGCCTTACCTGGGTCCGAGTCAGGGTCCGTGGCCGCGCGGGACGGCGGGGCGGGGAGCGAGCTCCGGCCCTGGCCCCGCGGCCGCTTCTCCAGCCGCCGCACCAGCCAGCGCACCGCGAGCAGCAGCACCGAGGCGCCCAGCAGCTCCCAGGCCAGCGCAGCCCACTCGGCGGCCACCAGCCGGGGCCACAGCATCGCCACCGCCCTCCGGCCGCCGCCGCTGCCGCCGTCGCCGCGGAGAAGACGCGCGCCCCTAAGGACCCTGCGTCTCGGGCTGTCCAAGGCGATGCCTGACGGAGCGACTCGCGGGTTTCTGCCGGAGCGCGGTGCCGAGGCTACACGCGCGGGCCACGGCACTTGAACCTACGTTCTATAACTCAGCGAGGGAGCGTGGCCGCGGCTCCGACCGCTTCCGGAGCGAGGAGACCGAGTGTGGAGTCAGGCAGTAGCGCGGACAGCCCGAGGCGCGGGGTATTGAAGCGGGCGCGGGCCTGCAGCGGTATCCGGGGGCGGGGGCGTGGCCCCGGTGGCTCCGGAGGGGCGTGTCCCAGGTGGCTCCGGTTTCCCGGGCAACGACCCTGCTGGCACGCCTCCGGACAGCGCCGTTTCTTGGACTCGGGCTGCAGAACTGCTTCTGCGAGCAGGAGACAGAGAAGTCCGACTGCTCCCTTTTTAGCGAGAGCATTGATGTTTCTATCTCTCCCTCTCCTTCCTCTGTGAAATCAGTAAAAATAATAATACGGCAAAGACAATTATTTACTGGTATGAGAATGGTTGTGTGATGATAGAAAAAAAATGGAGGTAAGAGAAGTAGCAAGTTAAATGCCTCAAGTAATTGAAGAAAGTCCATTTGTAATTTAAAAAGCAATTTGTGAACCCTAACTGGTTTGGCTCAGTGGATAGAGTGTCGGCCTGATTCCTGGTCTGGGCACATGCCTAAGTTGCAGTCTTGGTCCCTAGTGGTGGTGGTAGTGGGGGGAGATGTGCAGGAGGCAGCCAATCAATGATTCTTTCTCATCATTGATGCTTCTATCTCTCTCTTCTTCTCCCTTCCTCTCTGGAATATATATATATATATATATATATATATATATATATATATATATATATATATATAATTTCTTTTTTTTTTAATGCTGAGTCAGCCCTAGATGGTTTGACTGTGGATAGAGCATTGGCCTACAGACCAAAGGGTCCCAGATTAGATTCCAGTCAAGGGCACGACCCTTGGTTGCAGGCTCCTCCTGGGCCCTGGTCGGGGCACATGCAAGAGGCAACACATTGATGTGTTTCTCTCACATCAATGTTTCTCCTCTGTGCCTTTCCTTCTCTCTTCCCCTCTCCTTAAAAATCAATCCTCGTTTGATGATTCTCTCTCTCTCTCTCTCTCTCACACACACACACACACACACACACACACACACAGACACATACACAAAAGCTGAGTCAGAGCCGAAACCAGTTTGGCTCAATGGATAGAGCGTCGGCCTGCGGACTGAAAGGTCCCGGGTTCTATTCCTGTCAAGAGCATGTACCTTGGTTGCGGGCACACCCCCAGCAGGGGGTGTGCAAGAGGCAGCTGATCGATGTTTTTCTCTCATCGATGTTTCTAATTTTCTATCCCTCTCTCTTCCTCTCTGTAAAAAATCAACAAAATATATTACAAAAAAAAAAAAAAAAAAAAAAAAAAAAAGCTGAGTCAGAGTTACGGACCTGCTATCAGGTCAGCCGGGCACAGGGCTGGCCAGCACCTCAGATCAGGATGCATGTGTGGACCCTCTGCAGCTCAAACAGCCAACACCCTTGGCTGCCCCTCCCCTGCCCCCGCCCCCGTCCACTCCCCTCCTGAGACTAACGTGCATGTGGCAGCAGATGACGTGGACAGAGAGGCAACAATATGGGCAACTCGAGCTACCTCTCAAAGCTGGCTTTCACAGCCCGTCTAAAACTTTGGCAAAACAGCCCTAACCGGTTTGGCTTACTGGATAGAGTGCTGGCCTGTGGATCCAAGGGTCCCAGCTTCGACGAGTCAAGGGCATGTACCTTGGTTGCAGACACATCCCCAGTGGGATGTTTCTCTCTCATTGATGTTTCTAACTCTCTATCTCTCTCCCTTCCTCTCTGTTAAAAATCAATAAAATGTATATTTTTAAAAATAAAAAATAAATAAAACTTTGGCAAAACAGTAAAATTCTTTGGAAACAAGTATTTGAACTGAGTAATAACTTAAGGTGTTACTACCAATATGTGAAACCCCACCCACCAATGAAATATGAAAATCTTTAACAAAAAATAGTTTATTGCACAAAATTTAAGGAATTCCCAAGCACGCTTAAGTTTATAAAAAAAACCCAACATGCTTTTTAAAGTTACACTTTGTGGTGCATGAGGGTGTCTTTCCCCTGAACACTCCCAACCTGAGGACTCCCTTTAATGACGAAATTTTTAATAGACGTGAGCAACTTACAACCGAGCATTCTAGACCCTCTGACACATCACCCCCAGGACTCTCTTATAACCTGAGCCCACCACCATGGGACGCGCCCGGGACGTGGTCATGGCGTGAATAAGGCTGAGCATCTCACACGTCACAGGCCTGCCCATGGCGTGTGGGTCCCTCACTCCAAAAATCTTTACACACATTTAACTTTTGTCAAGAAACACACTCATGAAGTAGAAATGTCTGTCACGGTGACCTGCAGGAACCCTAGACCCAGGGAGGCCTAAGCTGTAAGGGGCTCAGGGGAGACTTCCTAATACCCTGCCCGCAGGCTGACCGCCCTGTGGATGCTGCGACCTGGACCCGGGACAAGAAAATTATTGTTTCACGAGCCAAACACCTCTGATCCCTCCAAACATAGTGGGGCAAAAGCAGGTTTACAGTTGTGAGGACACAAAAGTTAATTCTTGTATTATTATTATTATTATTGTGTTATTTTTTCTATATGAAATGTTTTCCATATTTCTGCCCGCCCTGTAGAGCAAAGCCTATCAGACCCGTGGTGTCTGCCGGGTGTACATTGTGGAGAGATCAAGGATAATGACATTGCAATCGTGTTTTTGAAACAGAACAAAAGCAAGCGAGGACATCGGGTGCTCGAGCCAACTCTCTGTGTAGCGACCGACACTTAGGGTGAAGAGGCAGACACAGGTGGTGGCAGAGCTGGTTACACGGACTCCGGACTCGACTGCCGCTTCTCAGGAGTGATTCCCAATTCCACTTCTGCCCGGAATGTAAGAGCCTTTCCTGTCGTGGGAGGGGGCAGTGAGTCCGGTGGAGGTGAGCAAGCAGGAGCCGCCCCCGAAGCCCAGACCAAAGCCGGCCAGGCGCTGGCTGAGCTGAAGAATGGGCACCGAGGATGGTGGCGGCACAGGAGACGACAGGAAGCCAGAGAGCAGGTGCGTGCACACGCACACGGAGGCGGGAAGAGGAAGGACAGAGACGGCCTCCCCTTGATGGGTGCATCCACGTTAGGTTTTCCCAAGAGGAGGACACAGTGGCAGCGGCAGGTCTTCCCTGGGGAGGCTGGGAGCCACTGAGGCCCGGGACTGGGTGCCATGTCGTTTTAAAGTTGAAACAAGAATAATGCAGCCAAAGTAACTAAGAACATAAATTACCATGTTTCTCTTCCAATGGTACAAAAACAATTCTGCCAGAAATGCTTTCCAACTTATTATGAAAAGTAGGATACATTTATAATGAGTCTTCAAGTATTGTTTCAAGGTTGACCCTGTACGAATGAGAGATGTATTTAGAAGTCCCACTACTTGCTAGGGAACCTTTTTAAAACTGTAAGTCTCTCTGGTTAACGCTACTTTATCAATGAACCTATGACAGCACAGTATGAGAGAATACAGACAGCTTACAAAGACCAGTTTCCTCTGGGCCCGTGTGACTCCGTGGTTGAGCATCAACCTATGAACCAGGCAAGATCAGGGCACATGCCTGGATTTTGCTTGGTTCCCAATAGGGGGAGGCGGCCGATCCCAGGACTCTCTCTCATTACTGATGCTTCTCTCTTCTTCTCCCTTTCTCTCTCAAACCAATAAAAATATATATTGTTTTCTCCACAAACCAGACACAGACACAGCACACGGGCTGGCGGGATGTCAGATCTGGACACGTCACCCGTCCTCAGAGCAGCAGACATGCACAGGGTGCACTTGCACCCACCTCACTCTAACTTATTACAATAAATATTATTTTAGGCTTTCTTAGCAACCTTGGGGACAAACGTATAGCCCTCAAGTCCCACAGCACGTCAGCTTCAGGTGGGACACTGACAGGTCAACCTCACACACTCCTGGTGCCCGGTCACAACAGGATCCCAGACCTGACACCATCACCATGGGCCCAGCATGGCTCCGATGACCACAGGTCCTGCTGGACACTGCCATGTGGGCACAGAGGGTGCGGCCTGGACAAGGGGGTGGTGAGGCCACGTGGGGCTGTTAAACAGTCAGGTATCGTGCACTCAGACAAGGAAAAGACACTCAAAAATAAAGTGAAACAAAAACAAGGAAGGATGCTCTAAGAGTATTTGGTTTTAGGAGGTAAATAAAATAATTATATTTCTTAAAATATAATTTTCTTACTGACATCCCTTAATCCTACATGTACATTATTTCCCGACAGCAGATTTTCAAAAGGCAATCGAAAAGCAGACAATTGGGGTCATTTTTAAATAATACGGGGACATACTTTTTAAAGATTAGGTTACGGTTCTCAGTATTTACATACATATCCTATGGCGGGATGGCTGTGAAAATAAAACAATAAAAACAAAAGGTGCAAATAAAGTTTCCCTCCTGCGGAGGTGAAGTGAGGGAGTGGGCCCACGACCAGGTTCCCCAGGACCGGTGGCCACAGAGCAGCGTCTACGTCCCTGGTGAGGGTGCGGCCCTTCTAACACTGTCACCGAGAGCTCAGCTCGGGTGACGGTCGGTCACTTGGGGGAAGCTGGTTGTGATTGGCAGGTGGCTCCCCTGTTCTTACTCCTCGTAAAGCAAACACGGAACTTCAGTGCCATTGCTGAGGAAGAGACGTGACCTCAGAGGGACAATCACACACACTCGGCATGGGGGTGCTCGGCAGAGGCTGTTCCCAGCGGCGGCTCGGTGTCTCCTCCGGGGCGGGCCTGGTCGCCCAGGGAAACGGGGCTGGCAGCAGGGTCCCCCTGAGTCCAGGAGGACAGCGACTCGTGCACAGTGACGGCGTGAGCCTCCATCTGGCGCTGGAGGCTGTCCATCTCCTGCCTGGGGACACAAGAGGCAAAGGTCAGAAGGCTGGTCAGCTGCCATCGCTTCCCTGAGATGGACATGAGCCTGACAAGCTTCAACTGGGCGGCCGTTCTCTCACACATCAGTGGCGCCTTCAGGGACCAAAAGAACCTCCCCGTTTGCACAGCTACCCAGGCGGGTGACAGAACTGCAGGGACTCGACGCTGTTCTCAGCGCCACACGGAGGCCAGGAGGCCACCAGGCTCTGCACACACGGCTTCTGCTCAGGGACTGTGAGGAAGTCAGAGACGAGGGCCCTGCTCACGTAGCTCCCTCACATGGTCAGAAAGGATGCCCCACAAGGCCACGCCTTCCAAACAGCGGCCACATGCCGACAGGGATTTAAAGGCTCAGGTCTCAGTGACTTAGGGTTTCTCAGAGCCATTTGGCTGCAGGCAGCTCTCACCTCACAATGTGACCCCACTTAGCACAGACCTGCTCAGCCATGGGTGGGCATTCAGTGTAGCGACAGAGACCCTGCCAAGTTAACACTGACTCAGAGACTAAGCGACATGAGATGAGCCGCCATACTTGAGTTGCTGGAGACAGCTGTTGAGGTTCCTCAGGGGCTCCTTGCTCACGGCGGGGGGCGGCCTCAGCAGCTCCTCCAGAAGCGAGGCCGGCACGGGGCAGTCAGGGACCTTCACCGGCGTGACGGGGCTGGAAGGGCTGGCCTCGCCTCTCCGTTCCTTCCTCTGTTCATAAAAGTGCACGGTGAGCCCTCTGCCACCACCGGCGCTTCCAGACCCGCCTCCCAGCCCCACACGACCCCGAGAAGGCACATCAGCTTCTCTGTGCCGCGGAGCAAGCAGCCACAGGGATTCGGGAAGTGCTGGCCTAGTAGACAGCCTCGCTACTGCACACCGGAGAGCCAACCCCATCCCGGCAGAGCCAACCCAGAGGCCTTAAATGCCAGCTCCCACGTGGGCCTCTCAGGAGGAACCACAGCCTGGCTCTGAGAGTCCCTAAAAAATTAAGTCCATTTCCCAATTCAGACAACTTCCCTTCATAAGACATCAAACTTTTGCACAGAAAGACAAACGCTGGTAATAAAGCTCTGAATCTAAGCTACTTGCCTGACCAGGAAAACATGTAGACACACTGAGGAGACACATACTGTCAGTAGACAACCAGAGGGGGCCGGTGACGGCAGCCTTGGGGTTCCGGGACCCCCAGGCCCAAGCTGTGTCCCAGCTGGACCGGCTGAGGGCCAGCGATCTTGCTAACACAGCATACCAGGGCCTCGCTGGGGTTTACAAAGCCCCGGCAACAAAATGGCACCCGAACTCATGAAAAGAAGCAAACGATTGAGTAGAAAATAAAATAAAATGACGTGGCCTTCGTCCAAGCAGAGTTTCCCGCCACTCACTGCCACACGGTAGCTGCTGAATGTGGTCACATACAGTAACTGTGTCAGAGAACCTGCCCGCCCCCCCAGGCCCGTTCCTCTGATGGCACAGCGCTCACCGCCTTGGCCGCGCCGCGCCGCAGGTCCAGCTTGAGCTGCTGGTTCTGCTGGAGCAGAGTTTTCATGTTGTTCTTCAGCTCCGACACTTTCACCTGAAGCATGAACTTGTCCTTCTGGGTCATGGACAGGTCTTCCCGCATCACTTCCAGCTCAGACTTGATGTTCTAAGGGAAGCCAGGTCAGGGTTTTCAAAGCTACAGGATCTCAGTGCACAGCAGAGAGCTCTTTGTGCTAGTCAGTCCTGGGGGAAGCCCTGGTGGGGACCCTTTGACGCAAGTTTAGGGGGACAGGAAAGCACGGGCTCCTGAAGGAGCCCGTTCCTGGCTCCAGCTCCTGCCAGCAGCTGAGACTGTGATGCTCACAGTTACTCTCACCCCCCTTGGCAGTCAGGCCTGCCTCAGACGCCATGGGTAGCCGTGCGTCCTGACGGGTGGCTCTCTCGTGTGCTGTGACAATCACGTGTAGTTGTGACTGGGCTACATTTCTGATCAGCCCAGTGGGGCATCGGCCTCCGTCAGATGCGTGACCAAGATGTCCCTGTGAGATGGGGTAGCATGGCTCCACGGTTCCCGGTTACCCCAGATGTGGCAGGCACAGTAACAGCACAAGTCACGGCCGTCTAAGGGAAATACGCCTGTCATGCGCCCAGTACCTGCAGGGCACGCTCGGCCCCGTCCAGCTCCCGCCTGCTCTGCTGCTCGCTCAGGTCCAGCTGCTGCCTCAGGGACTGTATTTCTCTCTCCTTCTGATCCACCTCCCACTTGAGGTTTTCCATCTGTGGGAGGGAAGTCACAGGAGCAAAATAATTTCACAGTGGCCTCTCTCTGTGTCTCGTATGTTGTCACACTGAGATCAAATCCCTGTCCTTGAGCAGGCGGACAAGCACAGAGCCCAGCCCTCAGTCCTGTGAGCGGGATGCAAAGCCGTCCCCAACATCACCTCCTGGTTGCCCACGGGCTGTTTGCTCAGCTGCTCGTCCAACTGCTGCTGCAGGAGCTGCAGCTGGGTCCGTGCCTCCGAAAGCTCTGCCTGGAACTGGGCGACTTCCTGGGCATGTGTCCCCTCCTGCAGCCTGGGAGGGAACAAGGCCGGCACTGAGCGTGCCACGGACACCGCCAGCCCCATGGCGCCAGCCCACCCTGGTGCTCACCCGCTGCGCCTCTGGCAGGACAGGCCAGGAGCGCTGCGTGCACGGCCTCACCTGAGCCTCACAAACCCCCAGGGGCACGGTGGGGGGGGGTGTCACAGGGACCACTGTGCATCCCTGCACACGTGCGGCAGAGCTGCCCCCTTGGAGCCGACAATGAGCCCGGGTAGGTGCATCCCTCACCCTGGGGACTCTGTTTTCAATGCAGGACCGAAGGGGCGTAGGGGACGGCAACATCAGGACTGAGACATGCAGGTGAAGTGCATGCTTCTGACGAGGTCGGACGTTTTCCCTCCCAGACCTGCTCAGGGTGATCTGAGTGCTAGCCAGACCTGGGAGAGCCCTGGGGAGGACCCTTTGCCAGCGGCCTCTCCTCGGCCGGGGACACTCACTGGAGACGTTCGGCCGCCGCCTGCAGCGTCTGCACCAGGAGCTCCTTGGCCTGCAGCTCCTTTCTCACCTCGCTCAGCTCCAAGGTGGCGGCCTTGAGGTGGCGCTGGTTGTTCCTCGCTTCCACTTTGGCTGCAGCCACCTGGAAGGAGGACACTGGCTTCAGCAGGGCAAAGGCAGGAGCGGTACCCTTTGCCCTCACTCATCCTAGTGGGCACCAGGGCTGTCCAGCCCCCTCGTCGCCATGTCCCTGTGACACCTCTGTGCTTGAACTTGTACAGGAAGTTCCCAGAGCAGAGCCTACACCATTTCAGACACTGAAAACGTGCCCTGCGGAGGCTGCACGTGGCAGTGCGGTAGACCCCGTCGGACACGGCCACACACCTGCTCCCTGAGGCTCTGCACTTCCTGCTTCTCTCTCTCCAGCGCAGCTTGCAAGGCCTGCACGAGCTGCCTCATCTGGCGGTCTTCCTCCTGCTTGCGCTGCATGATGGCCTGAACCTGCAGCAGAGAGGGGAGTCAGAGCCCAGGACGGAGCAAGGGTACGGTGATCGGCGCCGCACGGGGCGCAGCAGGAGTGGCACAGGCCTCACAACATGTTACCATCAAGCGTGGGAGACAGGAAGCATGGAGATTCCATTTCTGGAGACAATCACACACACACCTGAGGTGGCAGAAGCATGAACACATGACCTTTCTCAAGCCTATGGCCCACAAGAGGCACGTGAATGAGGGCTGTAAGCCAACACCTCCCTGGTGAGGGGGGGACGCACGTGGTGGGCAGCAGTGCCACACAGAAGCCTGTAAGAGCCCTGGATGCCATGGCTCAGTGGTTGGAGTGCCAGCCCATGCATCAAAGGATCATGGGTTTGATTCCCAGTCAAGGGCATGTACCTGGGTTGCAGGTTCAATCCCTGGTCAGATCAGGACACGTGCACGAGGCCACCGATTGATGTGTCTTTTTCACATCGATGTTTCTCTCACTGTCTCTCGTCCCCACCCCCCAACCCTTTTCCTTTCCTTTCGTTCTAAAAACCAATAGACAAAATATCCTCGAGTGAGGATTAACACAGAGCAAATAAAATGAAAGAAAAAGTCTATAAATTCTCTGATGGTCGAAAGATCCAAGGCCACTGGTGGCCAGGGCGGATGTTGCTGAAACTGCCCAGCTTCCCCATCACCAGAGGCTGAGGAGCCTGAGGCAAGGACCAGGTCTGCAGTGAGGCCCCACTGGGGTGAGTGCCTTCCCTTAGGGCACCTGCCCTGGCTGGGGATGGACCATCTGGCCCAGCAGGAGCCGCCCACCCCAGCTCTCCGGGGCTCAGCTATGGGCAGACTCGGCATGTTCCCTGCAGGAGCTGTGACAACCGCACAGACAACAGGGAAGCCCCAAGGCTGCGTGCCTCCCCCGTGTTGTCGGTACCTGAAGGTTCAGCTGCACCAGGTCGGCCTCCCTCTTGGCCAGCGCCGTCTCCAGCACGCTGTTGTGCTCCCGCAGAGCCGCGTTGGACTGTCCCAGGCCAGTGAGCTTCCCTCGCTCGTGCTCCAGCTCCAGAGCCAACTTCTTATTGGACTCCTCGAGGCGCTTTATCTTCCTCCGGAAGCCTCTGGATTCCTGAAGCTAAACAAACCCCAGGGAAGCTACAGTCACCAGAGACGGGAACAGCGGCATGAGACGCGGCGACGGACACGGCGCACCACACCGGGTGGGCAGCGGTCGGGGGCCTGACGTCTTGTCGATCTCTAAAAGCCTAGCCCGTCGGAGCCAGGCTCCTGGGGGTTTGCAACAGGAGTGTACGAGTGCCCACCCGTGAGCCCAGTGTCCCCCTCCCTCCCTTCCGCTCTCTGAAAAGCAATGGAAAAATACCCTCAGTTGAGAATTAACAAACTACAAAATAAAAGAGTGAATTCGCCAGCAGCACAGCTGCCACAAGCCCTCTGATGCCCACCACATGGAGGCAGTGGTCACTTGTCCTCGCTGGAGGAGGTGTTACAGGTGAGGGGGAGTCCAGCACCTGGGTGGTCTCAGATCCAGAGAAGCACTGAGTGAACAGGGCGCAGAGGCAGGGCTGGCAGGTCAGGCACACTGGCTGGCTCTGAAGCTCCAAGCCGTTTCCCTGCCCGGAGCTGCACTGGGAGTGGCGTGGCCTGTCCACTCCGCCATGTGATCAGGAGCCCGCTCACCTCGTCCTCCAGCTCCAGCACCTTCTCCCGGTACTCCTCCAGCTCCTGACTCGTCAGAGCGATGACCTCCTGCAGCTCCTTCTCCAGCATCACCTTGCTGTGGCCCACGGTCTGCAACTCCGACTCCAGGGCCTGGATTCTCTCCTAACAGCAGGACAGAAAGGTGAGCCGGGCCACGGGCTTCCATGTGGCCGTGGCAGGGGCTAACCTCCCTCCTGCGTCGCCCCTTGTCCCCACCCTGAGAGCCGCGCTGGGCTGAGCAAACGTGGTACGCACGTGCATTGTGAGGCTGCTGGCTCCACTGGCCGCCTGGGCTCGCAGCTGGCTCAGTTCAGCCTCCGCTGCCTCCTTGGCGGTGAGGGCCTCCTGCAGGCGGCGGCTCAGAATGCTCACGGCGCTCTCGTAGGCCTTATGCTTGCTCTTCATCTCCTTCTGAGCGCTGCTCAGGTCCGAGCCCAGCCGTGTCACCCTCTGCTTCTGCTCGGTGATGGCCCTGGGGCATGCCGGAGGGGAGGTCATCTCAAGTCTCCCTTACTGCCTCCAGCTCCACCTCCCCCACTCCTGCACCCTGGATTCAAGAACCCTCCCAATTGTTATAAAGTGAACAGACGAGGCTAGTGCTGGCAGCCTGCAGCACTGCGCTCAAACCCTGCCAGCAGCCACCTGAACCGGGACCCTGGGCCTGTACTCGAGCACACCAGCTCGAACCCGAGCCACCCTGCTTTCTATGCTTCCACCTGCACGTATTCCTGCGCTATCGTCCACCTCTTCCTAGAGCTGTTCACATGCTCCTAACCCACAGGGCAGAGCATTAAGCCCGGCCACGGGCTCACACTATGCCGCGGCTGACAAGCTCAGTGCAGAACACAAACCTCCAGTGAAAAGACGAGCAGAGCCGAGACCGGTTTGGCTCAATGGATAGAGCGTCGGCTTGGGGACTGGAGGGCCCGGGTTCGATTCCGGTCAAGGGCATGTACCTTGGTTGCGGGCATATCCCCAGTGGGGGTTGTGCAAGAGGCAGCTGGTCGATGACTCTCTCTCATCGATGTTTCTAACTCTCTATCTCTCTCTCTTCCTCTCTGTACAAAATCAAATAAAATATATTTAAAAAAAAAAAAAAAAAAGAAAAAAAAAAAAAAAAAGAAAAGACGAGCAGAGAGGGGAGGCCAGTGCTCACCTGGCGGCTTCCTGCCGCAGCTCCTCCACTTGAGCCTGGAGCCCCTTGTTGGCCTCGGTCAGTGCAGCCACCTGCTGCCTGTCGATCTGCAGAGCCTGCATGGGAGGGAGGAGAGTGGTGAGCACAGCCCCACTGCCGCTCAGCCCATCCGGCACACTCCGCCCACAGGCCGTGTCCGGGCCGCCTCGAGCCGGGGGCTCTGAAGGCCCGGACGAGCTGTACCCTTTACAAACGGTAGCTTCCGAGAGGCCCAGTGTCCCAAGCGGCTGTGTCAAAGCGAGGACCTGGAGGAGTGACTGTGAACTGGTTCAGGGGGCTTGGCCTCCTCCCGGCCCCGCTCGCTGCCCTAAGCACACCCGTGAGGACATGTGTTCTCACGGCGGCAGGTGCCTCATACCCAGGCCCTGGCTCCTGCAGCCACCCTGCAGCCACCTGGCTCCAGCACCGTCTGTTCCCAAGTCTCTCACCTGCCGCCTCCAGCCAATCTGCCCACCTGGCCCTCTCCTGGACTTTAAAAAACTTCCCGTCAAACTGCCTTAACTTGCCTTGTCCCCCATTTCTCATCTCAGGGATCGCCCCTCAGACCCAGCAGGACTCTGGACTGAGGCCTCGCTCTCCCTGCCTCTGGCACCTTTGGCCTCACTGTCACTGCCAACTCCACCAGCTCCCACCTGCACGCTGGCCTCCCCTCAACCCTGGGACCTGTGCACATGAACCCGTCCTGGCACCCTGCCACACCCCTCGCCAGTTCCCTTGGCCCAGAGCTGGAAACAGCGGCTGCAGCCGGAACCAGGAGCCCGCACAGTGGAGCCTTCACCGTCGGCGCATCCCCAGACCTGCAGGTGGGTCTCCATCTCGTCGCGCTCCCTCTGTGCCGACTCCAGCTGCCCCTCGAGAGCCGCCATCTGCTGCTGCACCTGGGCCACCTCCTTCTGCAGGCGCGCCTGCTCCGCCTCCACGGACTTCTTGTCCCCGTGAAGCTGCAGCAGCTCCTGCCTCAGCTCCTTCACCTCCGAGGCCAGCCTCTTCTTCGTGGCCTTGAGCTCACTGATGAGCTGGTCTTTGGAGGCGGTGTCCCGCCGGTAGGCCTCCACCATCACCTGCAGGACGGGAGCTGCAGCTAGTGCAGGCGGGGCCCAGGGACACTCAGCTCACACAGACATGCTCACCACTTTCCTGGAGCTAAAGAAGATATATTTCGCCAAACCAAAGACACCATCAACTGAGGCACCCCATTATTTTGCTCCTGAACAGGTCTGGGCAAAGTGTGGAGGTGTGACACGCCAGCTGCTGGTGCCTTAACCACCTGTCTTCCCTGGGATTCTGGCAATTTCTTCCCCTCCGAGCTGCACTCCTGGCTGACAGGCTGCCCCTGGTGATAAAGCCTACACCCTTTAGTACACTCCCTCTGGGGCCATCCCCCCTCAGACCCTGGGCTGGCGACGCTTCACACACACACACACACACACACACACACACACACACACACACACCACGTGTGCATGACTTATGTCAACGCCGGGTTATGTGGCGTTGTTTCAAGCACGTTAAACAGAATCTCAGCCTGTGTGTGGTGACACACACTCAGGACAGGATCCCCGAGGTCAGGTGCCCACCCCACTGTGGATGCACCTGACTCTGGAGACATTAAGATGGGGGGAGGGGGGACATGCGTCACAGTTAAACAAGTGCCATTTGAAGCTGAAGGAGTCTAGCCCTGGCCGGAGGGCTCAGCTGGTCAAGTGTTGTTCCACACGCCGGAAGGTTGTGGGTTTGATTCCTGGTCAGGACACATACCTAGTTTGCAGCTTCAACCCCTGGTCGGGCTGTGTAAAGGAGGCGGCTGATTTCTTTCTTTCTCTCTTTCTCCCTTCCCTTCTCTCTAAAACCAGTAAGTGTATCCACGGATGAGGATAAAAAAAATAAAAAAAATTGAAAGCATCTAGACATTACCTTGCTCTTGATCAACTTTTTCTAGTGAAGTGAGTGAACCACTTAAAAGATTGTTTTCACACACTTACTTCGCATACAGAACACCAACAACTCAACTTTACCTTCTGCTGAAGAAACTGCTCCTTTATTTTCTGCATCTGCTTTTTCAGAGAACTGGCGTCTTCCTGCAGGTGCTCCACCTACGAGGGCAGGCGGGCTCAGCATTACTGAGGGGTCCTTCCTCAGCTAAGCCCTGGGCCCAGCCCTGGACACACTTTCATTTTACAAAACAAGGGGTTTAAAGAAAGAACCAAGCTATTAGCACTGACACTCGCATGTGTGGGTGGGATGCGTACAAAATGAGGGCCAATGGCGCTCGTTACCTGGCTGGACTTAACGGCTAATTCCTGTCTCAGCTGCTCCAAGATTCCCGACGTTTCCTCAGCACCTTCTTCCAAGCTCCTGACTCCTCTGTCGAGCTCCTCGCCGCTGCTCTTGGCCGCCTGCAGAGCCACCTCCAAGACAATCTTCTCGTTCTGCAGGAAGCGGATGGCGTCGTCCTTGGAGGTGGCCTCGCCCTGCAGCTCCTCCAGCCGGGCCTGCAGCTCATCGTAGCGCACTTGCAGGTCGCCGAGCGCCTGCTCTCGGCCCTGCAGCGTCTCCTGTGTCGAGGTGAACTGCTTCAGCAGGTCCAGGTGCTCCTGCTGCAAGGCATCGAGCTGCTGGTCTCGCTGGTGCAGGGTTAGCTTCACCTGGAAAAAAGACCAGACTCAGTCTGCCGTCCGCTCCAGAACTGACACTGCTTCCCGGTTCGGGTTTTACAACATCCGCATGGGCGCCGTGCAGGCAGCCGTCTGTGCGTAAAGGTCTGGCAGACGAGAACACTCACAGAAGCACCAGCTCTGACGATGCGACACTAAAATGAATTCACACACAGACAGCACTGATGCTCACAGGGGCCCGGGGAGGCCAGCTACAGGAGGCCAGCAAGCGGCCTGGCCCCCGGGAGAGGTGAGGCAGGTGCTTGCCTGCTCCAGCTGCTGCTCCAGGGCCGATGCGGAGGCCGCCATCTTCTGCAGCTGCTCCTTCTCCTCCTCGAACTCCTCCAGCCTCCTTTGCAGGTCCTCCTCCACCATCGTCTTCGCCTCTTGGATCTGCACAAAGGCAGCTTCCTGGTCCAACATGTCAGCCTGCGCCCGGGAGAGAGTGTATGTTAGAAAGCAGGATCACCTGACAGCCACCGCAGACGGAGCACAAAAACCCTCCACATGGCGAGGGGTCCGGGTCCGACCACAGCACCGTCCGTCCACGACCTGCACACGGAGGAGCTGAGGGCCCCGGGGCGGGAGGCAGCGGCCCTCTCCCTCAGGGCTGCACCTCAGTGTCGGAGGGCTGGACAGCGGCGCAGGCTGCGTGCTCCAGGACAAGAGCACTTAGCACCGCCAGACTCTGCAATGCTCTCGGACACGCACGGTACTCAGCCCCTCCTTTCCTGCCCACACTCCGCCCAGCATCCCCTCCACCGGGCTGGGCACTAGGACCCAGGCCACTGAGGGTCAGAGGAGAGGAGAGACCACTGACCGTTCAGTGAGAACGGGAGGGACTGAGTCTGCACATCTGACCACGGCAGGTGGTTCATATTTCAGAAGACATACAAATGTATGTGTGATATTCGTGTTTACATACATTTGTGTACATATGTATTTGCATATTTTCTTATTCTTGACCAGTGGCCGGAAAAAAAAAAAACACAACACAGCACCAAACACAGAGCCGCTGAGGGCCTGGCCGCGGCCATGGCTCACCTCGATGCCCTGGAGCTGCAGGGCGATGCGCTCCTTCTCCTTGATGGACCTGTGCTGGGTTTCCGTCAACTGCTGCGACAGGGACACGTTCTCCAGCTTCAGGTGCTCCAGGAGGCCCGTCTGGGTCATCTGTCCCACCTGCAAGGAAAAAGCAAGATGGGGAGTTGCTGGGTTTCAAGTCCCCGAGGCCACAGGGTGAGGGTCTCTGCCCCCTTCCCGCCAGCCACCTTGACGCCAGGGCCAGGGGCTTCTGTGTGCCTCGGAGGGGCAGGCCGGCAGCCCAGAAGCCAATGGTCCTTCTCCCTGTGTAGTTTGTGGTGTGATCCACACCCAGAAGTTCCCACTGGAGGTGCATCTGTGAGCCCTAACGTGAGGGCCTGCACCTGGAGGCAGGCGCTGGAGGTCTGTCTGCCCCTCAGGTGACCTGGCCAGCTGGGACCGGACACAGGTCAGTGTCTGACTGTCCTGGTCCACCAGGCTGACTGAGCCACTCCCAGGAAATAGCACCGGCAGTCCAGGCTAGGGTCTGAACTAGCCATCCGTCAGGCCTCCTCTGACCACTGACTCCTGGAGAAGGATGAGCCCAGCTTTACACACACTGGTGCCCAGAGGAGGGGCCGGGAAAGAGGAGTCTAGAGAACACACGTCTGCCCCGGGACCTTGGAGCACGTCACTTCCAGATCCAACAGGAACACCCTGAGGACAGGTCTCCGTGGGAGTGCCGGAGTGAGGGGACGCTGTGTGCTGGGGCCGTGTCTCGAGGGAAGGATAGAGTAAGACCACCCTGACTCTCCTCTCCGCTGGACTGTCCTGAAAACTCATCTATGTTCCTGGGACAAGGGGGCAATGCGGTGAACACCCTAATTAAGGAACGCTGAGCCTGGGCCCCAGGGGATTGGTAAAAAGCAGTTACATCTCTCATACTGCCTCTCCCTGGACTGTTCATTTTTATCTTCCAAACGCCGTTTCTGACTTTGGTCATTTACCTAAATCTGGCTTCTTTATATTTAGAAATCATTTTATAATGTAATATTTTAAGTAGAACCAATGCTTGTCTGTGTGGTCCTTTAGCTTAAATGTATAATGGAAATTTAAGGAAACTCCTATTTTGTACATGTGTAGACTTCAGTTTTTTTAAAAAGGAGCATTGGGTAGAATTAGAATGTCACATCCTCTATTTGAGAAATAGAGCGAAATTAAGAGAGAGAAAAGAGGCCTAAGGCTGATGGTGGCCTCTTGGCATCCCCATGGTCAACCCGATTCGTCCACAGCACAGAGGCTCGCAGCCACTCCCTGGCTGCTCCGAGTCCTCCAGGGCAGAACTCGGTGTGGCGGGCCTCCCCAGCTGGAAGGGAAGCCATGCACACTCGGTGCCAGAAACAGTCTCAGGAGAGTCGAGACCAGGTGGCGTGCGTGTGAGACAGGGTCACGGGATGGAAGGCGCCCTCACAGGGCAGCGAGCACAGCAGTCAGAATTGGGACCACAGAATGTCCCAGAGGGGCTGCAACCCCCTGGTCACAGAGATGCCTGCTGTGCAGGGCGGGTGTGGGCTATGTGAGTGGCAGCAGGTTTTTAAAATGCGCATCTGTGGGCTCTGAACACTGAAGGGAAAGTCAGGGAAAAGCAGCGGCTCCACATGGCACTTGCAGGGGAGCTGCCCAGGGCTGGCAGGCCGCACCTGGATGTGGGCCATCTCGCCCTGCAGTCTGACCCGGGCCTCCTGGGCCAGGGCGAGCTGCTGCTGGTACCACTGCCGGACGCTCTGCAGAGACGCGATTTCAGCCTGGGACGTCTTCAGCCGGCTGGTGAGCGTCGTGCGCTCCAGCTGCACCTGCCGCAGCTGGCTCTGCAGGGCCGCCATCTGCTGCCGCAGGTCGTGCACTGGAAGCGAGAAGGCACCGTGCTCAGAGCAGCCCATGGCAGGAGCCTGAGCTCCGTGCGGACGTCCCGGTCCGTTCGGCTTCAATGACGGCAGGGACCAGCCCGTCCACGCCTGGTGCTGAGCTGTGGCTCCTGGGGCACAGGGCTGGGTTCTGGCCACGACATTTCGTCAGCTGGTCCTTGTTGTGCGTGTCTGTCACCTACATGACCCATGAGCACCAGGACTCCGGTGGAGCGAAGCTCCCCTCACACCCCTTTTCTCCACTGAACAACCTCGCAGCCCCTCACTCTGAGGACCACCATTGCACTTCAGGCTCCTTTAAAACAACAAATCACCTCCCCTGTGGGTGTGCAGAAAAGTGGGCACCTTGTATGCAGATCGGAGGGATACACCCACGGCACATTCCCACGACTACAGGTGGGTCCTCAGAGCAGGTTTGTGAGGTGCCCCCGCCCAGCCCGGCCCGCAGACGCCGGCCCCACACGCACCGGTGCTGTCCTTGCTGAGCATGCTGCTCCGCATCTCCTCCACCTTGGCCAGGAGGCGCTGGTACTGCTCCTCTGCCACCTGCAGGTCGCGGTGGGAGGACGACAGGCTGGCGTTCTTGGCCTCCAGCGTGTTCTGCAGGTCACTCATGGCCTGCTCCAGGTCCCAGCAGGACTGCTTCAAGGTGTCCACCTCCGAGCTGAGTGCATCCTGCTTCCGCTGGCTGCTGTGGCTATGCTCCTCCTGCGCCTGCAGCCGCGTGTTCAGGGCGGCCAGCTGCGCCTGCAGCTCCGCCTTCTCCTTCAGTGCCTGGAAAGACCATCAGAAGCCACACTGACAGTCAGGAAATCTAGTCCCTCCACCCTTTGTGTTCAGAAGGCGGCCACACCAACTAGTGAGGCAAAGGCAGTGTCGATAGGTGAGCTCTCTAGGACAGTGCCACGCTGCCCAAACTATCCAGGAGTCTGACATGACAATCACCCCAGAGAAGGCGGAACTGCAACTTATTCATAAAGACGAGCGGACCCCACCACGATCAGGAAGCACATGGCACACCACGCGTTCACCAAACCCCCTTACCTGACTAGCCTCTTGGGTTAAGGCTTCCAGCTGTCCTTCAAGTCTCATTTTTTCTTTAAGAACCTGCAGCATCTCATCATGCGTTTCAGCCACAGACCCCTCCATGGACACGCTGGAGGAAACGGCATAAAGGATCAGGTGGTGGGGACACGAGTGACCGTTACCTTTACATGTGTCCATGCTCTCCAAACCTCCACACCCTTGTGTTCTCTGCCAAGGGGTAAAGTAAACAAGTAAAGACCCCAGAAGACTCCCCCACCCCCGCAGCCAGGCATGCTCAGCCCCACATCACTGGAGCTCCCGTGTGGAGGTGAGCCAAGCACCTGAGCCCTTTCAGAGGCATGTCTAAATGAACACTGGAGGACAGGATGTCCTAGGATTGCAGGCGACGACAGAGCAGCTCTAACTCCATATTTACAAGGACAGACTTAACATGTGAAGGACTGAGGATGAGTTAGGTGTTGTGATGGGCCCTGCGTGCACAGCGCCCACCTGCTACAGATGCTGTCCGTCCGGCTCCGCGTCTCCCCATTGACCTCCGGGCCCCGGTCTCGGTGCTCAGCGGCAGCGGCCTGGAGGACATCCGTGATGGACGGGAACTGGCCCAGAGAGCTGGAGGCGATCTCCTGGCCGTTGATCACATAGGCTGCTTCCTGCGTACCCACGCTGTTCATCAGCAGGCCGTGCACCCCCCGGATGGAGACGCCACTGTAGGAAGAGCTGTCGCTCTCGTTCCCGTCGGCCTCAGACATGTCTCCGGGAAGGGACGAGTTCTCCAGGTCCTCGGCTTCCGGGCCCAGGCTGACCTCAGACACCACTGAAGTCATGCTGCCTCGGTTCTGCTTCAGGGAGCCCCTGGCGGAGTCTGTGGCCAGAACATTTCCACTCGAATTCCCGGCATCTGAGTCTTCAGTTCTGTAATCAGCCAGGGACCGGATTTTGCTTGATTTGGAACTTTTCTTCTCCTTAGAATGTGCCAGGTGCCTTAAGCTGCCCACCTTCGGGCCTCGAGGCACACTGGTGCGCAGGAAGGAGTACTCCTTGGTCATCGCCACGGTGCTGGCCCTGGGTAAGGTTTCAGGGTTCAACATGAGCTCAGGGTCCAGTGTGCTGAAAGGTCTTGTTTTAGTTGCAGGTTGGCTGGACTGAGAAAGAAAGGAAGGCATGATGTTATGTTTGAAATGGACAACGGCATTCAAAATGTGCCACCCAGATAGGATGCCAGAACAAACAAGCACCCGTGTGTGCTCCCTCCCACCCTGGCAGCCTCACTGTCCCGCGTCACTAGTGACCATCTAAGCACCATCCAAGCACCTGCCGTCAACGACTGTGACTTCTTTACAATGAAATACAGCTATCAGCAAGTCCTCCCTCCTCACACCTCCTTAGAGCATTTCCCCGGCTATATCCCCATGCTTGTACTTTGAGATAAGCTTTACACTTTCTTCAAGTTATAAAAAGCACTCCTGTTGAATTAGAACTACCTTACAAGAAGTTCTTTGAGGATCACGAGTTATTTCCCTCCACTTATTCGTAACTGCTTTCAAAGGAAGTTACACAGTTCTTCTAATAGATTCTAAACCACTTTTCTGCCAATTTAATCTAATGCTTACTTTGTCTCTTCCATTATAAATATTGGTTTTATTAGGATAATTATAGATTTTTTAAATGTTTATTTTTATAATAAAATCAATGATGACAGATACTAGCTGATAGGCTGCCCCCTGCATGCCCCCCACTGGAAATCAAGCCACAACCTGGGCATGTGCCCTTGACTGGAATCAAACCTGGGACCCTTCAGTCCACAGGCTGATGCTCTATCCACTGACTAAACCTGGCTAGGGCTTGATTTTTAATACTCATACTTTTAAACCAAATTCCTAAACCCTAATTGCTTTAGTAATTACATATTTTTATAAACTTATTATTTTTAGCTCATCCTCTAGAGCACAGGTGGGGAACGTCAGCCGTGAAATCATTGTTCTGACCCTGCCCAGGCATTAGGGGTGAGTTGAGTAAGTGGTTGACCCCAACACAGCAGGCTCATATTTAGGTGATAATGTTGTAAATACCCACATGGCCCCGGGCAGAAGGAAGTCCGTCCGTCCGTCCGTCCATGTCCTCCCCACCCCCTGCTCTAGAGCTCATGGAGGCATCCCCAGCAGGCGTGAACACCATTTCTCCTGGAGGCCCAGGACCGGCTGGCTGCTCCGGTGAGAGAGCAGTGCTGCCCACCCCAGGGCTGGCTGTCTCCCCTCTCCAAACGGCCGACTGGAGGGTGAAATGTGCTTGTTCCAAGAGAAGAAGAACCAGCAGGGGGAGCCAGGGCACTGCTGGAAATTCCCAGGGTGGGAACCAGTGAGAGAAAGACTTCCCAGAGAAGCACAGAGAAGTGAAGGCAGGTCCTGGAACTCCGTCTGACTAGTCATGGCTTGTGACACACAAGTTCCCTGTTAGTTTGCTCGAGAGCAGGACTCACGCGCTCCTGCTGGCGCCTCGCCCTGTACTGCGTGAGCTGCTCCTCCAGCCGCCGCCGAGCCTGCAGTCGCACCTGCTCCTCCTTCTCCAGCGGCAGCGGGGCCTCTGCTGAGCCTGGGTGGGGAAACGGCCACTTAGAAACTCAGGAAGCTCAGGGAACACAGGACAGAACAGCAGCTTGGCTGTCATCGTAATTAACAACATGATTTAGCTTCTAAACAATGCACACCGCCTAGTTTGAAAGCCTACTTCCAGATGAAAAAAAACAAACCGTGAGCCCTGGACACTGGTGGCCAACAGGACCTGTCTGATAGAAGATGCTTTGGCTATGCCCAGGGCTGGGGTCCCTACAGCATCCAGAGGGTACAACAGGACACGGGCAAACTTGCCCCTTAGTAACAGAAGAACTGAACTCAAAAGTCGGTGCCCGTGGTGGGCCTCATGGTGCTGTCACTCTGATCTCTGAGGTTAGAGGAACCATTGAGGAGCAGTCATGGTGGAGTGACACCTAGTCATGGGAGCCTGTCACACCAAATTTTTTTCATGCAATTACATCTGGAGACAGAACTTTACCCACAGCTTACCTAAATCTCTGCAGTAATGAGTTGTGTTATATTTTTGGCCAATAGCAAGATTTAAACAAAGGGTGAAGAGTGAAGGCAATGGTACAAGCCACAGGTTTCTGTCACGGACAGCAGACAGGTATGTTGGAACCCAGAGGGGAATACACTGATGAGGGCAGATGAATGGCCTAGCTTAACCCCTTCAGATGCAGAAGTTACGCAGCTCTCGTTTTATTTTTTTTATTTTTTATTTTTTATTTTATTTTTTTTTTTTTAAATATATTTTATTGATTTTATACAGAGAGGAAGGGAGAGAGATAGAGAGTCAGAAACATCGATGAGAGAGAGTCATCGATCAGCTGCCTCTTGCACACCCCCTACTGGGGATATGCCCGCAACCAGGGTACATGCCCTTGACCGGAATCGAACCCGGGACCTTTCAGTCCCCAAGCCGACGCTCTATCCATTGAGCCAAACCGGTCCCGGCCGCAGCTCTCGTTTTAAATAACCCCTAAGAGCTGAGCAATGGAAGTCCAATGATTCCACTACGAAGTCACCAACGTCATTACTAATCTGTGCGTTTACTAGACGTCGGGTACTTTTCTCCAGGGTCAGTGGTCCGGATGGCAGAAACCCAGAGGCTGTGGCTGCAGGCAGGGAACCCAAACCTGCAAGTTCAGCACCAGGGACACAGCCTGAGAGTCAGGCCATGAGTGAACGCTCCCAGGGAAGGGAAGTGGTGGTCGCTGCCATAGGGCACCAGAGCTCACACCCCCTCAGAGCGGGAATCCAGGCTTTTACATGTCTCTTGCTTAAATGTTGCAATGAGTTTCCAGAAATTTTAAGAATATACCACAGCCTTAATACAATAATGCCTGTGAGGAAAAAGGCAAACCACCCAAAAGAAAAACGGGCTGAAACATATCAACCAACAATTCACAGGAAGGAGTGACCGAATGGCCAACCCACCCTCCAGCAATCAGGCAAGTACAAGGCTCACAATCCAGTCACCAGGAAGCACCAGGCGCACCCATCAGACTGGTGGAGACAGAGAACGTGTCCGGGTGCAAGAGGGTGGGCGACGGTGAGCTCTCCGGTCGCTAGGGTGCTGCTGTAAGGCCACTCGTGTGGGAATACGTAAAAACGCCCAAAAAGCCTGCTCTTGGGACATAGCCCCAGAAGTGAGCACAAGCACGCACTGCACAGACGGCCCGGGAAGCCACGTAGCTCTGCTGAGTGAGCTCCATGCAATAATGGGACCAATGACCCAACCCTGGCTGTTTACAGAGGCCCAGGTAGGGTCATGAGAGCACAGGGGTGTATGACCACGATGTGAAATTACACGTCTGGGTATGAGAAAGAAGTGGAGACTTCTTGGCCTCACAGACTGCCAGTTTGTGATTTGTTCACCCCCAAACCCATGTTGATTAAATTAACTCATCAAAGAAAGCTTCCAAAGGGTTAACTGCTGAGTCTAATTCCCCACAGGCTGCCTGCTCACCACCCAGGATGACAAAAGGCACGCACAGGCCCTTTAAATCTGGACCTGGAATACCACCACGAAGATGTGTGTTCTCTCTCTGAAACGGAGCCACGCGATACACGCACGGCCCACTGTGACAAACAGAAGGCCCCTGACCGTGACTGGGGAGGGAGAGGAGGGGAGGCGGGGTCGGATGCTTACACAGTTGCGTCTCTTGCATAGGAAGACTGCGTCTGAGAGACTGCAAAGCTTCTTTTCTAACACTGCCCTCAGCACTAGTCCCCTGAGACTTCCTTAGGTTGTCATGGAAACCAGCCACACCTGGAGGCGCAGCAGGACCCGCTGGGCTCTTGGTGGGACTGAGAGCCGACGGCGGGCTGGGGAGCTGTGGCATCGGCCCGTTCTGACAGGCGTCCCCCTCGCTGGGCCCGTCGGGGCTTGCTCCTTCATCCGTAGCTCTGTCCGCCACGGTGCTGGCACCTGGAAGAGAGGGCATGCTAAGTCATCCGACATCACTGTCCCACCTGCTTATGCCTGCTTTACAGGGGTCCCTTCCTCCAGCCCCCATGACGACCCTGAGAGGCAGCTTCCACTCGTCTTCCCTTTCACACGAGAGGACATTGAGGCTGAGATAAGTCAGGACCCTCGGGAGGGCTTGCTGCACTTTATGGCAGATCTCAGGCTGGCTCCCTCTCTGTCCCCTGTGGGATCCTTGGTCTTGGGCCCATGCTGTCACCAGCCTCACTCAGCACTCAGGAGCAGAAACCAGCAAAGCCATTTTAGAGCTCGAACATGGTTTTCAAGAACCATAATGCAATTTCTGCTACTACTTACATCAGTACTCTATAATTTTCAAGCACACACGGCACTGAGCATCCTGACCAGAATGGGGTAGAAAGACTAAGTGAATAATTCACCCCTGTAATTCTGAGGAACAAATAACCCACCCGCTAACATGCAAATGTGGTCCCATAATCCTTAGCTCACTAATGCACTGCTCTGGATCCGTTAGCAACATTCTGGCAGCCAACCAAACAAAAAGGCAAAATACTAGGTCGGGAAAAACGATGTGTTAGAAACTTTAAGAGAAGTCATTGCAGCCCCTCCTCGCTGGGGCAGAGAGCGGGGAAGTTTCTGTTCTGTTTACAAGCATGGCACTTGATTGAAAGATGGCATCAACTAAGAAAAGACACGCATCTGACACTGAAGTCACATTTTAAATGAAAAGGTCACGATCGTCTTAAACACCCCAGTCTTCCTCTAAAACGCTAGCTGACCCACATCTCCTGTGTGAAGGCGGTGTCAGCAGCTCACGGGACTTACGCTGGGCTCCATCCCTCTGGCCAGCTGGCGCCGGAGGGCCCAGGGGCTGCGGGAGGGCGTCAGGACCAGCCGTGGTGCCGCTGCGGGATCCATCTTCCAAGAGGCCGCCCTTCATGGCCGACACTCCGTCCATGGTCAGGACGACTCAGACGGGGCTGACAAGCAGGGGCTGCACAGGAGCTGCCATCACCAACAGTCAGGATCCCCCGGCAAGGACGGCACAGGGTTTTCCATTTTCAAGGGATTTAAAGTCTTACAAATGACTTGACATTAAACCAAGGATTATAATACCTAAGAGGAGGGAAAATATAAACAAAATATTACAAAACTTCATTGTCTCATGTGATGCAACAATTCCAAGATTAAGATTTGCTTCCCGATTGGCATCTGTGTAAGAAACAAATACAAATGTATTCATTCAACAAACATCCCGAGTGCCCACAATATCCCAGGTTTTGAGAATAAAATGCTGAACCTGCCACACCGGGCCAGCTTCCGAAGGTGCTTACCATCATTATCGGTGCTGGCCCAAGACCGTCTCCCTGGACCGAGAAGACCATAATGGCTCTGTAACTATCACAGGTGGCCACTGAGCTGGTGGTAGGGGTGAGGAACTGAGCTTTCACATATTAATTTTATTTACTACTTATTCCCTGTAAATTTAACTAACTTGGTATAAGCAGCCACATGTGGACAGGTACTTCTGTGTGGAACACAAGCCTAAGCACTCCGAGGACTCCCCTTCAGACCCGGCGTGAAGGGCCGAGGCCGTGGCCGAGAGCCGGCTGTGGGATCGTGGTCGCTGTCCTCTGTGTGGGAAGTACAGGGAGAGGCAGCCACTGTGGGATGGGGGCAGAGAGCATCAACAGGAGACCAGCATCCGTTAGCCCATCCTATGAGGCTAAGTTAAAAAAAAAGAAAAAGATATTTTATTGGTCTTTTACAGAGAGGAAGGAAGAGGGATAGTCAGAAACATCGATGAGAGAGAAACATCCATCAGCTGCCTCCTGCACACAACCCCTCCCCAACTGGGAATGTGCCTAAAACCAAGGTACATGCCCCTAACCGGAACTGAACTTGGGAGCCTTTAGTCTGCAGGCCAATGCTCTATCCACTGATTCAAACCGGTTTTGGCTTGTGAGGCTAATTTAAGAGAACAAACTTTGCCCGGTTTGGCAACTGGCTATTGCTTGTAAAGTGGCTGAGGATGTTCTTGTTTGTTAATCCTCACCTGAGGATATTTTTTTCCATCTATTTCTAGAGAGAATGAAAGGAAGGGAGGAAGGAGACTGAGAGAGAAAAACACCGACTGCCCCCTCTCCCACAAATACTCTACAGAGGCCAGGAATTGAATCCAAAACCCCTCGGTATTATGAGGACTGATGCTCCAACCACTGAACGATGCCAGCTAGGACACGGCTGAGGATATGATTGCTGAGTTTCCTCGTCAACAGATACGGTGTTAGTTGTTACTCGTCCTTTCAGAATGTTGGCATTTACTTCCTTTAGAATAGGTTTCAGCCCTGGTTGGTATGGCTCCAGTGCACAGAGGGTTGGCCTGGGGACTGACGGGTCCAGGGTTCGATTCTGTTCAAGGGCACATGGCTGGGTTGTGGTCTCAATTTCTCTCCAGCTTACAAATCCCATAGACGTTGGGATGACCAGGCAGTGGTCCTCACAAGATCGGACATAGGTGTACCTGCTTCTCCAGAGGCATGTACTCCGAGCACCTCCTTACCCTGTCCTGTGAACAGGCGCCCACGGGGGCTGGCACGCCTGCTCCACCCATGCAGAATGGCTCGTGATGGGAGTAGAGACCATACACAGACTGAGTCCTGGGAGGCCTCCTGGACAGGCTCTGGCAGAATGCACAGGCTCAGGCACGACCCCCCACACACACACCTCAGCTCAGCTGAGAGAGCATGGGGACATCGCTTAACCACTCTCACCAGGAAGAGGGAGAGAGAAATAACACAACATGTTGCCACAACTAAATGCAATAAGGCACAGGGTCTGTCCCATACCCTCAGAAATGGCTATTATTGCCCTAACCGGTTTGGCTCGGTGGAAAGAGCATCGGCCTGTGGATTGAAAGGTCCCGGGTTCGATTCCAGTCAAGGGCATGTACCTTGGTTGTGGGCACATCCCCAATAGGGGGCGTGCAGGGCAGCTGATAGATGTTTCTCTCTCATCGATGTTTCTCTCTATCCCTCTCTCTTCCTCTCTATAAAAAAAAAATCAATAAAATATATATTTTTTAAAATGGCTATCATTAGTGTTATTTTCTTTCAATTGTTGCTTGTCAAAATCGATAGGTACAAATAACTGAATATATTCTCACTTAAATTATATTGCTACTTAAGGCAACCAGCCAAAAAGAGGAGGGCCACTTTGAATCTAAGTGATATTATGATTTTTTCTTTTCTCATTATTCAAGATAAAAAGATTCCTCATTCCTGTAAAGGGTGAAGTTTGTGATATTAAAGGAATAATTAAAAAAACTTTTATACTGAGAGAGAGAGAGAGAGAGAGAGAGAGAGAGAGAGAGAGAGAGAGAGAGAAAGACAGGGAAATAAACACTGATCAGTTGCCTCCTGCACACACCAGGACTGGGGATCTCACATGCAATCCAATCCAGCCCAGCTGGTGTGGCTCAGTGAATGCAGGTCAGTCTGCAGTGTGGGGTGCACAGGAGGCAGCCTAAGGATGATTTTCTCACCACTGATGTTTCTCTCTCTCTCTCTCTCCCTCCCTCCCTCCCTCCCTCCCTTCCCCTCCCTCCCTCCCTCCCTCCCTTCCCCTCCCTCCCTCCCTCCCTCCCTCCCTTTCTCTTCCTCTCTGAAATCAATAAAAATAGTTTTTAGAAAAAAGCAACCCAGGGATGTGCCCTGTCCTGGAATTGAACCCGCCACTTCCGGTATACGAGACGACACTCAAACCAGCTTAGCCATCTGGACAAGGTGACAAATCAGAATTTTTTTTTTTTTTTTTAAAGTCCATGAGTCACCTGAATGTGGCTTACAACATCCCAGCGGCTTCTATCACACGGACCGTAAAACCCAGGCCGTCCATCGTAAACGCCGGGGCTGCACCCTCCTGGCCTCTCCTCCCATGGGAGGACCCCACCCTGACGCCTCCCTCCGACCTCACACTTGCTGTTCACGCTGCCTGAAACGCTCTTTTTATTTAAAAAAAACATTTTATTAATTTCTTAAAGAGAGGAAGGGAGAGGGATAGTTAGAAACATCGATGAGAGAGAAACATCCATCAGCTGCTTCCTGCACACCTCCTACTGAGGATGTGCTCGCAACCAAGGCACATGCCCTTGACGGGAATGGAACCTGGGATCCTTCACTCCGCAGGCCGACGCTCTATCCACTGGGCCACACCGGTGAGGGCTGCCTGAAACACTCTTATTCCACAGCTTTGCAAGGCTAATTTCCTGTCATTGGCTCAAAAGTCACCTCCCCACCCGGGCCTGCCAGACCCACCCAAGCACCAGCCGACACTCCCCGCCATCACCTCCCTGACGGTCCCTTTCACTCCCAGACAAGGCGAGCTCGGCAACGGCGCCCCGCACACGCCTGACACCCAGTACCTGCGCGCGGAGGTCTGAGCGGCCCACCTGCTCCGTCCTAGGGACAGTGTCGGGCCCACTGGCCCTGCCAAGTTCCACTGCCCGGGGTCGGAGGGCGAGGTGGCGTCCAGGTGGCGGGAGAGGCAGACACACACACACACACGCACGCACACGCGCGCACACACAGACACACACACATACATGCACACTCACACACGCACACACACACGCACACTCGCGCACACACACGCGCGCGCACACACACGCACACACACACACACACACGCACAGGCTCTGCACACCCGGCCTCACACTCCCCGCGCCGCACCACGTGACGCCTGTCACCCAGACCGCACGTCCGTCTGCGCCGCGGCCGGAGCCTCCTGGGCGGGCAGCGCCCCCAGCAGCCGCGGGCACCTCTGCCCCACATCCCGCCCTGTCACGCGCAGGCGGCGTCCCGAGCGCCCGGACGAAGGGCCATTCCCGGAGCCAGCGGCCGGGCACCTGCACCAGCAGCTCCCGTGCCCCGAGGCAACCAGCGAGGCCGGGCTGGCCCGGGGCGTCGCCGCCTCCAGAGGAGACGCGGGCGGCCCGCCCTCGGGGTCCGCCCAGGCCCCGCCGCCCCCTCGCCCGCCCTCCCCGGGACGCACGGACGCCCCACGCCCTCCCCAGCGGAGTCCCGGCCCGGAAGTTTCCCGTCGCGACCCTCACCCCGGAGCCGAGGCGCCGCGGCGGCAGCCCGGCCCGGCGGCTGCTCTAGCGGAGACGTGGCCGCGCCGGAGGCGGGGTCGGGCGCGGCGACGACTTGGGCCCCCCCGGAAACAGCCGGTGCACGCCGCCTTCGTTCCGGAGGAGAGAACGGGCTCTGGCTCTTCCCGTCCGCAGCCGCCTCCCCGGCTGCGGGGCCGGCATCGAGCCCAGTCGCAAGGGGCCCGAAGCGGATTTCAGAATATGAGTGGGCGGCTCTTCCCCGCATAGAAACGCAGTGTCCCCACTGGCAGGACCAACTCCGACCGGAAGAAGGGTAACTGAACTTCCGGTGGAAGTGGCGTGTCTAAAGCTTCGGCCCCGCCCAACCTGTCAGACTGTGGGCGCGGTCACCGTTGGGGGGGGCCGCCCCCGGGTGGGGTCCGCGGGGGGCGTGGCTAGCAAAGGCGGAGGCAAGACTGTGGGCTCCCCAAACCTCCCAGCGCGCCAAGAAAATGAGTCCTGCTTCAGAGCCTGGCAACGTTTTAAACACACGATTGCTGGCAGGTGGCAGGTTAGGTCTTTTCCCCCCCCATGATATCAAATTGCCCCCGCACTCTTTATTAGAGACTGTCTTTCCTCCACTCACTTGCTTTGACACTGGGTTGGCTGCTTGTGTGGGGGTTACCGGGATCTCTGCCCTGTTCTGGGATCTCCGAGCTATCCCAGGACCTTTGCAGAGAGCTGTAATACCCGGAGTATATTCTGTCATTTTTCCTCATTGTTCTAGCTATTCTGGGACTCATGCCCATTGTATAAATTTTAGAATGAACTTGTCTATAAAAATCCTTCCTGAGATTTTGATAGGAATTAGAACAAAACTATAGAACTTGGGAAGAATTGTTAGCTTTACCTCGCTGAGTCTTTCAGTCCTCTGCGTATTAGGTCTCCTTTGTTTTAGGCATGATACCCAAAGCACTTACCTCTGCTACAAAGGGCTCGCACCAGCAACAAAGACATAACACAGCCTGTGGCTTCAATGGGAATCACCAGCCTGTGGCTCCTTCAGGTTGAGGGATCTAAGAAACCCTGTGCCTTTGGGTTGCTCAGACCTAGGCCTGAGGACCAGCTTGGTGGAATCTTCTTACTAGAAAGCAGTAACTAGCAAAGTCTACAGCCCCCTGTCCCCGTGATGGTAAGAGGCACATCCTAACTAACACCAGAGAACAAACATGTGGAGAGAGAAACAGATGTGGCTTGTTTATTAGATGTGGGAAGGCAGCCTTCTCTCACACACACTGCTGCTTCTCAGTCTGTATCAAGAGCAAGACAACTGTTGTATTCCTGAGAAGCAAAAAGGTTACAATTTTGCAAACATAACAGGTGATTTTAACAAAAAATAAAAACTAAAAACATTTCTTTTTTTACAAATAATGAAACTTCAAGTATTATTCCAGATGACAGCAAACCCAACGCTAGAGGGCAGGGCAAGGACCAGTGGAAAAAAAGGGCCCTCGTGCTCTCCGTGGGAAGAGACTGCTCCAGGTAGGTCGTTGGTGCCACTAGGGCTGACCTGTAACTGGCACGTTAGCCACCCGTGGCCACGGCCCCACAGGAAGGAATGAGGAACATGGGCACACTGGGTGGGGCCCACACTTTGCTTCCTTGTGGGCTCAGGGTGGTGGCAGCCCAGCTCGCCCACGCCCGGGAGGGGCCGTGCACTGTCAGGGTCCAGGGTTGCAGTTCTGGACTCCTGGTGACATTTCCATTAATACAGAGAAACACGTTTATGCTTTCAACACCATCCTACCTCAATTTTAGTCAACTTGTAAATTATATAAATTATATTACTTGTGCTCTAGTTTGTGGTATTTTAAATCTTACTAGAAGAGAAGCATCAACCCTTTAAAACAAAAAGCATCGAAGAACCATGGGTTTGCCATGGGGCACTGAACAGCCTGTAAACCTTTTCCTTAAACAGCAGAACGTTTCTGACCAACTGTCCTCTCTCTGCCGAGGAACTCTTCCTGGAGAGAGATGTGCGTTTTAACCATGGTGTGGGGAAGGTACAGAGAAAACCTGCTCACCCCCATCGTGGGAGGGGGGGACGGCTGGTGGCTGTTCTGGCTGAAGCACTTCGGGCGGCCCCAGGCCTCCCAGGCCGCTGCGGGGCCTCACTGAGAGGGACTCCTCCTCAGACAAAGTCACAGCCCTGGATGCACAGACCCCCAGCATGCCCTGAGGGAAATGTAAAATGCCCTTAAAATGTTCATATGTCGTATTTCCTGAAACACGCTGTCATTGGCCCCTGCACTTCCAAGCCATCGTGGTGCATCCTCAGCGCTTAGTTCTTGAATCTCGTCTGTTCACAGATATGATTGAATTTCCTGGGGGGGAGGAGGGGGGAAGGAGTCACATTACATACCACAGCCAGAGGATCATTCAAGTAAGCCAATTCCAAAACTGCCCACTGGACAACCACACAAGAAATGGTGGGCACGGGGGCTCACAGCAGCATACGCTTAACACTTTCACAGAAACTAACAGAGGAAGCTTTCTTTTCTCCTTTTTAAACTTTAAAATATAAATTGCAAATTTTAGGTAATTTTCTTGGAGAAGAGACTCAAAGCTGTGTGTCCTCAGCATCCCCAAGACACTGATGGACACACCTCCGGTTTAAAAGCGGAGGTGAGCTTACTCCTTTAAGAGCCTTGTAGGAAACATCTGGTGAGTGACCAATTCAGTGTGAACACAGTCATCCGCTCATGGCACTAGTGACAGACCCCGTGTGCAATGGCACGCTCACGAGCCCAGGCTTGGGAAGACTGATCCCAGTGACCATGTCCGCTGATCTGGAAATGAGTCGGCTGCGAACGAGGCTGTGCTCACGGGGGTGGAATGTGGAGAACATTCCATTCCGATGCCAAGTACTTCAGTAAAGGAGGTAACAGTTCCCAATGACCACCCTACTTTGTATATGACATGACCAGAGCAGTATGTTTATAAGGGGACTAGAAGCCTGGTGCACCAACTCGTGCACGGGTGGGGTCCAGCCGGCCTGCCCCAATCAGGCTGACTGGGGCCAATCAGGCAGGTAAGCTGGGGGGAGGGGCTGCGAGTGTTCGGCCAATCCCGCCCCCTGGTCCAATTCCCGGTCAAAGGGGTTAATTTGCATATTAGCCTTTTATTATATATAATAGAATACTAGTTGGCTAGTTCACAAACATCCCTAAAAGCTGAGATACCAACTTGTCCAATCACTTGAAAACTTCCGTTAGGAGAACAAGGTCTGCCTCCCTTAGGCCTGTCAGCCCCCTCCCGCTGTGAGCCCCAAGCGGACACACCCTGCCCCGCAGCACAGGGCACTCACATCGCGTGGTGGGCCTTCACCTGAGTGCGGCAGTTGCGACCCCAATAGCAGTCGGGACGGGACATCACAGCCACTAGGAGAGAAAAAGCCCACGGTGTCACATGTAGCTCGGGGCGGGGCTCACCGGGAGCCCCAAAGAGATGCTGTGGCCGAGAGGCAGCACTCTGCTGCGCATGCCGTCTCCCCGTTCCAGGAAAGGGCAAAGAGCTCCCTGAGCACCCACCCCGGAAAGGAGGCGGCTCCAGCTGTCGGAGGGCATTTTGTGCATCTCGTTTTAGAAACCCAAGCCACAGCCAACACCGAGCTGAGCGGACGCCAGGCGGGCAATGGCCTTGACACTGCACGACCCTCAGGCAGCCTCTGCCAAGAACATCAACAGAGCCAGACAGAGCTTCTGCCTAGTATGCCGGAGCACAGAAGCCACGGAAAACAGAGGTGAGCGGGTGGGGAGGGGGTCCCTTACCTGGCAGCTCGGAGGCCGGAATGTTCTGCCGATACTGGTAGGCCAGCTCCCGGAAGCTCCGCAGGCCGCAGCAGTAGCACAGCACGGTGCTGCCCGAGACCCGGTAATCTGGAAGAGCACAGCCTCATGGGGGCACGGCCAGATGTCAGAGCATCCGTGTCCAGAACGGTGGCACATATGTGGCCATGCAAACCAGTGGGGAACGAACACGCTGACCCATAGAAGGGGAGACAGCGAGCTAGAGGTTTGGGAAATAAGAACAAAACCAACCCAGATGCCAATTTATTCTCTCATTGCGAAACAAGTCCACTGAGGTTAAAAACTTAAATCTCCGCCAAAACCGGTTTGGCTCAGTGGTAGAGCATCGGTCTGGGGACTGAAAGGTTCCAGGTTCAATTCCGGTCAACGGCATGTACATTGGTAGGGGGTGTGCAGGAGGCAGCTGGTCGGTGTTTCTCTCTCATTGACGTTTCTAGCTCTTTATCCCTCTCTCTTCCTCTCTGTAAAAAAATCAATAAAATATATTTTAAAACAAACAAACAAAAAAACCTTAAATCTCCTTTAAAAAAAGCCAACAAAGTACTGAGAAGAGTAAACATAATCTTTCTCTTGAGCTACTTCCTAGTATGTCACAAAAACCAAAAGCACACAAGAAAGGGACCTGTAACTCTGAGTGCCCACAGCAAACATCGCACAGGAAACCGAGCAAGGAAGGAGAGAGTCAGGGACCATGGACAGCGCCAAGGCTCTCCAGAGGCGCTTACCAGACAGCAGGAACACACCCCTCTGCAGAGCCACCAGGCTCTCCGTCAGCACGTTCTTCCACGTCAGACCCCTGGTCGCCAGGTAGTTCTGTGATGGGGAGGCAAGGGGTCAGGAAAAACACAAGCGTGGACAAGAGGGTAAGTGGTTGTAAAAGGCCCTCGGAGGTGGGTAAAGCCAAGGAAACCATGGTAGGTGTCTGCAGAGGGCAGCGGCCACGCACCTTCAGGATGTCGGATTCGTAGTTGTTGTTGTTAAGCACCCCGTCCAGACACCTGTCGCCCAGGTGGAGTTCTGTCGGGTGGAGGGAAGCAATGTTTTACAGACATTTCACCCGACAGCTACGATAACCACATTTCCTTCACCACAGATCACAGGGGACAAAAAGCTCCACAGCAAAATACGACTTCGCCGAGAACACGTGCAATGACTTCCATTCCCTCCCCCGGATATGCCAGCTGCCACGTCCCTCAGCGCCGGGTTGCTGCCCAGATCTGAAGGCTGCAGCCAGACTGTGCCTCTTCGGGGGGCTGGGGGAAGGACCCTGTATGTACACAGGCTTCCTGGCTTTGAACTCAGGATCCCCCAAATTCTCCTGCCATTGCTTGGTGCTAAGCTAACCCTTTTTAATGGCACCCACGCAGTATTCAGGAAAAGGCAATTGGTTTGTGGTGACCTACAGTGGCTTCCTCCTCCTCGGGCACACAACAGGCCATGCCCAGAGAGAACATGCGGGCCAAAGCGACCAGCCGAGAGCAGCCTTACCACAGAAGGGGGCCAGGCAGCCGAGGCAGCCAGTCCGGGCGCAGCCCCAGTACAGGTGACAGAAGGGCTGCAGGCAGACGGCACCTGTGGGGACAGCACAGTTACCAGGCGGGACACCTCCAGGAGGGCCATCGAGTCAACAACAAACTCGATATCACAGCAACCCCCAAACTCTACATCAGAACCTCGCATTCATCTACCAGATGTAAGTGACCGGACAGAACACCTGTGCCCTGATGTGGGAATGGAAGCATGATGCAGACTCCGGAAAGAGAACCAGACAGACACGCGTGTGTGGTGGGAACAGCCTCCCAGTGTGGGAGAGGCCACATGGGACAGAACTTTGCAATGGAACACAGAACTGCGTGCTCATGTCTGTCCCACCACACACAGCATCAACTGTGCTGGGAATCGCGAGCCTGAAGGACACACGGGCGAGGCTTTGCAGTGGGAGGTCACCTAGGCCAACACGCACCCCCCATACTCACACTGCTGGGGGGCGATGCGGGGGTCCTGCTCCCGCTCGGCCCTCCGGTCGGGCATGGGCTGGAAGCAGCAGGTGCATATGGCGTGGCTCCCCTGCAGGGTGCACACGTAATCCTGGGCTGCAGAACAGATGGGATGTTCAGGGCGGGGTGTCGGGACACGGGCAGAGGGAGCCAATCAGAGAACGTCTATTGGGGTAGCTACCAAGGGCACACGAGGACAGACAGACCTACACAAACACCCAGGGAGAAGTCAGACATATTCTCTACGGCAACGGACAGTCTACCACTGAGACGAAGGAGTCTAAACAGACTGAAAACAACTAAGATTTCAGAGATCATGAAGATTTTCTGCCATTTCCTATAAGGAAAGGCCAGCCTGCAGAGCACACACCATAAAACAATAAAGTGAGTTTTATATTTAATCTCAGCTCCCTCCAAATAAACAAACAGGCCGGCAGAGGACTGCGGACCGGCACCAGACACTGTGTGCAGAGCCCACTAGAAGCAGGCAGTGGAGGGCCCAGGCCAATCTCTCACTGGAGGGGCCCAGGTGTGATGGTCATTTGGCTTTGGCAGACATCACTGGGAACACCAGTTGTCTGAGCGGTGGGCTGTGGGGGCCAAGGGTGAGAATTAGGACTGAATCCCCAGGAGTGTCCAGGAGCAGAGATCCAAAACAGCTATGAGGAGCAGCGGGCTATAAGGGGATGGGACCACCAGAGGCAGAGGACAGGACAGGAGGGCAGAGAGAGATCAGCAGAAACACCGGCTGCATCCCCAGGGGTCACAGCAGAGCCACGGCATGGCTCTCACCTGTCGTGGTGCTGGCAGATGTCGACGGTGTGTCGCCAGAGGCCTGCGGCGGCCCCTGCTCGCTGCCTGGCCCCGAGCAGAGGGGTGGCCCTGCCTGCCGTCGGTACTCAGGGCACTGTCTGCACACGATGTACGGCTGGCTGCAAGGGGAGCACACACCTGAGCTCGGACTCCGAGACCGCTCCCAGGGGTGCGGGAGGAGGTGAAGGATGGGGCCGATCCGAGCCTGGCAGCGCCCTCCCTGCTTGCGGACCGCATCACCTCCTCAGGCTCAGCCCTTAGCACCTGCTGTGGCCCAGCTCTGCCACTCCCAGATCCCTTTCCTGTACGGCTTCCAGAGCCCTTGCCCCTCAGCTGCTCCTGGGGTGCTGAGGCATCTTCTGCCCACCCTTCGCTTTGCAAGATGTCCCAGGGGCACGGCCACTCGGTCCCCACAGGGGACAGGTCTCGCTCTCCCAGGTTCTAAACTGGGCGAGCTGGGCACCGCATTCAGAGGCGCTCTGGGCCCTCAGGTACACAGGACTGTCACTCTGGCCACCCAGGAAATGTCTGCACATCGTCACAGTCAGAGCGAAGGCACCTAGGCGAACACTGTGTCCTCAGGAGCTTGCTTGTTTGTCCTCAGGAACAGCAGGGAGATGACCCTCAGGGCAGAGCCTGTCCCCCTCCCTGGCGGGCGCAGGCTCACCTCACGTCCGAGGACTCGCTGTCCACGTCGGACAGGTCCAGCAGGTCCTCTGAACTGACCTCCTCGTCCGAGAATGACCTCCTGACTTTGGGCTGCAGCATGTCCTGAGTGATCTTGTTCCTGGTGGCCATGCTCCGCACATCTTCCTCGCTGCGGCTCTTGTCTGGAATTCAAAGGACACGGCTCTGCTGGCGGGCGGGCCCTGGGGACACCCCCTGGTCTCCGGAGTTGCGGCCGCCCCACTTGCCTGGGTGCTGGAGAAGGTATGCCTCCACCAGGTTGTTGAGGATGTGGTTTTTACAGATGCGCTCGACAGGGCAGCGGCACGTGGGGCACAGCGTGGAGCGCTCCATCCAGCCTGAGTAGCAGGCCGCGCAGAAGGTGTGCATGCAGGGCTGCAGGCTGAGCACAGGGACAGGCCTTCAGATGCCCCTGCAGAGCACTTGCAGGTGGAGCGCCTGCCCGCCACAGCAGCCCCGTCCCCAGGGCATGGCTCGCCCGGAGCATCGGAAGCTGGGATGCCGGGTCACGCACGCTGCCTCTTCCCCCAGAAGAGGAGGTGGCCTTGCTCAGGCTGAGGATCCGTAACAGAACAGAGAATCAAGCTCACCCACGGCCCCCCAGCTCTCGCCTCAGAGGGGCCTGGAGCCCGTGCTGGGTGCTGTCCGCAGCTGGCAGGTCTGCGTCCTCTGTTAGTGACGCCCACACCCCACCTGGGAAACGGCCCCGGCACGCACCTCACGCAGTCGTGCAGCAGGTCCTGGCAGATAATGCACGTGAGCGTCTCCTCCATCTTGTCAGGCTTCTCGGCCGCAGCTCTGGCCTCCTCGGGGGCGTCCGGGGTGTCCGGACCCTGGTCTGCGGCCAGCAGAGGCGGTCTCAGGCTGGGCTCCCCGTCTGCAGGGAAGGGACACGGTGACCGTCACAGACAGGGCGCAGAGGCGTGCTCTTCCCCTCTGACACGCTTTAACCGCAGACAGAGCAGCCCCACCGGCGTGAAAGGTATTTTAACGAGGCCCTGACGTCTCCCGTGGCAGGCGCTCAGGTTTTGTTTTAGAAGGACAGTTCTCGACACGAGAAAGATGTCCAGGAGACATGGCTGAGAGCGAAGGCCCCGCCGTCCGGCAGCAGCTGTGTCCAATCGATTTCTACGTAAAGAAACCGGAGACTGACCTCCTCTCATCCTCTTCGTAGTGGGCTCCAGGCCCTCCGGATCCTGCGGTTCCGGGCCAGGAAGGGAGGCTCCTTCTCTGGGCACAGCGGGCGGGATGCTGGAGGGCTCCTCGCTGGTCACGGGCACACCGCATCCTCTCGGGGAGACGCTGGCTCTGCCGGCAGCTGCGGAGAGACAAGCAGGCAGAGCTCTGACCCATCCCTTCAGCATTTCTCCTGGGGAGGGAGCAAGAATACTGCTCACCCGGAATATTGCTCACCCGAGAGCCTGGTGCCCGCTGGCCCCCAGAGCTCCTCCGTGGCTGTGTCTGTCTCAGAGCAACATCAGCCAAGAGGAGTACACAGACACGATCGGAGCCGCCTCCAGAGACCCCATCTCACCAGAGCCGGAGGGAGGCGCTCGCCCTGCGGGGGGCTCCATGGACGAAGCAAAGGCTGTAGGGAAGAGGTCCGACGTGGACGTAGATGGCTGTGGTTCCTCACAGGACGCCTGAGTGGTGGGCGACGACGGCAGGCCCTGGGGCTGGTCCCCTCGCCCGGCACCTGAGGTATCTTTGGTCACGTGGATCACGCTTTCCTTCGTGGCTTCTGTGAGCACAAGAGCAGCAGCAGGAGCCGTCAGGGCTCACGGCCCCGTGGCTGTCCATGCTGGCAGGTGGAGCGGCTCCTCCCATGACAGTCCCTGCTGCCATCACTTACCCAAGGAGTCCTGGGCCACACCTTGCTTTTCACTCAACGCCTCGTAGCGGTACACTACGTCTGGAAGGAATGAATGCAATCAGGGCAGTGTCGGCCCGTGCACTAAGCCCAACTCATTTTCCTCTTCTTTTCCCTCCAGCCAGTTTGTCCTGCTGACTACCTTGTCTGTTCAGCCACTAACAACATCCACCCGGTACAGGGATTTTAAAACAAATGGCCCAAAACACCTGAACCAACGCTAAAACTCAGGAGAACACGTCTGCAGTCAGGAGGCCGACAAAGGGAGGCAGGACACCTGCCGAGCAGAGCCTACGCTTCCTGTCCCTTCGGCATGGCCAGCCCGCGGGGATTCAGCTGCAGAAACCCAGGGAAGGCCCACCCCATCTTTCTGTCTCGGGAGGAAAGATTCCTCCACCCTCCTTGCCCAGTATCCTGCTTGTTCCGCAGACACACACACTCCAGGCTGATGAGGCCTCGTGGAGCCCAGTACAGTCTCGGGGTCTCCATTCCTGCTCTTGGTCTTACTCCAATGCAGATTCCTTTATTCTGCACCTAACCCAGCCCCATTCCCTTCTCCGTGGCTGCCATGGAGGTTGACGGTCATGACTCGAGTGGTCTGTATGGAAGCAGGCCTGGGCTTAGCCAGCAAGGCCAACTCCCCCAATCTTGAGCAGACACTACCCTCACCAAGAGCCTCCACACACAGGAAAGAGCGAACACGAACGTTCCTGCGGGAAAAGGCTGCTTCCACAGACTCTCTCCATGAAGCGCCCCTGGGGCAGCAGGCCGTCCCCTCGCATGGCACCCAGGCACCCCCCCCCCCCCCCGGCGCCCCCGCTTACTGTGCTCCGGCTCGTTCTTCCTGTACACCACGTAGATGACATCGCCCGTCCGCAACAGGCATGTCTGCCTCCTCACAACTGTCACAGCGTTAACCACCGTGCCGTTGGTGCTGCGGAGACAAGAGGTGCAGTTACCCTACGAGCATCGCTGGAAGCCAGACACGCCTTATTCCACCACCGTAAGGAGACGTCCAACCCACGCCTCGGACACCACTATGCTCATGGCAACAGCATTCACAACAGCCAAGGTGGGCATGTGCCCTGAGTGCCCATCAACAGGCGACTGGCTGCCATACACAATGGAAGCCGACTTGGCTGTAAAATGGAACGAAGCACTGCCTTTTGCATCAACATGGGTGGACAGAGAGCAAAGGCTGTCTGTGCGAAGCATTTATGTGCTTTCCGTGGGGAGCGGGACTTCTCTTCTCTTTTACATGCTACTTACGTCGTATAAGAATTCATAGAAGAACATTATTATTTCTTAAATTTGGGGGAAAGAAGCCTAATTCACATAGATTTGTGAGAATCCAAAATGTGTCCCTGACTTTTAAGTCTTGTTTCTGAGATATTTTTGCTTTAATCTGAGTACCTCCCAGAAGGGTCACATACAGCCTCGCGTCACCGAGCAGCCCACCCCGTAGGGCAGAGCACGCACTTCCCGATGCCCTGAGGCCTGGCCAGCCGCCAGGGGGAAGAACACTGACCCTCGTGCCCTCTCCGGTCACTCGCTTCCCGTCAGGTTCCAGAAGTTGCGCCAGAAGAAAAAGCAGCTCAGAGAGCTTACCTGGTATCTTCCAGCAGCACCTGGCCAGACTTCTCATCCCAGATGATTTTACAGTGATCTCCAGAGACCAGCTTGTTGCCAGGAAACGAGAAGTCGCAACCTGAAACACAGAAGGGGCCCCCCTTAATATGACGGCGGGTACCATGCATGACGCCGCACTTTAACGAACCACGGAGAGCAGATTTGCGTGTGAGTGGAAATCAGGGCCCACGGTGTGCTGTGCACTTCAGGAGGCAACACCTGATCAGGAAGGTGCCAAGAGAAAGCCCCAAAGGATTAAAGCGTTAATCCCCAACGCAGAGGGATAGGGGCCTCTCCGAAGCCCATCGGGCTGGCATCAGGCTGTCAGTCTCTAACCTCTGCTGAAAGGTACTTTAGGGCAAAGCAAATTACGCAGTCATGGCCACGTGTTCCAACCTCAGCAGTTTCTCTCTGGGGCTCTGGTCTTCCCCAAACTTCCAATAACATCAATTAAAGACAATTGGTTTGTTTTCCAGAAGTTCCTAATGATATGTAAGCACTTTCAGAGTTGTCAAAAAATTAACTTGATAACTGGGATTTAAGACAAAAAAACAAAAACAAAACAAAACAAAAAAAACCACCCACAAAACCACCCAAAACAAAAACAGCTGCACGTCCATAAGGCATAAAAAGAAACCAAAAACATAAGCTTTTAAACAGTAATCTTCCTCACTCTCTCTCTTGTAAGGTATGCAGTCAGTGATCATTTATTTATTCTCAAACTAGTTTTTGTATTTTGTTTCTTGCCTGATCAGTGCACTTCTCTGCCTGCAGGAAAGCTGCCAGGGAGTCAATGATGCGATGACGGTGGCTACGGCCCGCGAGGCAGGAAGTGCCCAGGTCTGGGCACCTGAGGGCACCTTCTCTTGGCTGCGGGACCTCGGCTTCCCAGGTCCCTAGACTAACATCCTTCCATGGCTATGGGCGCTGGGGCTTGAGATCTTTTAAATAAATAGGTCTGCGGCTGTACATTCCCCTGTAGGCCTGCTGTAGCTGCATCTCAGTACATTTTCATTTTATTCACCTGGGCCAGTGGTCGGCAAACTGGGGCTCATGAGCCACATGCGGCTCTTTGGCCCCTTGAGTGTGGCTCTACCACGAAATGGAAGTCTATTTTGAAGAAGTGGCGTTAAAAGAAGTTTAATTTTTGAAAAATGTGGCTCTCAAAATAAATTTCGATCGTTGTCCTGATGATATTTGGCTCTGTGGACGAATGAGTTTGCCGACCACTTACCCGGGCTCTCCTCTTACTTCCCTAGGACTTCCGTGACTCCCGGTCGGTTCAGAGCGCGCTGTTCAAATGCCCCCGGAGCTGCGCGTTCCCAGCACCTACCTGCCCCGGCGCCCCATCGCCCGGAGGTCAGAGGAGGCGCTCGGGCAGCAATGGAGCTGAGCCCCGGCTCGCTGGGGACGAACCCATGCGCCTCCTCCACGGGGTTGTCCCCGGGGTGAAGCGATCTGCGGGGCGCGCCCCAGTGAGTAAATGGCCGCTCTCACGGGAAAAACTGGTCCGCACTGCGCCCCGCCCAGGGCCGCCCCCCCCCACCCCCGCCGGACCGGGTCCCCTCTCCCGACCCCACCCCGGCCCCTCGCCCCAACCCCGGCTCCCGGCCCCGCCCTCGAACCCATCACGGCCCCCGATCCTCGATCCCCACCCAGGTCCCGGTCCCCAGACCCCAGTCCCTACCCCGGCCCCCGGCTCCCGTCCCCACCCCGGTGCCCGGTCCCCTGCCCCCGTCCCCACCCGGGGCCCGGCCCCGGCCAGCACCTCTCTTCCGCCCGAAGGTCCACTCCCGTTTCCGCAGGAGGACGTGCGGCTCGCCCTCCTCGGCGCCCAGGCGGAGGAGCCGCCCCCAGGGCTGCTGAGGGGGCGGCTGCTCGCCTTCCGCGGGCCGCTCCATCGGACTCACATCTGTCGAGAGACTCGGACCCGGAAACGTCGGGACAGGCGGTTGCCCCGCGGCTCCGCCCCTTGGCCTCCGGGCCTCAGCGACTCCGCGAGCCGCCCGCCCGGCCCAGCCCCCACCCCGCGCCGAACCCGGAACCGGCCGCGCCGCGGCCGCTGTCAACTGACATCGCGGGTCCCTCAGCTGGTCCGCGGGGCGGGGCCCGCGGCTGCGATTGGCTGGCGGACCCACCACAGAGCGCTAGCGGCTAGAGAGGCAAACCCCACCATAGAGCGCAGTGGCTAGAGTGCACGCGGAGGGCTGGTGGCGCATGCGCATACTGAAGGATGCGGGCCTGAGCGCCATCTTTGGTGCTGGCCGGGAGGTCTGCGCCTTCGCAGATGTCGGCTGCAGCAGCAGCCCGCGCCATGTTAAGTCAGGGCAAAAGGGCCGAGTAGTTTGCCCAGGGAGCACCTACAGGAATTCTCAAAGCCGCTTAGGAAGCACAGAAAGGCACGCGAGATCCAGCAGTCCAGACGCCCGGGAGGAAGAGTCACGTTAAGGCGTGAGGTACGTTTCTAGCCCATCGCTGTTATTTCAGGGCAGTATTATCTACTCTTCCGGTGATATAGGAAAAAAACAACAACACAAAAACACGTTTTCCTTTACAGGTAAATGAGGCCCTCGTTTTGTTGTATTTCACCAGAAAACGATTTAATACCAAGCCAACTCCGCCACCTGGGAGCTGAGTGACTTTGGTATATTAAAATTCCTTGTTGTGCCAAAACCGGTGTGGCTCAGAGAATAGAGCGTCGGCCTGCGGACTGAAGGGTCCCGGGTTCGATTCCGGTCAAGGGCATGTATCTTGGTTGCAGGCACTTCACCAGTAGGAGGTGTGCAAGAGGCAGCTGATGGATGTTTCTCATCAATGTTTCTAACTCTCTATCCCTCTCCCTTCTTCTCTGTAAAAAAAAAACACAATAAAATATATATTTAAAAAATACCTTGTTGTTAGTGATGAGCTAAACACACAAAAAGCACCCCTCCCTTCCCAGGTGCCCTTCCCTGCGTATCGAATGGCAGTTAGTGATTTCTCATTTCCTCCATGGGAAACCCTCCACAGTGCAAAAGCGTGCAACTGAACACCCTCACGCAGGCACTAATCAGAGCAGGGGCCTAGCTGAGCTTACCCGCGGGCGGGGAGGCAGTGAGATAGGAAAGGAAGCCAAGGAGACAGTGTGGCCCTTGGGCAGAGCACTGGGCACGGCGATGTGGAGTCAGGCCTGGCACTGCCCCTACGTGATCTTGGGCAAGACATTGCCAGTCTGTGTTACAGGATTTGTTTGACATAGTTGGTGTTTCCAACTTTCAGCTCCACAGTCCCACCAGACCGTCTCCCTCAGAAGCACAGGGTACACCTTAATACTCTGGGTCTCATCTCTACTTTTCTCGGAAACTATGTTCTTGGCATGTCTAAGATATGAGTTTCCTACTCTGTTAAGCCTCAGAGGATTAGGGAACCCCCATCCTGATGTTTAGTTTGCAAAAATCAGCATTTTCCCCTCTGGGCAGACATCAGCCCCAACCAGGTGAGCAAAGGACCAGGTGGCTGGTTAACTCACCACAGCTAACAACTGTGCCGCGATGAGCTTTTCACTTGATATTTTAGGTGTAGCTGATCGTAATGTTTTGGGAACTGGTGGGAGTTCAGATTAGGTTTGGGAAATTGATCTGGAATGGAAGCCTGAGTGTATTGTTCCTATTGATCACACTCACTCGTATCGACTTCTCAAACAGTATACTCAGTAAACATACGGGCACAGAGGTTTTCTTTTCAAATACAGCACCCAGACAAGTGTCAGCAACAGGTCTGAGCCGGTGTAGCCCCGCCCCCCAGTGCGCTGGGGCTGTCAGTGGGAGCAAGGGCATCGGCTGGCAGACACTGTGCCTCGGGGGAAACAGCAGCCTGACCTTGTGTTTCAGCTGTTTACCCCATTCTCATACGGAGAGCACGGCTAGTCCCAGATTTCAGACACCACTTGGCACGGTCTACTTCATACAAACAGTACACAGTAGGATAAATGTGTGCAACTCGCTCATGCCCCAAACATGGCCTTTCCCTCTGCTCTAGGGCAAGTAAGGGGGCAGAGAGAATCCTGATGGTGGAAACCACTTTATTATCACACACAGATCACACAGCACTGACAGAGAAACCATCACCGGAACGTCACCATGCATATTCTGTGCAGCCTCTACAGACAAAAGCCGCAGGAAACAGGTTTCCGGCTCAGACGATGCAGTCTGTTCAACTATTCTTAAAGGTTCATACTTACGCACTATCGTGTTCATACACTTTACTTCTAAGGAGATCATAATGCAAAACACATTGTCATTGCTTTGCTGTAAGCAGGGCTATTATTATTTTTTTAATGAGAAAAATATCTTTTATATTTACCTATATATTCGCCATCTCTAGAACTCTCCCTTTCATCCTGGAGATCCATATTTCCACTTACTGTTATTTTCCTGTTGCCCCAAAATAACTTTAATGTTTCCCGAAGGCAGTTGTACTGGTGATAAATTCTTTTTTTCTTTCCTGAAAAATATTTTTGCTTTCATTTTTGAAAGATGCTTTTAATGGGTAAACTCTAGGTTGCAGGGTTTTTATCCCCTCTCAGTAATTTACAAATGGTTCTCCACTGTCTTTAGTCGGAAGTGTGCTGTCATTATTTGTCTTTTTTTCTTCAGTTGTTTTACTGTTGTTCTTACTGGTTTTCATCAAGGTGACATGACATCTGTTGGCATAATTTTGTTTCTTCTGTTCTGTGTTCTTTGAGATTCTTGAATATGTGGAGTTATACTTTTCAGCATATGTGGAAAATTTTCAGCCATTATTCAAATACTCTCTTTGCCTCTTCTCTCTTCCCTTTTGAAACTCTAATTATATGTATTCCATACCACTATAATGGACCCCCCCCCCCCATTTCCTTCCCTCTGTCTTTTTTCTCTGTGTGCATTATTTGGGTAATTTTTATTCTTACTATTCAAGTTCATTATTTTCTTCTTCTATGTTTAATCTGTTCTTAATTCCACCCACATATATATATGTCTTTTTAAGAAATTCTCATCCTGCAAAATACCATCCAGCTTTTTAAGATATATCTTCCACTTCAAGTTTCATAAAATTTGTGTCTTCCTCTGCTTTATAATAGCTATATAAATACCCATGTCTACTAATTTTAACCACTTCCAACCACAGTATTTTATATATCACTACTGATTATTTTTCTACTGGTTACAAGTCATAGTTTCCTACCAATCTGCATGCCAGACATTGTGGATCCAAAGTAACTTTTAATCTAGGTTAATTACCACCACTACCAAGGCAACAGTCTTCCAGGAATTCCACCTAAAGCCCATGTGTTAAAAGCTGTTTCCACTCTGGCTGGTGGGAACTGTTGTCAGCCCTGCACTGAGTTCTAGGAACTGTTCAGCCTCCTGCTTTCCAGCCGACTTGATCCGCTCTAACAGGACAATGTATCCATTTCCATAGTCCTCTCCCGGAGAGGCTCCTTTCCCCTCCAGTGCTTTCCTTGCAAATGTTGTCGCCATGGCCTCCCCAAACGCCAACCCTGCAATCTATTTAATGTGGCAGGACTAGGCTTGTTCCCTCCCCTGTACTGCAGAAACCGGTTTGGCTTGGTGGATAGAGTGTCAGCCTGCGGTCTGAAGGATCCCGGGTTCGATACCGGTTGGGGGCATGTTCTTTGGCTGTGGGCACATTCCCAGTGAGGGGTGTGCAGGAGGCAGCTGATCGATGTTTCTCTCTCATCGATGTTTCTAACTATCTATCCCTCTCTCTCTTCCTCTCTGTAAAAACTCAGAAAAAAAAAAAGAATCCAAGATGTTAAAATGTTCAATGTCTGTAATATGAATTGTAATGACCTTGTGAAATAACATTTTGGGAAAAAAGATGTTCTTTGAAAAAAAAAAATCTCTTTCTGAATTCTTCTTAGTGACATGTGCCTTTACAATAATTCCCCCCCCCCCCCAACAGTCACTGTAATGACAGGGTTTCTCTCGTGTGTGTATCCTCAGAAGTATTAAGAGGCGTGATATTCTGCTAGCAGCCTTTCCACACTCACTGCTCTCACGTGGTTTCTATATTACATGATTCCTCTGATGGATCATGAGCTGTGCCTTCCTCTTGAAGGTAATCTCACATTCATTGCAGCCATAGTATTTATTACCTGTGTGAATTCTCTGATGCCTCATAAGATGTGACTTTCTAGTAAAAGACTTTCCACAGTCACCACATTTATAGGGCCTCTCTCCTGTATGAATTCTCTGATGTATAATTAGCTGTGCCTTCTCAAAGAAAGCTTTTGCACAATCATTGCATACGTAAGTTTTCTCTCCTGTATGATTTCTCTGATGTTTAATGAGTTGTACTTTCTGAACAAAGGCTTTCCCACATTCATTGCATGCATAGGGTTTCTCCCCTGTGTGGATTCTTTGATGGCGAAGAAGCTGTGGCTTCCAGGCAAAGGCTTTCCTACATTCACTACATTCAAAGGGCTTTTCCCCAGTATGGGTTCTCTGATGATGAATGAGACTTGATTTCTCACTGAAAGTTTTCCCACATTCACTGCATTCATAGGGTTTCTCACCTGTATGAGTTCTCTGATGGGATATCAGGCTTGACTTTTGGGTGAAGGCTTTTCCACATTCACTGCATTCAAAAGGTTTTTCTCCGGTGTGAGTTCGCTGATGTGTAAGAAGTTGTGACTTCCCAAAGAAGGTTTTACCACATTCAACACATCCATAGGGTTTCTCTCCTAAATGAAGCTTTTGATGTCTTATTAACTCTGACTTCTTAAAGAAGGCTTCTCCACAGTCGCTACACTGATAGTTCTTCTCTCCTGTGTGTGTTATTTGATGTCTGATAAGCTGTGGTTTTCTGATGAAGGCTTCACCACATTCACTGCATTCATAGGGCTTCTCTCCTGTGTGAATCCTCTGATGCCTGATAAGGAGTGAGTTCCTGCTGAATGCTTTTTTACACTCACTACAGGCATAAGGTTTCTTCCCTGTGTGAGTCCTTTGATGAGTAATGAGCTGTGACTTCCAAAAGAAGGCTTTGCCACAGTCGCTACATTTATAGGGTTTCTCTCCCGTATGTGTTCTCTGATGTGTAATGAGCTTTAATTTCTGGGAGAAAGATTTCCCACAGTCACTACAGCCGTAGGGTTTCTCTATTGTATGGGTTACTTGATGTCTTTTAAGCTGTGACTTCCTGCTGAAGGCCTTTCCACATTCACTGCATCTATATGGCTTCTCTCCTGTATGAGTTCTTTGATGTAAAATGAGCAGTGACTTCCTACTGAAAGCTTTTCGACATTCACCACATCCATATGGTTTTTCTCCTGAATGAGTCCTTTGATGAATAGTGAGCAGTGACTTTTGTGAGAAGGCTTTCCCACATTCACTGCATCCATAGGGCTTCTCTCCTGTGTGAGTTCTCTGATGTACAATAAGCTGTGACTTCTTGTTATAAACTTTACCACATTCTATGCATAAATAGACTCCACTGTGTGTTGTCTGGTTTGTAATGAGCCATGATTCTTGGTCGCAGGCCTTTCTACATTTATTGCAGTCACAGCGTTTTATTCCACCAAAGGTTCTATCAGTTTTGATACAGAATAACAGTTTCTTATTAAGCTCACGTTTTTTTCTTCCACAGTTATTTTTTTGAATAAGAAAATCAAAAGGCTGATTCAAACTTTTTTCACTTGTGCCACATTTATGGAGTCTCATTCCTAAATGAACAAAGTTAATGCTTGAATGAAATATTTTTCCCAAAACATATTGATGGCCTTTTTCCATATTTTTAAGCTTGTCTTGATTATTGTGGTTCCACATTTTGAGATTATTATCTAGCCAGAGTTTTTCTAAAAATGAAAAAATTAACTATACTGTGTAAATGCCCCAATGATTATGTTTATTAATTAAAACTTCTGAAATGGAGCCTATGATCCATGTCCAAAAAAAATTTTTTTCCCTAAATACATTGTCTACTTATTAGGCATTAAAATTTTTAATTAAAATGAAAACAGACTTTTAAAACTACCTTTATATAAACACAAACTTTTAAATAAGAAAAGATGACATATACTCAACAGTGATCATGAGATAAAAAAGATAAGCAACCTCTAATCAAATCCTGAAATGGTTAAAAAAAATTTTGGTTTTGTTAATCCTTACCTGAGGATATTTTTCCCATTTTATTTTTAGAGATAGTAAAAGGGAGGGAATGGGGAGGTGGGGGGGGGGGTCAAAAGGGAAAGAGAGAGAGATAGAAAGAAATAATGATGTGGTTGCCTCTCACCCCATGACTAGGGTCAGGGATCAGACCTGCAACCCAAGTACATACCCTTTACCAAGAATTGAAACCTGCAACCCTTCCGTGCGAGAAAAGAAAAATAATAAAAGAAACTCAAGCTGAAACCGGTTTGGCTCAATGGATAGAGCGTCGGCTTGGGGACTGAAGGGACCCGGGTTCGATTCCGGTCAAGGGCACATACCTTGGTTGCGGGCATATCCCCAGTAGGGGGTGTGCAAGAGGCAGCTGATCGATGACTCTCTCTCATCGATGTTTCTAGCTCTCTATCTCTCTCCCTTCCTCTCTGTACAAAAATCAATAAAATATATATTTAAAAAACAAAAAAGAAACTCAAATGTAATCAATGTCACTTAAAATGAGAAAAACCTATAAATTCCTAAAGAGGAAGAGAGAAACCTGCCTCTGGTGAAGGAGAGAAGGAAATGGAGAATGAGGAGGCTGGAAGAGGGCCAAAATTGACTGGCTACAGATGTGGGTAAGACAGGTGTATTTCATCATCAACTCCACCCAGAGAGGACACATCCTGATCTGACCTCTGACATGGAGATCAGAATCTAGGGAATGTTAAAAGTCCTGCAGAACTATGTCAATAGTTCTGAGTCAACTCTATGTATAAAACTGTTTAAGGACTTTAAACAGTTTTATACATAACATTTCAGGAGTAGCAAACTTTCTTAAAAAACCTGAACTGTAACCTTCACCGTGTGCCATACACTGAATTATCTCTCACCTGAGAAGTTGTGATTTAGAATTTCTTCATTTATTTTCCAGGGCTCTTGTTGCTCCAGCTTCAAAACTGCATCAGATTTGATAATTTCATGACCTGTTAGTTGGAAACACAAGAGGACTTGGACACAGTTGCTTGAGCTAAGGGACTCTTAAGTGTGAATAATATTTTACTACAGAGGCTACAAACAAAACAAAACAAAAAAACAAGTGAATACAAATATTCCAGTTGGACATAGAAATCAAAGAATCATTGACATCTGGAACTTAAACCCAACATCAGTAAAATGTTCGAGGCCCCACCATTATTGGGCACACACCGCATTACATAAGAATGTTCATACCCAAGAACACTAGATTGCTGTAGTTCTCCAACATCACATCTCTGTACAAGTTCTTTTGGATAGGATTTAGTAGCTGCCACTCCTCCAACGTGAAATCCACAGCCACATCCTCAAATGATATCTAGGAAAGCATAATCCCTGTTAAAGCCGAAGAGATTCTCACACAGAATGCAAGCTTTCTTCCCTATAGAGGTAGGCAGCCCCTCAGTGGGCCCCACTGACCTCTAACCCCTGATATTCATGCATCTGGGTAGGCCTCTCCTCCTGAATATGGGCTGGGCTTACTGACACACTGCAACTCAACAGAACAGAATGTCACCCCCTAGACCAGCTTACAGAAGAATTATCTTCCATCTTGGAAACCCTCTCTGGCTCTCTTGGGGGGAATGCAGCTGGCATGCTGAGAGGCATTCCTGTGCAGAAGCCCCTGAGGCGGAGGCCTGCTCACACCCTCGGGAGTTAGCGAGAAAGGAGAGTATCCCCCATGGCACCTGCAGAGGACCACACCCCTTCTCATCTTCTTGATTACAGAGCCTAGTGGGTAGGAGCTGGTAGATTCCTAAGCCACAGAAACTGAGATAAAATCTTGTATTTTCAGCCAATAAGGTTTGGGGGGTAATGTGTTACACAGCAATGGTCAACTAATATAATATCCTAATCTTGCATTGTACCCTGAGAGAGATAAAAATGTTATTAAAATATCTATCATTATGAACTCAATCATGTATCCACTGAATAAGAAACTGAAATACATTGTCTTTAAGTAAGTGCTATGTTTCTCAAAGAAGGTGCCACCGGTACTTGGGAACAATTCTTAGCTGAGTGCAAATGCCCCACACAGCGGTAGCCCTTTAGCAAGCCTGGTCACGGAAACATAGATGTGAGACACACTGGGTGGTTACCATCCACACACTTCCCAACCAGGGCTGGGGATCAAGCCTGCAACCAAGAAACATGCCCTCGACCGGAATCTAAGCCAAGGGCTGATGCTCTAACCACTGAGTCATACAGTCTAAGGCTTGGCTGTTGCTTTTACTGGCAACTCTGATACCTGGCAGCTGGGCTCCCTCAGCTCAGCTGAGCTCCTGACATAATTATATCAAGAAAGGGAAGCCCGGACAGTGTCACGACTCAGATGCTGAGAATCAACTTATGAACCAGGAGGTAACAGTTGGATTCCCAGTTGGGGCACATGCCTGGTTTGTGGGCTTGATCCCCAGGAGGGGCGTGCAGGAGGAGCCAATCCATGACTCTCTCATCATCATTGGTATTTCTCTCCCTCTCTGAAATCGATAAACATGTATTTAAAAAAAAAGAAAAGTCAGTGTAACTGTACATTAAACAACAGAATTTTTAAATGAAAGGAGGCAAGGAGAAAGAGGGAAGCTAGCTCAGTGGGTAGGAGTGGCTTTTAAAGGCGAAGGGACATGACAGTTTTTTTTTTATATATAATATATTTTTATTGATTTTTTACAGAGAGGAAGGGAGAGGGATAGAGAGCTAAAAACATCGATAAGGGAGAATCATCGACCAGCTGCCTCCTGCACACCCCCACACCGGGAATGTGCCTACAACCAATGTACATGCCCTTGACCGGAATAGAACCCGGGACCTTTCAGTCCACAGGCTGACGCTCTATCCACTGAACCAAACCGGTCTTGGCGACAGTTTGTTTCTTGAGTCAGGAAACTGAGGAAACAGGGCTGAAGGCAGACACCCTGGTGCCCAGCTTTCGCCAATAGAAGCAAAAACGTTCCCAAAGAGCGAAGATTGTGGGGCCACCTGAAGGCTTTCTAATGACCATTTCTGCCCATGGTTCAGAGTCTTTGCTAAACGTTGAAGACGGGCAGCATGCCCTCCAGGCCCCCTGCTGCCGTCCTCTAAATACCTGTGTTCTGCACCTTCGCTTGCAACGAGCGACTCGTATCGGCAACATAAGCAGCTGTCGGCGCGGTTCCTCCACGCATCATTCTCGGAACGTTTGCTCCTACCCAGTAAGTGTTTTGCCTTTTGTAACAGTTCCCGATGCCCTGTCTGCCCAGCTTCTTGGAACGGCTGAGGGAAGCTTGCAGCTCATCTCTAACCATGAGGGACCTATTTCTCATACACCTGTGTCCAACTGGAAGACTTTTGTGGGATTCTACACCACTTGTGCTGCTCTGACATCTGTGTGGTATGCAGGCTCTTGCCTGTTGTGGAACTGCAACGAGGGCCGTTGGTAAGGGCATTGCAGGATCCTGGGAGACCCTGGCCAGCGCCACTGTCAAGAAACGACCAGAAAGAAACTTCTCAGATGTGAGCCTGGATTTTAACAGTTGGCATTTTTTGTTTTTTGGTTGTTTTTTTTTTTTTTAATAAATATATTTTATTGATTTATTACAGAGAGGAAGGGAGAGAAATAGAGAGTGAGAAACATTGACAGAGAAACATCAATCACCTGTCTCCTGCACACCCCTCCTGGGATGTGCCCACAACCAAGGTACATGCCCTTGACCAGAATCGAAGTTGGGACCCTTGAGTTAGAAGGCCAATGTTCTATCCACTGTGCCAAACTGGTTAGGGCAACAGCTGGCGTTTTGATCTCACACCGCTTGCATGTGAGCACGCTAGCACGTCCATCCTGCCTGCAGGACTCGTTACCCTGTTTGCTTTGTTTTTTGTCTGTGCTGAACCCTGTACTGAAAAAGCCTGTGCTGAGAGACTTCACCTGGGAGCTCACAAGTCTAATAAACTCATCTTTCACAGCTGGTTCTCTTGGTTAGTTCTTTGGAACCAGCAAGCAATACACAGGCCTTCTTGAACCTCCACGCTTTGCATCACATCCCTCCTAAGTTTACACTGTTTCTGTGGTTAGGATCTATATGTATGTATACCTGTCCTGTGTTGCTTGTACAGATTCTTCTAAGCCCATCACACCCACAGAAAACACTTCTGGAGAATAAGCACATAACTCACCTGTGACATGATCATTTTCTGCTGCTCTGGCCTCTCTGTCCTGATGCTCTGGAAACGGCCTCTGGCCAGGAGCTGAAAACGGCACCTCCAGTTCCGAGCCTCCCCTTCCTTACCTCACCCGAGCCATCTTGTTCCTGAGAGCCATGGCCTGGAGGTGCAGTGGGAATTGTATTTTAAATGGTGTAATTAATCTGGGAAACTGAATCTTGGTTCTCTCTCACTGGGACCTCAGACAAGTGTTTGCTGCATTCGAATCAGAAACAGATGGAATGGGAGCCACCGGCAGGTCTCAGCTGAGCCTGGCACTGCCCTTTGCAGCCCTGGCTCCCACCTGGGGATGCCAGATGGAAGCCACTTGCATGGTTCAACCATACCCACCTGGACGTCCCCTCCTTCCCCTTTCCCATCACACACACACACCCCAGAACTCTCTGCAGAGACCTCAGCAAAGCCTGAACACACAACCTTGGCTCCTCTTTCTGCAGCAACATGTTCTTGGGGCACTTAAATTACCTGCACAGGTGCCACAGTGTAAAATGCAACTCATTTCTGGGCAGGTTGGTAAACAGAACTGGCTTTTAGATCAACATGGTGAAGTAGCCTGAGGTGCTGGCTCTCTACTCTAAATTCAGCCATGGAGCAGAGGAATGCATACATCAGAGGAACCAACAGAGGTGGCAACAGGAAGGGAGACCACGGGGGAGACAGGCGGAGGTGAAGCTGACGGCACACAGCATGTGTGACCACCTCGAGCAGAAGGTGGCAGGAGGCCCGAGGAAACCTGTAATGATGCTTCTTTCTGGGCTCCCATGTCCAATAAGCTCAGGGCCTGGCAAACTCGGATGGGGGGAGGGGCAAGTTCAACCTTTCCCTGCAAACCTGCCACAGGCAGACTGGACACAGTGGGCAGGCCAATGGGCCTCTTTCCAGCAAATGAAGGGTGAGAGGAGACTGGTGCACCTGTTGTGTGTGTGGAGGCACTGTTTTACTCAGGAAGGGGAAGGTGTCTCCCATGTTCCTGTGGATAAAATGGGTACAGAGAGGAGTGGATGGAAGTGTCCACTCACCTGCCGCAAGAGGGGAGAAGGTGACGCCTGGGTGCTAGCAAACTGCCAGGCTTTGCCTAGTAAAGCTGGACTCTTTTTTAAAATATATATATTTTATTGATTTTTTTACAAAGAGGAAGAGAGGGATAGAGAGTTCGAAACATCGATCAGCTGCCTCCTGCACACTCCCTACATGGGATGTGCCGGCAACCAAGGTGCATGCCCTTGACAGGAATTGAACCTGGGACACTTCAGTCTGCAGGCCGATGCTCTATCCAATGAGGCACACCGGTCAGGGCAGAAGCTGGACTCTTCTGTGCAGTGTGAAGGGTACGGGGCTTGAAGGCGGGTCTCTCCTGGACGAATGTCCTGGGAGAGCTGAGGGCAACATGCAAAAGTACCTCTTCCCAAGATGACCAGGGAGACCCTCCACGCTGCTCGGTACAGGGAGGGCCCCTGCTCCTTCCCCGTCCCCCTACCCACTCCCGCACTCCCTTTTTCACTCCCTGCCGCCTCGGAGCCCCGACAACTGTCTACGGACCCCCCCCCCCACCTCCCCCAGAGCCGCTCCCAGAGATTCACCCAGAGGCACCGTCAGCCCGTTAATTCGCTGCGGGGACCTCACAACCACGCACCCCAGGCTCAGGTTCCTGACGGCCACGGATTAATGCCCCCGATGGACAGCTCCCTGGCCTCCTCCCACGTCTCCGTCAGGCCGCCCCGAACCGCCCTTACAGACCGGCCCCCTACAGCGCCGCACCCGGGGCCTCCCTCCCCGCAGCCCCGCGGCCCCCACTCGCCCACCTGGACCGGAACCGCCGCGCCGCGGAGCCGCTGTCCGGCCTGCCCAGTGCGGGCCAGGGTCGCAGAGGGACAGGGCGGTCACGGAGGCCGCCCCAGGCTACAACCTCCCGGTCCCGTCGCCGCTGCACAAAGCCTCGCCCCGGAGGCCTCAGCATCCACTGGCATCGCCAGAAGACGGAAGTGTCTGCGCAGAACTACATTTCCCGGGATTCTGCTCGATTCAGAACTACACTTCCCAGAGGGGTCTGCGACCTGCTTGCAGGATTGACAGGTTCGGGGTTTGCAGCCCCTCGGTAGCTGCTAAGGAGCGTGGTACAGAGATGGGGGAGCCGGTGTACTTTTTTTGGGGGGGAGGGGAGGTGTACATCTATTTATTTCTCTCTCCGCCTACTGTACTTTCCCCTTTATGAGGTTGGTAACTGTATTACTTTTGCACTGATCATCAAACTTTTGCAGAGAGGAAGAGAGAGGCACACCGAACTGCAGCTGCAGCCTCACAGGGCCCCTCTCTGCTATGCCTTGTGGTCTGTCTCTATCTTGTTTTGACATCAAGACCCGAGCACGGCCCTAGCCGGTTACAGCGTGGGCCTGCAGAATGAAGGGTCCCCGGTTCGATTCTGGTCAGGCGCATGTACCTTGGTTGCAGGCACATCCCCAGTATGGAGTGTGCAGGAGGCGGCTGATTGATGTTTCTAACTAACTCTCTATCCCTCTCTCTTCCTGTCTGTAAAAAATCAATAAAATATATAACAAACAAGAAAAAATTTTTTAAAAAGACCTGAGCACTCCTGCCGCTCGGGCGATGCCAGCTTCCTCCCTGGGCTGCGTGGGCTGTGCGGAAGCTGGCACGTAAGGGCGCCCTGGGCTGACCCGCATGGGATGCTCGCGGAGGCCCCTTGCCTGCCTTTCCCGTTAGGTTCCAAATCTCTGTCCCCTTCCCCCCCTCCTGGCATCCGGTCCCGTGTGTTGGACGCTCCGCCGAGGATTCTGGGAGATGTAGTTTTCATGCCGGCCTGTCCGGTGCCCGGCTCTTGGACGCGTGACGTACTTCCGCGTGCGCCGCCCCGCGGCCGCGATCGGTTGTTGTCAGTGTGCGCCAGCGGGCGGGGGGCGTCCTGGGGCCGCGGGTCGGCCATCGCTGACCAGGCTCTGGTCCAGCGGAGCCCTCCGCGGGCGGTCCCACCGTGGACGGACCCAGCCCGGCCTCGATCCTCACGCAGGAGGCCCGCGGAACGGTGCGAACCATCTCTCCGGTTCCTCTGTCCAGGCTGGGAGGGACTCGGCCCTGGACCTCGCTCTGTGGGGGCGCGAGGTCCCTCCTCGGGGGGCGCGGGTGGGAGCAGCAGCGAGACCCTCACGGCACCGCACGGCATGGCCGCCAGGATCCGGGCAGCTGCGTGCTGGGTAAGTGGCGACTTGCTCCTCCTCGGAGCTGCCGGCGGCGCCGGGCGGACACGGTCCCTCCAGGGCCTGGACCCACGGGCAGCCCCGGACCCCGCCCGGCCCCGGCTCTACATTTCCGGGAACATGGTCTTCTGGCAGGTTGTGTCCCAGGCCCTCTCCTTCAGCAGTTCCACTTGATGGCCAATTGCGAACCCTGAACTCCGAGGGAAATGAGGGTCCCCGGGGCCGGGGCCGGGGCGCCGAGGGCGGGGGCGGGCCGGGCCGGGCCGGGGCCACCAAGATCAGTCATGCAGGCCCTTGTTTTAGAGGAGCTGTGGTCGGGCGCAGGGCGGGTCAGGTCATCAGGTGAGCAATGGGCCTAGAGGCAGGTTCATGGTTAGGGAGAGGAGTTTGGGGTGCCAAGCAGAGCGAAGCAGATTTGGAGGAAGGGAGGGGGAGTGGACCACCTGGACTGACGGAGTGAGCAAGAGGAGCGACTCCAGCCATTGCTGGACTGACACAGAGCCGGAAAATGATGCTGACAAACTCGCCTAACCCCACAGACTAGACCAGGCCAGGACAGCAGCGAGATGTCCTAGCCCTGGGAGCGCCGTGAGAAGATGCATCCAGGCATCGGGTGGTTTTGTGGTATTTTTTATGCGCTGCCTGAGGTTTGGTCTGTAGCTCAGTGGGAATTCTCAGCTGGAAATAAACAGATGAGAGGCACCTGGGATCACGGTAGCTCCGGTTGTGACAGAGAAGGGCCCTGGAGAGGATCCTGTAGTGATAGGGACAGGATGGCTCATGGAGTGAGCGCAACAGACAGGAAAGTCTGGATAATGTGTTTGTTTTTCACTGTCATTTGAGAAAAGAGTACTTAATACAGCGGACTGTCCTGAAGTGTTTAGTGTTTGTTTGTTTTTGGAATAAACTTCCTTGTCTTAGTGTACTATGTGTGTATGTATAGGATTCCTTTTACTTTCCTAGTTTTTTTTCTCCAGCAATATTGGCCACCCTTCATAACAAATGAGATTAGACTGCATTTGGTGCTGTTCTTGCCGGCATCGTCTGTGGCATTATGCACATCTGTGTGATGCTCTGTACCCATCACTTCTTGCCTCTGCATCACATGGGATGTGATGGGAATTGTTTGTGCCTTGAGTCAGAGATAGGCCTGACTTGTGAATACAGTCTGAGACCATTACCTTTTGGAGTGGCTATACCTTTGGTGCTATTTCAGTGTGTGGTATGATCACTGACTGGTTGGTCTGGCTTTCCTGATTATTTCTGAACCAATTTTGGTTAGTTTTATTTTCCTGGAAACTTTTCCATTCCTTCTAAGTTTTCAAATTCATGGGAATAAATTTGTAAGTACAGTTAGTTCTCCCATCATGTTAGCTTTATTTTTTTATTTAATTTTTATTGGAGATATATAGATAGATAGATAGATAGATAGATAGATAGATATACATGGATCGGCTGCCTCCTGCATGGAAACCCTGACTGGAAATCAAACTGGTCACCTTTTGGTCTCAGGATGACGCTCAATCAACTCAGCAACACTGGCTAGGGCTCATGTTTGATTTCAAAATGTGAGTTTGTTTCAACATCGTTGATATCATCGCGAACGATGGGAGCTTTCTGGTTTTAGACAACTTCTTTCCACCACTTTACAGTAAGCTTGCAGCCCCTCTGACGCAGGGCGTTGGGTCCTTTTCAAGGTAAAGTGCCCTATTTCTGGTAGCATTTATGGTAGCCCTATGAAATGTGTGTAAAACTGCCACGCTTGTGTCACCTAGGGTAACTGCACCTGGTTGAATGGGGTATGTGTCATTACAGGAATTATTGTCATTCAAAGATATATCCATGGACTTCACCCGAGAAGAATGGCAGTTGCTGGATTCTGCGCAGAAGTACCTGTACAGGGATGTGATACTGGAAAATTATCGCAACCTGGTTTCTGTAGGTAAGTACCGCTTCTCTGTTAACATGGACTCTGGTCATAAGTGGCCATCCCTTTTCTCTTGTCGATTTACTCTGAATTACTTGATTATGATGGGCATGAACTTCAGAGGTCATGCATCATCCCTGTTTTGGCAATCACCTCCTTATGGTAAACTCCCCAAGGACACATGAGCCATGTCACGTTGTGGCTCGTGGTGTCTCGACCCCTAGTGGTTTGGCCCACATCCTTTGTGATTTTCCATTAACAGGGTATCATGGTACCAAACCTGATCTAATCTTCAAGTTGGAGCAAGGAGAAGAGCCATGGACAAGAAATGCCAAAATTTCTCATCAGAGCTGTCCAGGTGGGTGAGTGGGAACTAGGAAGACAGGAGATGTGGGGGCACACGGGGTGCCACTCAGGCAGCGCTGGGTGTAGACACAGTGTGTCTCAGTTGATAGAGCATTGGCTTGTGGATTCAAGTGTCCCAAGTTCAATTTCGGTCAAGGGCATGTACCTTGGTTGCAGGCACATACCCAGTAGGGGGCGTGCAGGAGGCAGCTGATCCATGTTCTCTCTCATCCATGTTTCTGACTCTCTATTTCTCTCCCTTCCTCTCTGTAAAATATCAATAAAATATATATTTAAAAAAAAAGAAAGAAAGAATTTATAGTTTCAAATGACAGGTTGTCAGCCATAGGGCAATAGCTTCACAGAGGCTTAATTCAGAAGCTTGATGATGTCAGGGATCAATGCTCCAACTATCTCCCCTTTGTCATCCCCTTTGTCACTGCTAATTTGCTACCCATTTCCACAATAGGGTTCGGTTTGGTTTGATTCAGTTCACATATATATATATATACACACACACACATATATATATGTGTATATATATATAATTGATTTTTTACAGAGAGGATGGGAGGAGTTAGAAACATCGATGAAAGAGAAACATAGATCAGCTGCCTCCTGCACACCTCCTATTGTGGATGTGCCCACAACCAAGGTACATGCCCTTGACCAGAATCAAACCTGGGACCCTTCAGTCCCCAGGTCGACACTCTATCCACTGAGCCAAACCAGCTAGGACATTGATTCAATTCCCTTCACTCCCATGCTTAATCTCTGGCTCAGGTGCATTTGGCCAATATTTCTTTTAACCAGTGTAAGAGGCCTGTGACCTAGAGGAAAAGACTCACTACATGGCAGTTCTAAGACTCATTCTGTATTAAGTTCCATGTTATAACTTAAAAATATTTTTCTTTCCAGAAGTTTGGAAGGAGTGGTACCAGAGGAATCAAGATGAGCTTCAAAGTCTTGAGAGAAACCATGCTTGTAACACATTTGGAAAACTTCATCTGAGCAAAACCCAGGCTTCTTCAAGACAAAGACTCCATAAGTGTAACACACTTGGAAAAAGTTTGACACAGAACTCAGGTTTAACCAGAAGATATCTAAGAAAGAGTCCTGATAATTTTCATGGATATGAACCATCATATTTTCTCAAGCATCCAAGAGCTCACAGTACAGAAAAAAACTGTGTATGTGGTGAATGTGGGAAAGCTTTTCGTTGTAAATCACAGCTCGTTGTTCATCTCAGGATTCACACAGGGGAGAGACCTTACGAGTGCACTAAGTGTGAGAGAGCCTTCAGTGCCAAGTCAAACCTTAATGCTCATCAGAGGGTTCATACAGGAGAAAAACCCTACTCCTGCGGCCAGTGTGGCAAAGTCTTCTCGTTCAGGTCACAGCTCATTGTCCATCAGGAAATCCACTCGGGAGGGAAACCTTACGGCTGCCGTGAATGTGGGAAGGCCTATAGCTGGAAATCGCAGCTCATTTTACACCAGAGAAGTCACACAGGTGTGAAGCCCTACGAATGCGGCGAATGTGGGAAAGCCTTTAGTTTGAAGTCACCCTTCGTCGTCCACCAGAGAACTCACACAGGGGTGAAACCCCATAAATGCAACGAGTGCGGGAAAGCCTTTCGGAGTAAGTCCTACCTCCTCGTTCACGTCAGAATGCACACAGGAGAGAAGCCTTACCAATGCAGCGACTGTGGGAAAGCCTTCCATATGAAGACACAGCTCATCGTCCACCAGGGAGTTCACACGGGGAATAACCCTTACCAGTGCAGTGAGTGTGGGAAGGCCTTCGGCAGGAAGGAGCAGCTCACGGCACACCTGAGAGCTCACACAGGAGAGAAGCCCTACGGGTGCAGTGAGTGCGGGAAGGCTTTCAGCAGCAAGTCGTACCTCGTCATCCACAGGAGGACACACACCGGAGAGAGGCCCTACGAGTGTGGTTTCTGCGAGAGGGCCTTTTGTGGGAAGTCACAGCTCATCATCCATCAGAGAACTCACTCGACGGAGAAGCCCTATGAATGCAGTGAGTGTGAGAAAGCCTATCCGAGGAAGGCATCGCTCCAGATACACCAGAAAACTCACTCGGGAGAGAAACCCTTCAAATGCAGCGAGTGCGGTAAAGCCTTCACTCAGAAGTCCTCTCTCAGCGAACACCAGCGAGTTCACACGGGAGAGAAACCATGGAAATGCTCTGAGTGCGGAAAATCCTTCTGTTGGAACTCAGGGCTCCGTATACACAGGAAAACGCACAAGTGAAATTAGAATGAAGTAGAGGTTAGAAACATTCTAACAAAACTTGGTCCTTAGATTTCAGATGATGATATAAATAGGATATATAAGCAGGCAGTCCCAAAAATTCACTCATATCCAATAAGTCATATAGGAGAGAAAACAATCATATTTGTAATGACTGTGCAAAAGACTTTAGAAATAAGTCACACACAAACTTGTTAGATGAGACTAAAAGAAGAAATTGAGCAGAACTATATCAAATGTGCTGGCATCATTTATGAAGATGTAATTCTGAGAATTTATATTGAGAACACTTTATAAATGTATTAAACTGGGAAAGCATTTTCTCACAGAAATGTGTTCAATGGAGAGTCACATTCCAAATTTGAAGCTATGTGTTAGAGTGAAGAAAACAATTATAAATGTAGACTTTTACATGGTGGAGTATAAAGGTTTTTATTTTAATATGTAAATAAAATGTCAAGATTAGGGACGTATTCTGTAGGGTAAGGAGTATTTAGGATGACTTTCATGAACAGCACTGAATAGCGTTTTTAAAACTTATTTTTATTGACTTTTAGAAAGTAGAATGGAGAGAGAAAGACATTGATCAGCTGCCTCCTGCCTGTTCCTTAGCAGGGATTGAGCCCACAAACCAGGCACATGCCCGCAACCTTTCAGTGCACAAGGCAGGGCCTCAACAGCACTTATTAAAATTTAGTTCTTTTATTTTTCAATGTAACTTGTTATACTCATTAATTTGTGGAATAACACCCCCCAGTATTCTTCCTGTTAAATGGTAATTATCAGTATTGTATCTCTTTCTTAGCAATATAGCTAATATAATGTGGCTTTTAATAAATGAAAAGGTACGGTTCTCACTCCAAATGAGTTCGCTTGTGCAGGAGTCCACATTACTGAGTCTGGTGATGATTACAGGGCTGCTGAAGAGAGCTCCTTGTAGTGAACACTGAGTATAGTTTAGCGTTCAGTGTTCATTCCCCTTGACTGATGAGAGTACTCTAGTTTTCTCTGCAGAATTACCTCCGCGTGTGTATCCTGTGGTGTCTGTTCTACTAGCAACAGGGAGGCATTATTCCCATTGTTGGGTAATAGTAGCCTCTTTTCCAGGATTTTTAATTTAATTCAGTCTCACAGGAACCATAAAGGAAATGTGGGGACTCCTATGTTCTTCTCCCAGAATTCTATTCAGTTAATCGATTTCTGCTGTACTGATATTCTAGACTAACTCTGAGCACTGTCCCTTTTTGAACCTGGTTTTCTGGCTTTATGGGTGCTTCTTTGTATCTTTTTAATTAAAAAAAATTTTTTTTTCAGTTAAAGTTAAGGAAAATGAATTTCCCTTTCTTATGACTGCAGGGCTTTAATTGATAAATTGTTGCTCCAGAGTCATGTATAGGTAACAAAATGTTAGAGAAACTTTTTATCCCATAATATGAAATGGTGGTATTGTTTGTGTACACCAAAAAGTTTGTGGCCCCTGATATAATTCTGGGAACTCTGAGGAGCTATTTCCATAGGAGAACTTTAAATTTATGAGGAAATGTGGGACAGAAGATGAGATGGATACTTCTGGTCATATCAGCCTTAAATTCAATAGTGACAGACTTGAAGCCCTGAAATTTCACCTCAAAGCAACTCCTGTGACTACTGAAATAATTACTCATAGCTATAGGGTTCAGATAGTGGAGGGCAAATACATGTATATTTGTCTTGCTGAATTAAAAAAGTAATCCATTTCAAATGCTCATTAATCCCTTATGTAAATACGCATTGTCTAGAAAAAGTCCGATAATTCGATTAGAGATATCGGAGGAATCAGAACAGCCTAGCAAGCCCTGATAATTTTGCACTGCATGCTCTTCATTCAGGGACATAGACTGCATGTTGGCAAACTACAGCCCACTGGCTAACTGCAGTTTGCTGCTAATAGCAAAAGTACAGAGATAAATTGAATAATGGGTTGGTAAACAGGAAGGAATTATAAAGATTCATGAGAAAGCATACTGTGAAGAGAACGCCTAGGAGGTGGCTGGACAACAACTGTTCATTAAAGATGTTAGGTGTGTGACTTGTAAGGCCAATTAGTTATCTCAGCAGAAATACTACTAACTTGGACCAAAGGGGCCAGAGAAGGGTTGAAATGAAGGAATGCTGTGGGACTTCTGAAATCCTACAGGCAGGAAACAAGCTGGTAGAGCTATCGAGCTGTAAACACCAGTTAATCTTAAAAAGGGGGAAGAAGAATGACCTCAACACAGCACCACCACCTCTGTTCTAGAAGCTGACATCTATTTAAATTCCAGACAACTGGTCTACCGTGCAGGGAGGAGAGAGCAGGGCCACCACCCAAGTGGGTTCACAGGACAGCCTTTAGCCAAAGAGCACTTGGGAATCGCTTCAGCTAAATATCCCAGTTCACTGTAAGTTCTACTTTTTACAAAACAGGACACAACCAAGTTCTCTCCCACTTTAGTACAAAGGTCTCCTTTTTCTCCGACTCCAATAACACGTTACTCATTTTTATCCCAATACCTTATCAAAAGTAACCTTTGTACACACCTTTCACATTAGTATTTCTAACCAGGTTGTCTCCAGGCAAGCAGGGCTTTATCAAATGCCTCCAAACTCTCCCATCTGCTACCAATCCTGAGCCATTCCCATATTGTTAGGCATTTGCTATAGCAGCATCCTATTTTCTGGTACCAAAATCCTTGTTCATTTGCTGGGGCTTCTGTAACCCAAAGTACCACAAAATGAGTGCCTTGTTTCTGGAGGGTGGAAGCCTGAAACTAATAATTTAATAAATATGAAAGTTTTCTCCTAATTCATTATTAATTATTTAAATCTAATAATTCTCTCCTGGTTGTCTAGAAAAAATCACCAGAAACTCAATGATGGATGCTTTTCTTTCTCTGTATTTTTATTTTCTTTTAAAATTTATTGATTTTTAGAGAGAGAGAGGGAAAAAGAGAGAGAAACCTTGGTGAATAAGGCCCACGCTCTAACCAACTGAGCTGCTCGCCAGGATTCCATGACAGAGAATCTCTGAAATCATCTTTGTTTTCACCCATGATTAGGTTTTTCTCATTTATTGGGTCAAATTTGATATATCAATTTGTGCCATTAAAATTTTTCAAATTTATTAGCACTGAGATTTCTCATTCAATTTGCTGTGTCTGGTTATTCTTTTTTCCTCCCTACCCTTCTATCTCTTTATGAAAATAGTTACTAATATATTTATAACTTTCCCTACACTGCAGTGTTTTTCCAAAGTGTGGTATGCATACCCCCAGGGGTACGGGAAGAGTTTGGTGGGGTACACGTTGCACCGGAGTTTGGTGGGAATATGCACTGCACCGAGCTTAGCTGCGCCTAATTCTACGTTCTCATGAGTACGAGGGGTACTCAGCGTTATGAAAATTATAGAAGGGTTACATAGATGTCAAAAGTTTGGGAAACACTGCCCTACAGCATTGGAATTAGGGACCAGCTTAACATTTTCCCACTGATAAACTCCGATCTGCTTTCCATAAACGTATTTTAAAAATTTCCGTTTCCCTCCATGGAATGCGTAAGCCAATTGTGTTTCTTTCTTTTTTTATTTTTTTAAGAAGCCTTCATTTGGGTTTCAATTCCTAATCTTTTAAAACCCCTATCCTTTAAGATCTCTCCTGAAAGCGTGCCCACGGAGCTCGCTGCAGCACCCGCCGCGCTCCCGCGTCTCCTGGCAACCAGCGCGCCTAGGACGCCGGCCGCTGGGCCTTCTGGGAAATGTAGTCCGCAGGCACCTTCCTGTCGGGTACGAGCGCGCGCGTTCCCACGGCCACCGACGCTGGCAGGTAGCGCCCCTTTTCTTTGTCCTCCGGCGCCGCGGGGGAGGCGAGTGCCGGTCCGGATCCCGCCGGGGCGCCCCGAGGCCCACGGGCTGGGGCGCTGTGCTGCCCGGGGCGGGGGCGGGGGGCGGGGGGGGCGGGCTCCGGGGCGGGGGTCCCGGTGGGAGATCGCTGGGCTGCAGGCTTCCTTGCTGGTGGGCGTGGCGCAGAGGCCCGCAGGGATGGGGCGTCAGGTGCGGCCGGAGCCAGGGGCCTGGCCGGAAGGCGAGGGGGCCGGGCCGGCCGGGGCCCGTCCGGGCTGCGCGCACAGGCAGCGGGGGGGCCCTGGCGGGGCTCCGGGCGCGGGGAGAAGGGTCCTTTCTCCCGAGGCGTCATCCCCTGGCCCCCCGGTTCTTGTTTCCTTTGGACTTGCCGGCGGGTTTGTGAACCTGGCGCCTCCCAGACCCGGCCCATGTGGCTCAGTGGGTCCCAGGTTCGATTCTGGTCAAGGGCATGTACCTTGGTTGCGGGCACATCCCCGGTAGGGGGTGTGCAGGAGGCAGCTGGTGGATGTTTCTAGCTCCCTCTCCCTCTCCCTTCCTCTCTGTAAAAAATCAATAAAAAATATATTTTTAAAAATTGGCGCCTGCCGCACATGGCATCCCTGGAAGGGCTGGGCCTGTTACCCCCCAACCTGACTTTGCCTAACTCAGCTTTACATTAATCAACAGTTTCTAAAAGCGTTTCTCTCCTAAAATAAAATTAAGAAAAGAAAGAAATGAAAAGGCAACCCCCCCCCCCCCAGATCCCCCCCTTTCCCTGAAAACACACACACACACACACACACACTTGTGGCTGTTGCTGCTGGGCAGGGACATCATCATTGGCCTCAAGGCCTTAAGTCTTCCCTGAAGATTTCTGAGTCTCACGGTTTTCCTATGAAAATGAGGAAGTGGAAAGAAGTGGTCTTTCTCCACTCAGTTTCCATGCTTTTTTGCTGTCCTTAAAGTGTACTTTATGCCCTGGCTGGTGGTGTTCAGTGGATAGAGTGTTGGCCTGTGGACTGAATGGTCCAGGGTTTGGTTCCAGTCAAGGGCACATGATTGGGTTGCGGGCTTGTTCCCCAGTAGGGGGCGTGTAGGAGGCAGCCAATTTATGATTCTCTCTCATTGATGTTTCTCTTCCTCTCTGAAATCAATAAAAATATATATATTTTTAAAAACATACTTTATAATTATTTGTTGCTGCTTGGTTTAAATCATGTAATGCTAAACTGAAACAACTCTGCTGTCCTCTTGTTTTTCTGTTTGCTTTTGTTTTTGTTTTTGTTTTTTTGGTTTAAGGACTAATGTTAAAAAAAAGTATACTTTATTATAAATTTAAAATATGTCCACTGGAGTCAGTTTTGAGCATCTTGATAAACAGGCTCAAATGAAAATCGTTATTCCTTCAACAGGAGATAGTCACTGTCACATTTTGGTCCGTTTCTCTGAGCTTTTAGTGTGTTTTTAGTACTTCTTATTTCTATATCTTTAAAGACACAAAGTTGGGAATATGCTGTATATGCTGCTTAAAATCATAACAATATACTATGAATGTCTTTTGGTAACTTGGGATATTTTGACCCAAGTGGTAAGTTTCAATTAACCTGTGGGGGAGTTTCAAAAGAGCCATTTTTTTTTTTTTTTTTTTTTTAAGTAAGGGAAAGTTTATAGAAAGTTACAGAGTAGCAGAAGGGCCCTTAAAACTTTGGAGAAAGAGGGAGGGGAGTCGGGGGTGTCCTCAGGAAAAAAGAGAAATAGCAAGCTCTCTGTCTTGTTTTTTGCTTATTCTGCCCGATGCCATGTTTTCTGGACGGGCCTGGATCAATGCCAGGAACATAAGCAGGGACTCTGGGCCTTTGTCCTCCCTTCCCTCCATGATTGCTGAGCGGCTGTGGTCGCCCGCTCTCGGGTGGACTGCCGGGGACCCTGGCCCAGATCGGCCCCTTCCTAGGTCTGCCATTTATGCTGGGCAAGCTGATGAGCCTGTGTGCTGAGCGCAGTAAGAAGGCGATCCGGTGCATGAGACACGGACACGGAGTAAGCACAAGTGTTACTTTTACTGATTCTGTGCCTTTCCTCTGAAATTCCTCTAGGACTTGATGCTGGGTGGATCTACAGGATGATGGTGGAGATGGCCCCTTCCCTCAGAAGGTAAACTGGAGAGCTGTCACAGAGAGCTGTGATGTTATTCAGGAAACTGTCAAGGTAAAACGCAGGATCAAAAGAGCTCAGGCTTGCTAGTCGCCTCAAACAGGGAACAGAAAATGACCGCGTTACAGGTGAGTGGATTGCTCATTCCTGGTTATTTTTTCCCAGGGATTAGAAGAATGTAAGTTTTCCAGTGAAGAATAAAAATAGAAATGGTTAAGGAATTAGGGGAAAATAGCTTCAGGAGAAAAGATCCGCAGTGGAACAAAACTGGAGCAGTAATACATTAACGATCGGCCTTTATGATATTCTCCAGGTTTTCTTTTTTTTTTTTTTAAATATATTTTATTGATTTTTGTACAGAGAGGAAGGGAGAGAGATAGAGAGCTAGAAACATCGACGAGAGAGAGTCATCGATCAGCCGCCTCTTGCACACCCCCTACTGGAGATATGCCCGCAACCAAGGTACATGCCCTTGACCGGAATCGAACACGGGACCCTTCAGTCCCCAAGCCGACACTCTATCCATTGAGCCAAACCGATCTCGGCTCCAGGTTTTCATTTTTATAGGCCATAATTACTGAATCCGAGCTGCACTGTTGGTTCTCCGTGTTTTGGCAGATGTACTAACTAAATATGAACATGTATGTGACTTGTATTGTCCAAAGAGAAAAGACAATTCATTCTTCTTATAAAGTAAATATTTCTTGCTCACTCGTTGATGAAGTCTTTTAATAATGATATAATGGGTAACGTCCTCAAGAGAAACATTGTGATAGATACACATGTCTTATGGCCGTTTTTCACAACTTTCCACTGTGTGACTATAATTATTTATTTACCACTTTAATTGTGAAGCAGAAACACATGCAGAATAAAATTAAAAGAAAAAGTAATATGCAGAAAAAAGTAAACAAAAGGTAAGAAGTACTGTCTAGTGAATTATTAACTGAATGCACCTGAAATTGCCATTCAGGTCATCACTTCTCCCTCCTGAGAAGGAAGATCCGTGTCCTCGCTCTGTCACAGCTCCCATCTGACAAAGGAGAGTATCCTTATGCCCTACCGGTCAGAGCTTCTCCCTCCTCAGGGAACTGGGACCCTGATTTCATAAGCGTTTTCTTGCTTTTCTTTACCGGTGTGTTTCTAAGTATTCATCCTCAAATACTGCAGTTTGGTTTTGTGTACTGGCACATACTAGTAGACTCATTTATGTTCTTTTTTCTTTTTTTAAATATATTTTATTGATTTTTTTTTTTTACAGAGAGGAAGGGAGAGGGACAGAGAGTTAGAAGCATCGATGAGAGAGAAACATCTACTGGGGATATGCCTGCAACCAAGGTATTTGCTCTTGACCGGAATCGAACCTGGGATTCAGTCCACAGGCCGGCACTCTATCCATTGAGCAAAACCGGTTAGAGTTGCCAAGACTTTTTATAACAAATAAATGTTAATTATTCTTCAGTTATTGGTATATTAAAATTTTTTAATCTTCTTATTCATTTTTATACTATTTCTTTCTTATGAAATCTAACCTTTTATTTTTTTTGAAAAATTTAAATGTGCTTTTTAAAACTCTGTGTTAGGTGTTTCTATATTTGCAGTTCCTGTGGTTTGCATGCTTCCATTTTCAGATATACTTTGCATCTGTTGAGGTGATTATATATTTTTTTCTTACTCTACTAAGGTAGTGAATATCATTGATTTTTAAAAAAATGCAAACCAACTTGGTCTTAATATAGTTTGCTTTTTATATATTGCTCAATTTAATTTTGCAATATGTTTAGGATTTTCATCATTGTTTTTGTGTGAGTTGGCTTTTGCTTTTCCTTTCTTGCAGTATCCTTACTGGGTGTTGTCCCCAAGATTATACTGGTATCAAAAAGTTTAGGGTTGGATGAGGACAATAGGGGATGGGGAAAGGGCAGAGGGTGGGGTGGGAACCTGGTGGAGGGCAGCAATGGAGGGGAAAAAAATGAGGAACATTTGTAATAATATGAACAATAAAGATTTATCTTTAAAAAGTTTAAAAAAAATAAATTTAAACATTATAAAAACCTTAAAAAAAAGTTTAGGGTTATATTCTTGCTATAATATTCCGTATTAGTTTAGTAAAATTAGAATTATTACTGCATTACGTGTTTACAGAATTAACTGGTAAAGCCTTTTTTGTGTGTATGAGATTTTTAACTTGGGGGACCAATACGTTTCACATGCCCAGTGCATATGTTGTGAAATCATTAAGGGTAGAGGATTCACTCAAAGAACAAGATAAAAACAATAGATTTTCACGTAACAGAATATGACACATTTTATTGTTTCTATTTTTGCCAGCACCTCTTCTGGTGCTAGATTTGAGGTTCAGTATTTTTATTGGTTCAGAAGATTTAAAGTTGTGTGGTCCAATTATTGGGTGTTTCATAGACAGAAGGATGGGAGAATGAATAATGGCATTTTATCCCACCATATGACACAAATGTAGGGACACAGTAAGCATTGTCTGTGACTTGCTGGGCTAAGAATAATGTTCTCAAGCTCCACTACTTCTTTTTATACATCGTGGAGTGATACCTGGTTCTGTTTCCCTAAGAATGTGCTTTTACAGGAGCTAGTCTCATTTGAACATTTATCTGTGGACTTCACTGAGGAGGAATGGCAACTGCTGGACCCCTGTCAGAAGGACTTGTACAAGGATGTCATGTTGGAGAACTACAGCAGCCTCGTGTCACTGGGTAAGGAAGCTAACCGGAGGACCTCCTTGTGCCCAATGCTTCGCTCTTTCTTTGCTCATTGTTGAGAGTTGTAGGACCTCTGAAATGGTTAATGATTTTGGATCTAAATATAGAAGTCCAACGTTTCTTGGACTCTGACACCACGGAATGTAGTTGGATATTATCTTCCAATAATGAAGTCTTTTATCGTGCAGCCTCTGATGCTCAATAATAGTCGTAGTGGTATTGGTAGCACCTAATGTAGATAACTCCCTGTATTCCACATACTGTTCATCCATCGACGCTGGTAATCATTGTAATCATCCTGCGTTACAGGTATGACTGTTCTTTGTTTTTCTAATGAGGAAATTGAAGCAAAGAAAGGCTAACTAACTTTCCAAAGGACTGACAACTAGGAAATGAAAGAACCTGGATTGAATTTCCAAATGCATCACATTCATAATCTTGTTTCGTATTTTTAGGCTTTACTTGGTTATGCTGGTTCCACATCATGTGACTATTTACTTCAAAGTCTTGTTCTAGAAAGAAAAATGACATGGTTATAACCCAACCAGCATGGTTCAGTGTGTTTGAACATAGACTTATGAACCAGGATGTAACGATCAAGTGTGGGGCATGCAGAAGGCAGCCAATTCATGATTCTCTCTCTTCACTGATGCTCCTATCTATCTCTATCTATCTATCTATCTATCTATCTATCTATCTATCTATCTATCAGACAACGCTGAGTTGGTTAATGATTTTGGACAGGAATCATAAAAGTCAAAGTTTCTTAGACCCTCTAAGCCTCCAGGGAGACCATTATCATTTTTTTTGAGAATCACTTACCCTGTTGATATACAAATGGTTAGCTTAACTGAGTCTGTTCTGATGCCAAACCTTGCCCACTCCTCAGGGGCCATAAAGCCCAAGTATTCGGGGCCAACATCTTTGTTATTTCCCTTGAATAGGGTATGAATTCCTGAAACCCAATGTCATTTTCAAGTTGGAGCGAGGAGAAGCACCGTGGATAGAAGATGGAGACGTCCCAGGTTCAGACTCTCCAGGTGAGTGTATAAGAATTGGGCAGATGGGAGTTGGTACAATTACAACCTCAGCTGGGTATTGGGACAGCATCTTTGAAATGTGCTGTGGAGTGCTCCTTTCACATTCTCTAAACCTTTGGCCCCAGCTACCAAGTAAGTCATGTTTTTAAATGTGGCTTCTTGTTTTTGGCTAAAGTGAAATGGTTCCAGCTTGTCAGGGCCATGATGTCATCGCCTATCTGTCACATCTTGGGCTTCGACTTTTTGTTTGGTTTTCTGCCTCTGGCATGTTACTCTTATGTCCTCCCTTCACCTCTGGTTGATGAAACTTCTGCTTTGTACATTTAAGAATTTATATCTTTTTCCTCGTTTTTGGTGTGTCTGATGCCCAGATAAATACCCACTGAAAGCCGACTGTGTTCAGTCTGACTGTATTAGAGAATAGCCATTATTCCTCCCAAAGAGTTTGTTCTTTTCCTCCCCTTTAAAAAAACAGAACATGTTTTTATTTATTAGAGTGGAAGAGAGAGAAAGAGATAGATAGGAGCATCAGTGAAGAGAGAGAATCATCAATTGGCTGCCTTCTGCATGTCCCACACTTGATAGTGACATCCTGGTTCATAAGTCTATGTTCAAACACACTGAACCATGCTGGTTGGGTTATAACCATGTCATTTTTCTTTCTAGAACAAGACTTTGAAGTAAATAGTCACATGATGTGGAACCAGCATAACCAAGTAAAGCCTAAAAATACGAAACAAGATTATGAATGTGATGCATTTGGAAAGAATTTTAATCTGAGCATAAACCTTGTTCCTTTAAGGAAATCAAACAATGAAGGTGATGATATAGATGGATTAACTTTAAAACATCATTTAGGTTTAATTCTTCCAAAAGCTGATTATGGAAAAATAGAAAGAGATGACTTAAATATATTTGATAAATTGTTTCTCCATACCAAGCCTGAGGAAACTGATACTTGGTTAAAACACTGTAAGTGTGATAAATATGATAATGTTAACTATAAGAAGTCACAGATTATCATATATCACAGAAATCGTTTGGGGGAGAAACTGTATGAATGCAGTGAATGTAGGAAACGCTTCAATAAGAAATCAAGTCTCATTAAGCACCAGAGCAGACATATAAGTGAGATAGCCATTGGCTCTGGTAAATGTGACAAAACTTTCCCACAGAAGTCACAGTTCATTACACATCACAGGACTCATACAGGAGAGAAACCTTATAATTGTAGCCAGTGTGGGAAAGCCTTCTCCCAAAAATCACAGCTCACATCCCATCAGAGGACACATACAGGAGAGAAACCATATGAATGTGGTGAATGTGGTAAAACCTTCTCCCGGAAGTCACATCTGATATCACATTGGAGAACACACACAGGAGAGAAACCCTATGTCTGCCATGAATGTAAGAGGGCCTTTAGTGAAAAGTCCAATCTTATTAATCATCAGAGAATCCATACAGGAGAGAAACCTTTTGAATGCAGAGAATGTAGAAAAGCTTTTAGCAGGAAGTCACAACTCGTTACACATCACAAGATTCATACAGGAACAAAACCTTATGGATGTAGTGAATGCAGAAAAGCCTTCTTTGAGAAATCAGAGCTTATGAGACATCAGACAGTTCATACTGGAGAGAAGCCCTATGCATGCAGTGAATGTCAGAAAGCATTCCGGGAGAGGTCAAGTCTCATTAATCATCAGAGAACACACACAGGAGAGAAACCTCATGGATGCATTCAGTGTGGAAAAGCTTTCTCCCAGAAGTCACATCTGATATCACATCAGATGACACATACGGGAGAGAAACCCTTTGTATGCATTAAGTGTGGGAGGGCCTTCAGCAGGAAATCCCAGCTGGTTCGACACCAGAGAACTCACACGGGAGAAAAGCCCTATGAATGCAGTGAATGTGGGAAAGCTTTCAGTGAAAAGTTAAGCCTCACTAATCACCAGAGAATTCACACAGGAGAGAAACCCTATGTGTGCACTGACTGTGGGAAAGCCTTTTGTCAGAAGTCACATCTCGTATCACATCAGAGGACACATACAGGGGAGAAACCCTATGAATGCACTGAATGTGGGAAAGCCTTTGGAGAGAAGTCAAGTCTTGCAACTCATCGGAGAACCCACACGGGAGAAAAACCTTATGAATGCAGGGACTGTGAGAAAGCCTTCGCCCAGAAATCACAGCTTAATACTCACCAAAGAATTCACACAGGAGAGAAACCCTATGAATGCAGTCTTTGTCAGAAAGCGTTCTTTGAGAAGTCAGAGCTAATTAGACACCAGAGAACTCATACAGGAGAAAAACCGTTTCAATGCAGTGAATGTCAAAAAGCCTTCAGGGAGAAATCAAGTCTCATCAATCATCACAGAATACATACAGGAGAGAAACCGTTTGAATGCAACGATTGTGGCAAAGCCTTCTCCCGGAAATCACACCTGATACCACACCAGAGGACACACACAGGAGAGAAACCCTATGGGTGCACTGAATGTAGGAAGGCATTCTCTCAAAAGTCACAGCTGGTTAACCACCGGAGAATTCATACCGGAGAGAAACCTTATCAATGCAATGACTGTGGGAAAGCCTTCTCCCAAAAGTCACAGCTCATTAACCATCATAGAACTCATACCAGAAAGAAATCATAGACATTAAGTTAATATAGACAGTTTATAAAAAACCCTGGTTTATAAGTATTCAAAGGCAGTACCACAAAATTTCCATTCTGACTCATGATATACTGAGTGAGCAAAAGGAAGGAGGTGTGTGACCATTTTACTCTGCATTCAGACAATGTGACAATAGAGCTGTACAAAATCTAATTTTTTAAAAATCTGTCCATGCATAAAATATATGTAAAGAGTTTTGTAGCCGAAACCGGTTTGGCTCAATGGATAGAGCGTCGGCTTGGGAACTGAAAGGTCCCAGGTTCGATTCCAGTCAAGGGCATGTACCTTTGTTGCGGGCATATCCCCAGTAGGGGGTGTGCAAGAGGCAGCTGATCTATGATTCTCTCTCATTGATGTTTCTAACTATCTCTCTCCCTCTCTGTAAAAAATCAATAAAATATATTTTTTAAAAAAAAAGAGTTTTGTAAACTAAGTATAGCTTTCATTTTAATTTATTATGATGGAACATGGATTCTGTGAGTTGCTATTTTTTGGTATTAGAGAAAATACTTTAAAATTAATTTTCCAAAATTTTTGTTTTTAGAGACGAAGGGGAAGATATATTGATGTATTGTTATTTTCTTGTTTTTTAAATGTTATTTATAGATTTTAAAAGGAGGAAAAAAAAGTGAAAAACAGATTTGTTGTTTGTTATTTATGCATTCATTGGTTGCCTGTATATGTCCTTAGCAGAGATCAAAGCTGCAACGTTGGCCTATCTGGGTGACCAATGTTCCTGATATTTTCTTACAGATAATGTGTTGAAATTTTGGGAGCAGGATGTTTATTGAGGATCAATAAACTCACACAAAATTAGATTTATCTGTATTAAAAAGTAGAATGTAGGTAATTAGTCATTTGATAACTATGCTTGGGACCACAGTAATTTGTTATGCCATTTATCCCATAAATATACGAGTATACCCAGTTTGTCAGTTTTATTGTGCTTGTTGGTTTATAAATACAGTACTTCTAAAAACAAACAAAATATTGGCTGGGACCGGTTTGGCTTGGGATAGAGCGTCGGACTGCGGACTGAGGGGTCCCAGATTCAATTCCGGTCAAGGGCATGTACCTTGGTTGTGGGTACATCCCCAATAGGGGGTGTGCAAGAGGCAGCTGATCAATGACTCTTATCGATGTTTCTAATTCTCTATCCTTCTCTCTTCCTCTCTGTGAAAAATCAATAAAATATATTTTAAATAAATGAATAAATAAATAAAAACAAAATATGGTACCAAGCTTTCAGATGGCAGTAGGCAGCTGATGGATGTTTCTCTCTCACTGATGTTTCTATCTCTCAATTTCTCTCTCTCTCTGGGGGGAAAAAAATCAATAAAATATATTTAAAAAAACAAATAGGAAACTTGCTCTTTTCTCTGTCAGTGAAGTGTGTCACCATTGCGGATCAAGAGCACCCAGTTGCTGGAGGGTCGCTGCTAATGGTGATAGGTCGTTACTGATTCCAAACTATGGCATCCACATCACGTGTTTTCCGCATCTGAGGGGGGACCTGTCGCTTCCACCCCCTGGCAGCAAGGCTGCTCCACAGGCCACGAGGGTCTCAGGGATACCAGTCCTCAGAGGTGAGGCATTCCAGTTACAGGTTTTCCACTTGAAATTAATCCCTTTGCAAACAAGTTCACTCTTTTGCAAAGCAATATTCACCCTTTTTGGGAATCATATTCCATTTGGGTTGAAAATAGAGTGAAGTAACACAATAAAGTCGTTTTTTCCTGATTGCATTCTTGGTTAGGGCATGCTTTCATGCAACTGTATAGTTGCACAAAGTCTGAAACGATACAGGGACGTGCTGGGACTGCAGTGGGTTCTGGGAATGATAGTTGTGTGAAGGTGGAACTTTGGGTCTTGGGTTGCTGGGGCCTTGCTGCGTTCAGATAATTGTGGCTTCTGAGGATAATGGCCTTTGTCTGGAGGAGCCATCACGCCCCCTGCGTGGCTTTCTGGGAGTTTTTGTCTTTTCTGGGATCTAGCCTTTTTTCTCCCTGAGCACTGAAGCCGCTGTGTATCCTGGGAAATGTAGTCGTCTGAGGATCGAGGTCAGACTGCTTCGTTCCGGGTGTTATCGTCTGTGTGACCGAGAGCCTTTTTCCTGGAAGCGTGCTGAGGCTAGGGAATCCTAAAACGCAGTAGTCTGAGGCTCCCAGTGTTTCGTCACTGCTGGCGTGGGCAGTTCTGGGAGTTGTAGTGCGTGATGGGATGTCCGATTTCAATGAAGCGTTGGGGCCGCGGTGTGTCCTGGGGAATGTAGTTCTCTGAGGACAGCCTCTTCCGTTTCTGCAGGCGTGGGGAGTTCTGGGAGTTGTAGTGTGTGACGGGGAGCCTTCTTTCCAGAGGGCGCTGAGACAGCGGTGGGTCTTGGGAAGTGTAGTTGTCTGAGGCCCGGTGTGTCTCTCGCTCCTGGGCGGTTGTGGGAGTTGTAGTGTGTGACGGGGAGTCTTCCGCCCACGCGCGCTGAGGCAGCGGAGTGGCCTGGGAAGTGCGGTTGTCCAGGGCTCTCGGCCTGGTCCGGGGGGTCCGGTCCCCGGTGCTCCGGAAGGCGCCGCGTGAACTCCAGGGCGCCCAGTGGAGTCTGGGCTTCTTGGGCCAGAGGTGGGTGAAGGCGCCCAACCCGCCTGCGTAGGGATCCCAGCCTGCTGGCCTGGGCCGGACCCGTCCGGAGCCCGGAACCCTCTGGAGGCCGGAACCTTCCGGAGTCCGGACCCTGGAGCCCTCCGGAACCGGAGCCGGAAACGTCCACGCTGCCGGAATAGCAGAGGAAGTGCCGGTCCTGGGCCCCTGGCTAAGGTGCATGGTAGGCGGTGCAGGTCCGGCCGGACTCCTGGCCTGAAGGAGCCCTCGCGGGCGCCCGGGGCTGCTGGGTTCCCGGTCCCCGCGTGACGAGGCCGGTGGACGCGGAGCCACGGGAACGCCCTGAGGCCTCCCTCCTGCCAGCGCTCCCGGTCCACACTGCTGCCCTCCTCGGTCCCGCGGGAGCCATGTCTCGGGTGAGCGGTGCCTCCTCCCTGTCATCCCTTAGGGACCCCTGCCCGCCTCGCTCTTCCTCCGGGGCCCGGTTCGTAGGGGGGTGGAGGAGGGCTGACGGGAAGCTGTTGCCGGGTGGGCAGGTGTGTTTTAGGGTTGAAAGGGGGGAGCCATGCTGAAACCGGTGTGGCTCAGTGGATAGAGTGTCAGCCTGTGGACTGAAGGGTCCCAGGTTCGATTCCGGTCAAGGGCATGTACATTGGTTGCGGGCACATCCCCAGTAGGGGTTGTGCAGGAGGCAGCTGGTCGATGTTTCTTTCTCATTAATGTTTCTAACTCTCTATCCCTCTCCCTTTCTCTCTGTAAAAAATGAATAAAATATATTTTTAGAAAAAAAGTGGGGAGCCAGCTGTATTCTCCCTCTCTCTCTCAGTATTCGAATGAGAAGCGCTTTATTCCTTTATGCCGTGTCTCTTGCTCCAACCGCCATTCATTCATTCATTCATTCATGTATTCGTCATATTCACATGGAGCATCTACGTGCAGCGTCTGTATCTGGTCTCAAAGGGTGACCCCTGGACTCTCAGTATGAGCGTCGCCTGAGAGCGCATTAGACATGGATGTTTCTGAGCCCGCCCCCCAAGACCTCCTAAGCCAGAAGATGGGCGTCTGGTTAACAGCCCCTCCCTCCTAGGGGTGCAGCTGTGAGCAAGATAAAATCTCTGAACTCAGAGCTTATATTTCAGACTTGACATTCAGTGTCTTTCGCAAGGAGCACTGGGTATTTTTGTGTCTAAACGCCTGCCTGGCAATCGTACTTCTCAGAGGGTAAATAAGAAGGTCGGCCATCCCACATTAGCCCCTCTGCTTATAATTCCACGTCTCTTTCACTTTTTGTCATACTTGTTTCCAAACCCAGAGGTTTGCTGGGGAGTCCGACTTCCACCCGAGTTGCATGTCCCACCATTTACTCCAGGAAGCAGCTTCTTTCTCTGTGACTCCATAGTCTTTATCACCTAAAATAACATTGTTCAGTGTCAAGTATAACTCGGCAAACTCATTAGTCAACAGAGGCAACTATCAACAGGACGATTGGAATTTCTTTTGATAGCCAAATTTTTCACACTTAAACTTCTTCAAAATGGACTTGCCCAGGCCATGGTATTTTGTGGAAGAGCCACACTCCAGGGGCCAAAGAGCCGCGTGTGGCTCGTGAGCCACGGTTTGATGACCACGGGTATAACTTATAAACTTGCCACACATTTGAGGCTACTGGTGTAGGGCCTTTTAACATTCTTTTTCATGCCTAACAGTTACATGGGTCACTCAAGTGGTCAAAACCAGGCCTTCTTGTTCCCGCTAACCTTGAGGGTAAAAGCACTGGGTTCTGGCCCTAGCTGGTTTGGCTCAGTGGATAGAGAGTTGGCTTGAGAACTCAAGGGTCTCAGGTTCGATTCCAGTTAAGGGCATGTACCTTGGTTGCAGGCACATCCTGAGAAGGGGATGTGCAGAAGGCAACTGATTGATGTTTCTCTCTCATGGATGTTTCTGCTTCTCTATCCCTCTCCTCTCTGTAAAAAAAATCAGTAAAATATATATTTTAAAAATTCTCACCTGAGGGCATTTAAAGAAAACAAAAACCCAGCACTGGGTTCTGTGCTGAGATGCATTGCAGTCCCACCCGGGAGACCCTGATACTTTGGGGCTTATTCTCCTTGTTCTGTGCCGTCTCTAAAACACTGTTTCACAACTGTTTCTTCAGGAATGGGAGGAGTGTGATAAGCCTGAGGTGCACGCCTCACTTCAAGGGTGTTGCTGCTGTCTGCTCTAGCCAGTTGTTATAAAAAGGAAATTCTTGCCAAATTATGTTAAAAGAGGCTGCTATTTTTAAAAATATATTTTATTGATTTTTTACAGAGAGGAAGGGAGAGAGATAGAGTCAGAAACATCAATGAGAAACATCTATCAGTTGCTTCCTGCACACCCCCTGCTGGGGATGTGCCTGCAACCAAGATACATGCCCTTGACGGGAATGGAACCCAGGACCCTTCAGTCCGCAGGCCGACGTTCTATCCACTGAGCCAAACCAGTTAGGGCAAGAGACTGCTATTGAGGACACTCTCCAATGACTGTTAAACACAAAGGAATTGTCTTCACTCTTCATTCGTGAAGTGATGTGAGCCCTTAAGAGTTTTTACATCCAAAGCCAGAGATCCACATTTCCTTTACCTTTCACAAAACTGTGAAATACGCCAGGACATATCACATGGAGTATCTTTTCTCGTTTTCTCCATTATACAGCAGAACAAATTAGCTCTACTCTTAGTTATACTCTCAGTGGCCACTGAGAATTTTGTCCACCCTCCTCACTGCAGTCATTTCCCTCCTGGGTCAGGCTTGGTGCCATTGACAGACCTCCCCTGTCCCTTCAGGGGTTGGTGACGTTCAGAGATGTGGCCATTGACTTCTCCCCGGAGGAGTGGGCCTGGCTCCAGCCGGCTCAGCGAGACCTGTACCGGCACGTCATGCTGGAGAACTACGGCCACCTGGTCTCCCTGGGTGAGTGCTCCTCCCCTCCTGCAGCTGGAACTTGGTGTAGGTGGTGGTGGGAATCCTCATTAACTGGCTGAATAGTCCCAAGGGAGGTATGCCATTTGTTAAAATTATGTTGTGGGGTTGTGTTTAATTTTTCAGACTTTATATTTTTATTATTGACACTATTACAGATGTCTCCAATTTCCTCTCCTTTCCCCACCTGCACCCAGGCCCGCAGGCCATCACCTCACTTAGTCTGTGTCTGTCGGTTATTACTACTTGTTAAGTCAAATGGGCATTGTAACTCCACCTAATCTTTAGACACCTTTCATACCTAAATCTGGCATTTCTTTTAATGGTCCCTCTTTTCTGAGGACTCAAGAACTGATTCTGAATTTATTTTATTTCCTGCAAGCAGGTCTTCACATTTCCAAGCCAGATGTGGTTTCCTTACTGGAGCAAGGGAAAGAGCCCTGGCTGGGGAAAGATGTCAAAACAGATTTCTTTCCAGGTGAGTGAGTGAGTGAGTTTCCCCTCTGCTATGCACTTCCTGCTGTGTCTATCTTTGCAGCCAAGCAACAAAAAGATAGAAAAAGAAAAAAATGGGGTGTCCCCTTTAAATGGGCATTACATGTACGTTTGTGAGCCATCAAATTTTGTGAAGCATGTAATGTTTGTGTCTAGATTCATTTTTATGTATGTGTATTTACAGGGGTTTTTTTTAGCATTATTTAAAAAAAATATTTCTGCCGAAACCGGTTTGGCTCAGTGGTAGAGCGTCGGTCTGCAGACTGAAGGGTCCCGGGTTCGATTGCAGTCGAGGGCGTGTACGTTGGTTGCGGGCACATGCCTGGTGAGGGGGTGTGTAGGAGGCAACTGGTCGATGTTTCTCTCTCATCGATGTTTCTGGCTCTCTATTTCTCTCCCTCCCTCTCTTTAAAAAATCAATAAAATATATTTTAAAAAAATATTTCTATGGATATCAGAGAGGAAGGGAGAGGGAGAGAGATACATCAATGATGAGAGAGAATCATAGATTGCTGCCTCCTGCACACTCTGTGGTGGGGGATCGAGCCCACAACCCGGGCATGTACCCACACTAGGAATGGAACTGTGCCCTTCTGAGATATTCTGGTTCATTAGTTGACGCTCAACCACTGAACCATGATGGCTGGCTTCAAAATGAATTTTACTTTTTTAATCTCCTCTGAGGATATTTTTCCACTGATTTTTATTTATTTATTTACTTTTTTTTTTTTTTGAGAGTGGAAGACAGGGAATGATAGAAATATCTATGTGAGAGAAACACATCAATTGGTTGTGTCCTGCACACGCCCCACCAAGGCCCGGGCCAGGAAGGAGCCTGCAACCAAGGTACATGCCCTGAACCAGAATCAAACCTGGGAACCTTCAATCCACAAGCCGATGCTCTATCCACTGAGCCAAATCAACTATGGTGAAAAATGAATTTTTTAATGTGTAAACTTCCATAAAAGTTGTAAAGCTAATACAAAGAATACCCATATGTTTTTATTTATATTTACATACCGCTAACATTTTGTTCCATTTTTTAAATAAAATGGAACAAAATGTTAGCGGTATGTAAATTTAAATAATTTCGTATTTTTTTTTCTGGAGCTATTTGAGCATAAGTTGTGTACATATCCATAAGAATAATGATATAAAAGTATATACTAGTACACTTAAAAAATATATTATTTTAAAATTGGGTTCTTCCCAAGTGATAAAGTCTCTTTAAAATTTAGCCTTGTGCGGCCAGGCCCGGAGCAGCGGCTGCCAGGCTGGGAGCGGCCAGGCCCGGGGGAGCAGGCGGGTCGGGTGTGGCCAGGCCCGGAGCAGCGGCTGCCAGGCTGGGAGCGGCCAGGCCCTGGGGAGCAGGCGGGTCGGGTGCGGCCAGGCCCGGAGCAGCGGCTGCCAGGCTGGGAGCGGCCAGGCCCGGGGGAGCAGGCGGGTCGGGTGCGGCCAGGCCCGGAGCAGCGGCTGCCAGGCTGGGAGCGGCCAGGCCCTGGGGAGCAGGCGGGTCGGGTGCGGTCAGGCCCGGAGCAGCGGCTGCCAGGCTAGGAGCGGCCAGGCCCAGAGCAGCAGCAGCCAAGTCCAGAGCAACTGCCGGGAGCGGCAGTGACCAGACCCGGAGCAGCTGGTTGTGGAACGAACCAGAGCAACAGAGGCCAGGCCCTGAGCAGCCAGGCCCGGAACAGCTCGCTCCTCGCCTGCCCCTGCCCCACGGCTGCTTCTCAGACATGGCTGGAAACTTTCGTGGGAACTTGAGGGTCTGCTGAATCAAGTGATGAAGGCTTAGATCTGGATGTGTTGAGTTAGTATAGGGCTGGGGTGTTGATCTGTGAGTGCCTTGGGTGGGGCCTGGATGAGGCTGGTGGACCTATTGGGAAATGTCTTTTGTGTGAAGTGTATCATTGGGCATGTGGAGGTATTATTGATTTGAGAAAATGCTAAGTAACTGATTTACTATCTGAAAAGGGATTTACTATTGGGGAAAGGGAGGGAAGAAGAGACTGAACATAAACTGCACCTATGGATGAGGACAATGGGGGATGGGGAGGGGGCGGAGAGTGGGGTGGGAACCTGGTGGAAGGGGGAAGAAATGAGGAACCTTTGTAATAATATGAACAATAAAGATTGATAAAAAAAAAAAAATAAATAAATAAATAAAGTAAAAAAAAAAAAAGTAAAATAAATAAATAAATAAATAAATAAATAAATAAATAAATAAATAAATAAAATTTAGCCTTGTGCCCTGCCAATGTGTTCTGTGCTTGGAGCGTTGGCCCATGCACCAGAGAGTCTTGGGTTCAATTCCCCAGTTGGGACACATGCAGGAGGCAACTAATTAATGTGTTTCTCACATCAATGTTTGTTTCTCTCTCTCCCTTACCCCCCCTCGGCCCTCTCTCTCCTTCTCCTCTTTTACTCTCTAAAAATCACTGGAAAAAATATACTCTGATGAGGATTAACAAAACAAAAATTAGCCTCGAGAAAATGGGGGCTTATGTTGGTCTATTAAAACCATCTGATAGAAAGACTGTTATACCAAAGTTAAGCTTCAGATATCAGTTTGTTAAGTAGAGTTAGAGTGAGCATCATAGAGGATGGTTTTCAGAGAAATATCTTTACTTATTTAGAATAAGTTGCTGTAAGATGTTCCAAAAGCACTAGGGGAACAGTCGGATGTGTTTGTGGGATCTAAGGAGCACTTGCAGTTTTGTTATCACTATAACGTTTTCGTTTTCACATCATTCTGGCAGCAAGTAACTGGACGTGAGGAAGACGGTAACAACTCTTCCTTCCCAAGTACTTACCTTCTTCATAGTTCTGTTTTTCCCTCACTTTCCTTTACTTACATTTAATCTTTCTCTCTAGTCACCTAAATCTCTCCTCTCTCTGATGTCTCCTGAATTTCTGGGCAGAATGCCTAGATTTCAAAGTCACTTATGACAAATATGAAAACAATGAAGTAATAATTTTTTTCCTCCGAAACCGGTTTTGCTCAGTGGTAGAGCGTCGGTCTGTGGACTGAAAGGTCCCAGGTTTGATTCCAGTCAGGGGCATGTACATTGGTTGCGGGCACATCCCCGGTGGGGGGTGTGCAGGAGGCAGCTAGTCAGTGTTTCTCATCAATGTTTCTGGCTCTCTATCTCTCTCCCTTCCTCTCTGTAAAAAATCAATAATATATAATAAATAATAATAATATTTTTTTCCAATTTTAGTTCTCTCACTAAAAAAGGAAAAGTGGCTTTTATTTTACTCCGTGCAGAAAATAAGAAACCTTGCTTTGCTTTTTTTTCTTGTTTCAGAGTCAAATGGTGATATCAGGAAATTTTCTCCAAAAGATGTCATATATGAAGATGACTTATCCCAGTATTTGATAAAGGAGAGGAATCTGAACCAAGGCCCTGAACCCAGTTTTAAAGGAGGTTGGAAATACGAGGATGTTACTGAGATGCTACAAAGAAGTCAGGGATGTATCAGGCAAGTGACAGTCTCTCATCGAGAAGCCCTGACTCCACGTGGTGTCAGTACCGTGGAGAGGCCCTTTGGGTGCCATGAATGTGGGAAAACTTTCAGTCGGCGCTTTTCCCTGGTGTTGCATCAGAGGACTCACACAGGAGAGAAGCCATATGTCTGTAAGGAATGTGGCAAAACCTTTAGTCAGATCTCAAACCTTGTGAAACATCAGATGATACATACTGGAAAGAAACCCCACGAGTGTAAGGACTGTAGTAAAACATTCAGTTACCTTTCATTCCTCATTGAACACCAGAGGACACATACTGGGGAGAAACCCTATGAGTGTACTGAATGTGGAAAGGCCTTTAGCCGTGCTTCAAACCTCACTCGACATCAGCGAATTCACATGGGAAAGAAACAGTATTTATGTAGGAAATGTGGGAAAGCCTTTAGCAGTGGTTCAGAACTCATCCGTCACCAGATTACCCACACTGGAGAGAAACCTTACGAATGCACTGAATGTGGGAAGGCGTTTCGCCGTTCTTCACACCTTACCCGACATCAGAGCATTCACACCACCAAAACCCCCTATGAATGTGCTGAATGTAGGAAAGCCTTCCGTTGCCACTCCTTCCTTATTAAACATCAGAGAATTCATGCTGGAGAGAAGCTCTACGAATGTGATGAATGTGGCAAAGTTTTCACTTGGCATGCATCCCTCATACAACATATGAAAATTCATACCGGAGAAAAACCCTATGCCTGTACTGGATGTGACAAAACCTTTAGTCGGAGCTTTTCCCTCATTCTACATCAGATAACTCATACTGGGGAGAGGCCCTATGTATGTAAGGTGTGCAATAAATCCTTCAGCTGGAGCTCAAACCTTGCCAAACATCAGAGAACGCACACTCTGGGGAATCCCTGTGAATATGAAAATTCATTTAGTTTTCACTCAATCCTTACTGAACACCAGGGAATTCATTCTGTTGAGAAAACCTAAAGATGTTTGCATTTAAAAATATACCAGCTAATGCCTTACTTTGATTTCAGTGCCTTATGTGAATGTGTTAAGGTGTGAAGAATGGCAAAGCCATGTAATCCATGCCTGGAGAAAAACCCCAGGAATATGTGGGAAAGTTATTAAAGCTTTTTTTTTTTTTTTTGTAATGTCAGAAAGTGCATTCACTCATTATGGAGAACTCTTCCTCTCGTAGGATTTCCTTGCTCTACATTTATAAACTTCTGCCAGGAAAGGGATACAAGTGCAATGCAAGTGAGAAAGCTTTTAGTTAGAAATTTGCTCTCCCCCTGCATTGTTAATTCAAGCACAACAGAATCATGGGTAAGGGCACACTTTTTCCTGGACATCACACAATTCATAATGCAGCAGTCATACATATAAGCAATGATTTGGGAATGCTTCTTTTTTAAATTTTAAAATACTCTCTTAAGGAAAAAAAAGCAACCCTGTAAATGAATTGGTTATAGGTTGACTTTATGCAATATTTTAAATATATAGAATTATACTGGGGCACCATTATAATGGGTAGAGTTTTGAGAGGGCGTAGAGGAAATATCAGTGTGGGAATTTTTTTTTAATTACTGAGAGAATCTTTGTTTAGCTTTTTAAAAAACATTCAAAAGAGAGCTATAAATCTTTTGATATTCTGAAAACTCAAGTATCACAATATTGACAGCAAGAATAGTTTTTTTTTTTGTGGAAACAATCGTAAAAACATTTTCAGGTGTCTTATGGTTTTAACTGAGATAGTGTTTGGACTTAATGTTATGCTAACTCATGTTTATCCTTTAATGTGAATAGACATGTGTTAGTCAGAAATAAATGTAAGTTATATCACAGGAAAATGCCAAGGTAGTGTTCCTCTTTTGTTGCATTTACAGTGAGAACATTTATTTGTAAGTCCATGCTTGTGAAAATAAACCATATTATGTTCACTTTGTACACCTTGCCCATTTTTTAATGTCCCAGGTAAAAGTTTATTCTATCTTTGAAGCAACTGAGTGCCTCTTGTAAGAACTTTCCTCACATCTAGTGTGACTAAGTGCCTCATTTGTTGTTTCATGTATGTAAATCATTCACAAAAGAAGAGGCTAGCATTTTTCTTCCCCATTCAGTGTGACAACAGAACACTTAGCTGTTGCTGATTAATTACTTGTCTAGAGTGGCCTAATGCCTCAAAGTTGGCCAGACAGTTCTGTTGTCCACCCTCCCTTTCCTGCAGTGTGGCCAGCATTGTCACTTTCCCCAGCACCATGTGAGGTGTGTGTGTATGTGTGTGTGTGGGCGCATTCTGGTGAACAGGAATGTATTGATCATTTCAGAGGTTTGTAACATTGAGTAATGTTGCCACAGGCTTCTCAGGAGGAGCGGGCTGACTAGATCTTGTCCAAAATAATTTATATGGGAATGCAGTATTGGTGAACTATGGGAAACTTTTCTGAGGCGGTTACCATCCCTTCAAACTCAGAATCTGAATGTAGGTACCGTGGCTAGTTCCATAGGCAGTATTAGGGGCTGGGCTCCAAATTGCACAGCTGAATTCCTGCTCCATGTTCTTTCGATGGTTGGAAATGGGTGGAATAGGGAAGTGGATGCATTTCCCCCTGTTCTTGTTCTTGTAACAGCTTTTCTTCCCTTACTAAGAGATTTGGTCTGGAGCTGAGTAAAACGATAATATTTTGAAGTACCTATTTTCTCTCTCTTGTAAGCAGGACTTTATCTTTCTAAACCAAATGTGACCTCCTTATTGGAGCAAGGGAAAGAATGATGGAGAAAAAGAGACAAGAGGTCTACCATCAGGTAAGTGAAGGGCCATCAGGCAGCAAGTGCCTTTATAGGTAGTTCAGCTCACAGATGTATTACCTGAGTCATGTTATCAAAAATAGTAACTTTCTCTTTCCTGCATGCAGCATCATTCTAAACACAAAGACATAATACAAAACCAAAAGATATTTGGGGGGAGGGGGTAATAAGTGGGGAAAAACTTTAAATAATAAATGTAAAACTTTATATAATAAATAAAAAGATAAGTTACAAAATATGACCCAAATCTGCTTCTTTGAAAAGAATAATGTAGATATATATATATGTTGTAGGATGATTAAGAAAATAAAAAGATGGCCTAGATAGGGTATAATTTGAGCTGTGCTTTTTAAAAATTAATAAAAAGTTTTTTAAAGTTAATATGAAAACAGCATGAATAATTTAAGCAAGCTTAAAATTGCAGAGATAATAAATAATTTTTGGGAAAACTTAAGTATCCAAAATTGACTAAGAACTAAAAAACATAAATCAATTAACTATTGTAAAATCAATTGGATCAGAAGTACCCGTAAAGATTTTCATCACAAAACTGTTTTTAAAAAATATATATTTTATTGTTTTTTTACAGAGAAGGGAGAGGGTTAGAGTGTTAGAAACATCGATGATAGAAACATCAATCAGCTGCCTCTTGCACACCCCCTACTGGGGATGTGCCGGCAACCAATGTAACTCTGGACACCCAAAAAGTCCTAAGTACAATATGAATATATTGAATATGGCAGTGTATTAAAGTAGTGCTATATCGCACTCAAGCAGGTATTAACCAAGAATACAAGAGTGGCTGAAAAGTAAAAAGGTATTGTTACTATATGTAATAGTGTAATGAATGCTCTTCTACCCATCGCTCTATTTTGAAAGAGACCTGGAAATGCCATTAATTGTAAGTACTTCAGAATTTGTCTCTGAATAAGAACCTTTCAAAAGTAACCAGAACACCCTAACCAGTGTTTCTCATTGGATAGAGCATCGGCCTGCAGACTGAAGGGACCCAGGTTCCATTCGTTCAAGGACATGTACCTTGGTTGCAGGCACATCCCTAGTAGGGTGTGTGCAGGAGGCAGCTGATGGATGTTTCTAACTATCCCTCTCCTTTCCTCTCTTAAAAAAAATAAAAATAAATAAAATATATTTTAAAAAATAACCAGAACATTATCACACCTACTAAGTTAGCAATTTCTTAACATCAAATATATAGGCAGTATTAAAACTAGTTAAAAAAGTTTTTTCAGCTCATGGGCCACCTGAAGTTCCTACAGTTTTCTTTATTTCTCATACAGTTTTAAGTCTCTTAGGGTTTGCCTTTGACACATCACATGACTGTGATGCCACCCAGGAATGGGTTAAGGGAGGAAAACCTCCTGGAGGGCTCCTAACCGCCCAGCCCTGAGGCGGCGGGCGCCCGCCCAGTTGCCCGTTCCCGCCCTCCGAGGCCGCACCTGGGGGCTGTGCTGGGGCCGCTCCCCACCCGCGCGCGCAGACTTAACGCGTTCCCACCCCGGTTCCCGGCTGCTTCCCTGCTTCCCCGGCAGAGCCCGCCCAGCTCCAGCAGCACTGGCTGCCCGCTCCCCATCATTCCCTTTCCTCCCCTCCCCTCCTCTCCCTTTCCCCGCTTCCCTCCCTCCCCTTCCCTTCCTTCCTCTCCCCTCCCCTCCCTTCCCCTTCCCCTTCCCCGCTTCCCTTCCCTCCCCTCCTCTCCCCTTCCCCGCTTCCCTTCCCTCCCCTCCCCTCCCTTTCCCTCCCTTCCTTCCCCTTCCCCGCTTCCCTTCCCTCCCCTCCCCTCCCTTTCCCTCCCTTCCTTCCCCTTCCCCGCTTCCCTTCCCGCCCCGCGTCCCCTCCCCCCCCCCCCCCCCCCCCGAGTCCACGGGCCCCATCGCGCTCACCTGTCTGGGCACCTGCCTCTCCGCATCCGAACCCCGGGCCGCCGCGAGGAGGGGAGAGGTCGGCCCCCGCGCCCCGGGAGCGCGCTGGGAGAAGGACGGGGGGGGGGGCGCGCTCGGGCTGGGACTACATTTCCCAGGAGCCCCCGCGCCGCCTCTCGGAGGGATTGTGGGATCGCGTCCCCCCGCAGCTCCGGACCGAGGGGCCGCGGCGCGGGACGGGAGGTGCGGGTCGCCAGGTGCGCGGGGTCCGGGCGGCGGGGCCTGGGGGAGCGGGGTGCGCGTGGAAGGGATGGCAGGGGCGTGGGGGGACGCCGGTCCGGCTCCGCCGGCCGAGGCCGGGCGCAGCGGGACGGGGCTCCGCCTGTGTCGGGGTCGCGCCCCGCGGCGCCTCCGGCCCCGGTCTCCCGGGCGGTGCCTGCGATGGCGGCTCCGAGCCGTTAGCGAACAGCTTTCCTTACGGGCTTCCCCGAGGAAGGGACTCCTCCCCGACACCTCCTCCTCTTTCCTTTCCCGGTTCCTCCTCCGGGGGCGCGGGGGCTCCCCTCTGGCCAATCCGCCCGCGGGCCGGTCCGGCGGCCTCCCGCGTCCCCGGCGGCGGGGCCTCCTCCTGGGAGAGGAGGGCGTCTCTGAAAAGCTCCGGGTCTGTTCCCGGGAGAGATCCGACGTGGCTGCCCGTTTGCTCGGTGTACAGGGTGCCCTGCAATGTGTGCCCGTTATAAAGGAAGAGCTTGCTAACACACTTCATTTTCCAAATGGAAAGGAGCCTAAACCACCAGCTGTCCCTGTGTATGTCACTGGGTTGTATAGACCCGAGGACAGTGTGGAGTCACGTGCTAGCCCCATGGTGACCTACATCTGCTCTCAGACTTTTGGTGGCCGGCAGGGCGGACAGATTTCTGCGTACCAGTTTGGTCTGAAACATTCATTTAAAATGTCAGTCATTAATATTTTAAGTGTTCAAGATCAAGCAGTTGCCCTTTGCAGATGCCAAATACTCATGAGTTTATTCAGAGTGTAAACAGATTATTTATCTCCTCCCCCCCCCGCCCCCCCCGTTCTCCTTCATTAGGAAGTGTGTACTTCGTGGCTGTCGTGACTCCGTGGTTGAGCGTGGACCCAGGAGGTCCGGGTTGGACTCCCCATCAGGGCACATGCTGGGCATGCAGGAGGCAGCCAGGGGCGGTCTGCTGTCGGATCTTTCTCTCTCTCCATCCCTCTCCCTTCCTCTCTGAAATCAATAAAAAAAAATATTTTTTTAATACATTAAAAAGAAAATAACATATTAAAGAAAAGCACAAAACAAATGCCCCATACCCTGAGTGAAGGATTGTCCCTGACGAGGCCTTGCTGGTAAGAATGGGTCTTGTGGCTGGTGTCAGAGGCCCCTTTGTTCTCTCTGTTCAGCCCATGGTGCTGCGTGTACTGGGTACCATGGGAGCCGAGAGGAAGAAACACGACACCAGCCCAGAGAAATCGGAATGGCACAGGAAGGGAAGACACTGATCCTTCAGGCTGTATTGGGTTTTTGCAAGAGGCAAGAAAGGGAACAGCATTCCTGACATAAGAACAGCATGGGTTATCATGGTGATGGGAGGAAGTGTGGGTAGTGTGATGGAACATTTAGGGCCAGTGAGGTAGACGGAGAATGTCCCAACCCAAAAAATCCATGCTAAGGAATCCCTCAATTTCCCTGTCTGTCCTGGGAGACCAGCAGAGAATCGAGGAGTGAAATTGATGTTTTACAGAAATGATACTGATGTAGACACTCACTGTAGTGGGAGAGGCAGAAGCAGAAAGCCACTTTGGATGTGTAAGTCGAGAATTCCAAGGCTTGAACCAAGCATAGCAGCAGGAATCTAGGCATAGTGTTTAGGAGAGGAAGTTTACAGGATGTAATGACTGACTGGGTGTATTGAAAACAAAGTGGAGGAAGGCACTGCCACTGCTGTGCGGTAGCTGCCCCATTTTGCTGTTGCTGTTCATTTGAGAAGGAACGTGTCTTATAGGGATGGTGTTCCAGAGTGGGAAGGAATTGCTGCATGAAAGGGAGAGGGGTGAGACTCGGAGTGGCATGACATGTTTATAACTGACAAGTTGGAGGCGTTCCTCAGCCTCTTTCACGGTGTTGTGACCTGCTGTCTCAGAAAGTTTCAGGCTGCACGCTGGCTCCTTGGGCGAGTTCTGCACGTGCCATGCAGGGTCCAGCCGGCTCTTCCCACAGTGTGAGCTGAACAGGCCGCCTTTCCTTTGACATCTAGTTCTCCGCTTCAATCTTCTCCACTTGGTTTTGCTAACGTCTTACATGGCATCTTTTATTACTTTAAGGGATGAAAGTCTTTCAAAACTTGAAATAAAAAGTAAAATAATTTTACTTCCTACATTCACATGGAAAATAACGAATTGCCAGTCATCTCTCTCTAGAGCAATGGCTAATAGTACGAGGAGATAACTCAGGAACAGCCAGGTGCGAGTGCTGCGTAGGACAGCGTGTGGAAGGGTCTTCCCTGCATCAGCACATGTTCACCAACAGGAAGAAGCTCCCAATTGTTTTCTTAATTAACAAATAATTCTCACCCCGTGTCTGGCAGTGTTCTGTTCAATATTTACAAATAAAGATCATAGTGACCCTGTGAAGTAGGCACTATTTTATTCCCAAGGTATAGATGAAGATACTGGGAGATTAAAAGGTTAAGAAACGACCTCGTCAGTCATGGAGCCGGTTTTGGAACCCAGGTGGTCTGGCTGTAGAAGCCATACTGTGTGCCGCCATAGTTGAGGTCAGGGACAGGGATAGAAGAAATTGTGGTCTGTTGGTTGTAGACAGTTGGTCCCATGGTTTGCCCTACGATGGGATAGACTGGGTACGAAGCAAGTAGGTGTGTTGTGCCCTGAAGATACCCTGAGCATCATTGAAAATAGAGACTTGAAAAGACCGAGGATGCGATGGTTAACCTAATCGTAATTTTTGAAATAGTTAGAGAAGACTAGGAAGCACCAAAGATGAAAACGAGGAGAAGGAAGCAAAGTAACTAAAGAGCTTCAAGAACAGGTGAGAGTCGAGCAGGGCCCTCTGTAACAGGTGTCACTGATGAGGCTCAGTGGTGTAGGGGGCAGAAGCCACAGTGCTTTTATTTGTGTAAATATGTATAAAATTGAAGTGGAAATTGTTAACATCTCCAGAAAAGAAAGGGGGCAAGTCATACTAAAGAAAATAAAATACTAAAGAACTACAAATGTAGACAAAATAAAAATATTTTAACACAGTAATCAACAGATTGAAATTTAAAATATAGTCTAAATTTAAAACAAGTATAAAATGCAATGTTTATAGACTTCTGCTTCTGATCAAGATGGAGTAACAGGGAGTGGATTTATCTTCTTGCCCAAACAACTCAACAACAAAAAGGCAAAGTACATGAAACAATTGTTTGAAGACACTGGATGTCAGACAATGCAGGACAGTCAACCCTGTAAGATGGAAAACCAACGAGGTAAGCCCTCTGACCGCGAATTGCCTGGAGAGGGTGTGCAGGTGCCAGCAGAGGAGGTGAAGCTGCCATGGAGCCCAGCAGGCTCCCCGCGTGTTGGGCGTGAGCAGTATCTAGAACGCAGTGAAGGGAAAATCAACTGTCTACAGCCAATAGTCAGCAAGAATAGATTTTAGCAGCAAAGGTAAGGCAATGTATTGAATGGGAGGAAGTGTTTTTTATATGTATTGACTTTTAGCGAGAGAGGAAGGGAGAGAGGAACAATAGAAGCATTGATGAGAGAGGAACATCATCAATCGGTTGCCTCCTGCACACCCCCACGAGGGATCAAACCTTAAGCCTGGCAGGTGCCCTGACCAGGAATCAAAGCGGCAATTTCCTGGTTTCTCGGTGGATGCTCAATCACAGCCATATCAGTTGGGTGGGAGGAAATATTTAGAAATCATGTATACCTGATACTGGTTTCATATCCAGAATATTATAAAGAAATACAACCTAACAACAGAAGTCAACCCAAATGTAAAATGGGCAGAGAACTGGAACAGACATTTCTCCAAAGAAGGTCATATAAAATGGCTAAAGCACAGAAAAGTAAAGGGAAAGGCAATCTACATACCGCTTTCTTCCTACTCCTGGGAACTTCCGGAGTATCTCAGGTGTCCTCTGTGGTGGTTTTTGAGTTTATCCTGCTCAGAAGAGGGAGGTCTAGGCTGAGAGCTTATGAAGTGTCCCAGGCACAGCTAACTTTCCTCACATTCTTTCTTTTCTCCAGCTTTGTCTTCTCGGATCTTTCATTACTCAAGAAAGCATCAGCAAGCACACAGAGGGCATGGAAGCCAAGCCATTCACTGCCCGGTTCCCGGTAAGCTGAGCAGCCTTCGGTGTTTGTTTTCCAACTGAGATTCTCTTTTTGTTTAAGTTCTGATGTTCCTTTGCCTAGAACATCAGAACTTAAACTCAGTCAACAGAGCGGCAAATTGCGGCTAATTAGTCTCATGTGACTGGAGAACCATAGTTTGCCAACCACTGGCCTAGACCTTCAGAAATTGTATCTCACACATTCTTCTTCAGGAGACTATCACCATTTGTTTGTTTTATTTGTAGAAATTTTTTAATTTCATATAAAAAAAAAACAACCCTCAAGTTTATGAGCAATGTGGTCAATAGTCAAGTGAGGTAAAATTGAGGAATGAAGCACTTTGTCCGCACTTTTAAATGAAAGTGTTTCTTCCGTTTTAAACCTAAAGCATAGCAGAACTGGTTTTGGGACATTAAGTATCTTTTAAGACTTGATCAGAATCCAACACAAATACTACTGACTCCTAAATAAATTTCCCTCCCCCAAGGCTCTCTGCCTAAGCTCTGTCAGGATTCAGGAAAGGGAGTGCAGAGACACATCTGGCTCAGTACAAACGTGTTTCATGTTGTAGGCAATGGTGACCTTCAAAGATGTACTTGTGAACTTCACCAGGGAGGAGTGGAAGCTCCTGGGCGCTACGCAGCAGGTCATGTACAGAGATGTGATGTTGGAGAACTACCGTAATCTGGTTTCTTTGGGTAAGACTAACCTTTTTGAAGATGCACTGCCTGTGATGGTTTGGGTACTTCATTGACCAAAAGGTGTGAAGATCCTGAAGCATGTAGAAGTATGAGTTTGGGTTCAGGGACCTAATATCTTTGGGGCATAGAATAAAGTTTTTATACTCCTTTTTAGTGGGGGGACATTTTGTTTTGATTTGTTGAATTTATAAAATACACACTTTGCTGCCTCTGTAGCCTTGCCTTATCTGCTCTTCAGAATTCCTTATGGCTGGGGATGGTGTTGAATCTGAGATACTTCTCTGGGTCCAGCTCAGAGTTCTCCAATCCTTATCCAATTTGGTATCTTTCATTGTGAATAGGACATCAACTTCCCAAGCCAGATGTGATCTTCCAGTTGGAAAAAGGAGAAGAACCGTGGCTGTTGGAGAGATGGATTCACCAAGATGCCCATCCAGGTGAGGACCAGACAAGATGCATTGCAGGCATTAGCCTAGATAGCCCAGCTTCCTGGAGATAGTGGTCACTAGTTCTTATTTCTGAGGAATAAGAACTAGTGACCAACTCTTAGCATCCCCATTTTCTCATTTTCACAGAATCATTTTTCTGTCTTTTCCTGTCTTTTACCTTTCTCGTGGTGTATTTTTTTTTTTTAATTATGTAAACCTTTTTAATTTATTTCAGGTTCGGATACTCCAGTTGAAATAAAATCATTTTCCAATAAGAGCATTTCTAAAGATAAACAATCCCATGAAATTAAAAAGGAAGGAATGGCCAAGAGTGATCTGTTGTATCTGTCATTAGAAGAAGTCTGGAAATGTGAAGATCAGTTGGACAAGTATCAGAAAAACCAGGAGAAACATTTGAGGCAAGTGGCATTTGTACAAAAGAAAGTATTTTCTCCAGAAAGAGTCCTTGAATGTGGTAAATTCAGGGAAAATGGTCTTCTTCCTGGTCAGCTAGTACTGAGAGAGTATTTCCATAAACAAGACTCAAGTACTAAAAGTTCAAAAGGTGATTTAGTTATTAGTGGTCATCAAGAAAGCTCTGCAAGTAATAGTAGTGAATGTGGCCAAACCTTCTGTCGGAACATTCACTGTATACAATTTACAAAAACTCAAACAGGAGATAAATTTTACAAATGCCCCAAGAATGTTAACTCTCAAAGTCATAGCACATCCCATGGTATATCCAAGAGCATACATAGAGAAAAACCTTATGAATGTAAGGAATGTGGAAAATTCTTTAGCTGGCGTTCTAATCTTACTAGGCACCGGCTTATTCATACTGGAGAAAAACCCTATGAATGTAAAGAATGTGGAAAATTTTTCAGCCGTAGTTCTCATCTCATTGGACATCAAAAGACTCACACTGGTGAGGAACCCTATGAATGTAAAGAATGTGGAAAATCCTTTAGCTGGTTCTCTCACCTTGTTACCCATCAAAGAACTCATACGGGAGACAAACTCTACACATGTAATCAGTGTGGGAAATCTTTTGTTCATAGCTCCAGGCTTATTAGGCACCATAGAACTCATACTGGAGAAAAACCTTATCAGTGTTCTGAATGTGGGAAATCTTTCAGACAGAGCACACATCTCATTTTGCATCAGAGAACGCATGTTCGAGTGAGGCCCTATGAATGCAATGAATGTGGGAAATCTTATAGCCAGAGATCTCACCTCGTTGTGCACCATAGAACTCACACTGGACTGAAACCCTTTGAGTGTAAAGATTGTGGAAAATGCTTTAGTCGAAGTTCTCACCTTTTCTCACACCAGAGAACCCACACTGGAGAGAAACCATACAAGTGTCATGATTGTGGAAAATCCTTCAGCCAGAGTTCTGCCCTCATTGTGCATCAGAGAATTCATACTGGAGAGAAACCATATGAATGCTGTCAGTGTAAGAAAGCCTTCATTCGGAAGAATGACCTTATTAAGCATCAGAGGATCCATATTGGAGAAGAGACTTATAAATGTAACGGGTGTGGAATTACTTTTGTCAAGAACTCTCCATCTATAGTACATCAAATAGCTCACACTGGAGAGCAGTTCCTAATCTGTAATCAGTGTGAGACATCACTTGGTAATAGCCCTACTTTTATTAAATACCAGACAAGTGGTATTAGAGAAAGTACACATTAATATAATGGGTATGAAAAACTTTTCACCAAGAATAGTAACAGCTTTGTAGAACTCTCCGGAGAGAAGCTGTATAGATGTAATCCACGGGGAAAGCCTTTCAGTCTTGTACTATTTGTTTTTTTGCACTAGAGAAATGATCTTGGCGGGGCGGGGGGACCCCGCAGATTTTACTTTCGTACACAAATACTTGAGATTTTCTTCTTTCCACAACACTCTACATAAGGTATTGGCTCGGAAGCATTTTTGACCAAGTCATAAGTGCTGAAATGTGAGGAGCTGTTAAGTAGGTGAGTTGTTGAGAGATGATCCTGGTTATTTTTTAAAAATAAATAATAATCCTGGCTGGTGAAGCTCAGTGGTTGAGCATTGATCCATGAACCATGAAGTCACCGGTTCAATTCCTGACTGAGCATGTGTTGAGGTTGCGGTCTAGATCACCAGTTTGAGGGGGGATTTGTGGTGGGGTCAGCTGATTGGTGTTCCTCCCATTAATGTTCTATCTCCCTTTTCTTTCTCTAAAAAACATATATGTATAATAAGTATATAAATAAATAATACTACTTAAAAAAGATAAATGAGAATTGTTGCTGAGAATAGACCGTAGATAGTTATTGTAGCAGAAGATGGAAAATAATATTTCAATGAATTAATAATGCTATTTTTACATGATTATCCCTCTTGGATACTTAAATGTTGTTTAGTCTCATTTATGTGTCTGATATAATCACATTTTGGCTAGCTAGGAAAATGGACACAACACATTTACTTCTAGTAGTACTCAGTTTTTAAAACATTTGCATGTGTACAAGAATTGAAAAGGTTTCTATGGATTAAATGAATATAATTTATTTCCTATTTCATTCTGTTTTATTGTCAAATTGTATCCTAATGGGATAATTTATTATAGTTTATTCAGTGTTAATGTAACAATTTCTGGAGAAATAGTTTTAAATGTTAAAAATTGATGTCTAGCTTTTCTATTTCACCTTCAAGGAAGACTGAGAAGCACCTACTAGCAAAATTTCCCATTCAGTTATTTTTATCATAGAGTTTTATTCTTTGAGACGGGTGCTAAAATTTCCTTGGAATTTAAAAAGTGATTCTTTTTACACTGGGACCTGTAGAAACTTTGGGTATTTGAACAAACTAAGGAGGGTCCTCATTTGAGTGGGGAAAAAACCCTGCGTAATACCTGGATCCAGTGTGCTGAGGAAATGAACCACCTAAAAATATCAATACCCAAAGGCACCCACCCTTCTTCCAAAATAGCCTTTGTCTTTATAAAGAAGGCTGTGTGTTGCTCTAGCTGGTTTGGCTCGGTGGATAGAGTATCAGTCTGCTGACTGAAGGGTCCTAGGTTCAATTCCAGTCATAGGCATGTACCTTGGTGGCAGGCATATCCCCAGTAGGTAATGTGCAGGAGGTAGCTGATCAATGTTTCTAACTCTATCCCTCTCCCTTCCTCTTTGTAAAAAATCAATAAAATAAATTTTAAAAATTGATACATTTAAAAGATTTCCCACATACACCAAAAATAATTTTAAAATGCCACTCTTCGCTAACTTGGTTGGGGGGGAGAGGTGGAGAGACTAGGTTTTATCAAAATATATTACTATGTAGTACATTTTTTAGTTATTCAAGTCTAAGAACTTGTACCGAAAAGCATGGACGTTAGTACACTTAACCTATAACACTGCCAATGTAATTCCTCGTGTCACTTAAAGTTTACAGGGCCCGCTCCTGGTGCTGGGCAGGAGAGCCAGAGCTTCCCCTACAGCACAGCCCTTCCCCGCCCTTGGCCCGCGGAGGCTTCTGGGAGTTGTAGTTCATTCTGGCCTCGGTGTCTCTGACGAAGTTCCTGTGCGTCTCTGTGTGCGGTCCGTGGCTCCAGGGGCTCGAGGAGCTTTGTTCCGCTGGGCGGCTGGCAGCCGTTAGCGAGTGAGGGTGCGGTGACGACTCTAGTGGCTTCTCCCCCGGACGCTCCCCCTCCGGCGCTTCAGGGTGCGGAGCGCACCCGCCGCTCCCCTCACTTCCAGGCGCTTTCCCGCGGGTGTGGACGGGGCGGAGGCGGGAGCCGGCGGCGGCCTGAGGCAGGGCCGGTCGGTGCTCCAGCCGTCCCGGCAGCCTCTCCGGTCCCCCCGCGGCGCGGCATGGGCGGCAGGGTGCGCACCGCCGCCGTCTGGGTGAGTCGTCTCCTCTTCTCTGGGGAAAGCCGCCTCGGGCGATGGCAAGGCCCGGATGGGTGACAGATTGCCGCCACGCATCCAGTTACCAAAAATCGCTGCAGTGGAGACATTACTTCACGGGAGCTTGTGGAGGGGTAACTTAGACACCACGGACTCCCTCCTGTAAAGCCCTCATTTGCCGAAACCGGCGTGGCTCAGTGGGTAGAGCCTGTGCCTGCGGAATGAAGGAGCCCGGGTTTGATTCCTGTCAAGGGCATGTACCTTGGTTGCCGGCACATCCCCAGTGGGGGACGTGCAAGAAGTAGCTGATCGATGTTTCCCTCTCATTGATGTTTCTAACTCTCTATTCCTTTTCCTTCCTCTTTGTGAAGTCAATAAAATATATATATATATTAAAAGTCCATCATTTAGTCACGGTTAGAGCAGTGCCCCCCTTTCTCCACGTGGGGGCGGCCACCTGGGCAGCAGGGCCCGTGGGGATGTGCCCGCAACCAAGGTACATGCCTTGACCGGAATCGAACCCGTGACCCCCAGTCTGCAGGCCGACACTCTATCCACTGATCCACACCAGCCAGGGCTAGTATAATGTTGTAAGGTTGCTTTGTGCTGCTCTCAGCCTCAGTCATGATGCTGTTGCCTGGGGTACAGGGAGCACCCCTGGCCTGAGCCACTCGTGTGGAGTTCCACATGCCTTGTCTCTCACGTAAATCCTGGATTTTGTTAACACATTTTTTGGAATAAGCTTCCTCTGTACTCTTCCTTTTTTTTCTTTTCTTCTCCCGCCCCCTCACCCTCTCTGATTATATCTGAGATCCTCTTGTGCTCACATGGCCACAGCTCGGGTGGGCCACTGAGTGACGTTGGGAGCACGTGTGTAGTCCCCTGCAGCTTGGAGCCTGAGGGTGCTCCCGGTTGGGGATGGACATTCATTGGCGACGGGAGAGCTGCCGTGTGTGGCCCATCATGCATCGTCCCTCCTTCCCCACGTTTCCTCTGCAGGGAACTGCCCTCTCTCCGCATTTGGGTCCCACCTGCCTGTCTCCCCAGGTTTGAGGGACCTGTCACCAAGGTGTATGATAGGCATCTGGGCTTTTGCTTTGACCATTTTGGTAGGTCTCTGTCCATCCCTCAGCACCCCTGAACCCTGGGCTGTTTTGGTCTGAACTGTCTGTGGTTCTCCGTTCGCAGGGTACCAGTCCACCAAACCCGATATCATCTTCCAGCTTGAGCAAGAAGAGCTGCGTGCCATGCCGGTCCGCGTTCCAAGTAAAAGCCATGCAGGTGATGATCGGGATGTGGAGATTTTTACATTTTTACTTAGAATTGGTGCGGATTCTGCAGTCGCGTGCCCCTTGTGTTTGTGCTTCTTGTCTCATCTGTAGCCATTCTTTCGCACTTCCTTTCCTCCCTGTCTTCCTCAGTCTTCCTGCTTTCCCATCCAGCAGACACACTTCATTATGCATCTAAGCAGCTTCTCTTCACAGCCCCGGCTTCATCTGGAATGTCAGCCAGAAGGATGTCTGGCCTACTTAGCATATTAAGCTTTTATTATTATTCATTGTTTTAATGATTAGATATTTCATCCATTCTCTTTATATTTTTCAAATTTTTCCTTTTGCCTTTTTTGTCTTGTTTACCCACTATGCAAGACTTTTAAACTCAAAACAATCTCTAATTATTTTCAGTTGCCTATTCCTATCTTTATTTTTAGTTTTCTTTTGATTTCCCCAGTGCCCAGGAGTTTGGTTATATTTACACTTTAGATTTTACATTGTAATATAGTAAAGTAAAACAATCTGATGTCATGGCATTTTAAGGCAATTTTATGCTATAATGTGGTTATTACTTATAACATTTTTATTTCTAGACAAAGTATGGGAATTTGATAATCATACGGAATGGTTTCTGGAAAATCAAGGTAAGCTGGGAAATATGGCAAAATACTATGACTGTACTGCCTTTGGAAAACTGTGTCTTCTTACTACAAATTGTGGTTTTTCAAAACAAAATGTTTATAAATTGTGCACACATATGAAATACAATTATGCTGGAAAGAATCCTAATGGGTTTATGCACAAAGGGAACCATTCTGAACATGAATAAACTTTTTTTGGAATAAAATACTTTGAAAGAAATGAATGTGGAAAATTTATCAAAAAGAAGTCACAACTCATGTGCCCACAAATATATATGGAAGGTAAACACTTCGAATGTAGTTACTGTGAGGTCTTCAGTAGCAAGTCAAACCTTATAGCGCATCAGGAAACTTATGCAGAGGAAAGGCCTTACAAGTGTGATGGATTTGAGAAAGACTTTAGCAGCAAGTCCTACTTCATTGAACATCAGCAAAATCTTACAGGAGAGGAATTATGTGAATGCAGTGAATGTGGGAAAACATTTTGGAACAATTCACAATTTGCTATATATCAGAGAATTAACTCAAGTGAGAATCATTTGAATGCTGTAAATTTTGAAAAGTCTTCAGTAGGAAAGACCAGATTGTTCCACACCAGAGAACTCTTTCAGCACAGAAACCTTATGGTTGTAATGACAGTGGGAACGCTTTGGTTTGCGCTCACAGCTCATTATACACCGAAGAATTCATACGGGAGAGAAACCCTATGAATGCACTGAATGTCAGAAAGCCTGTAATACAAAGTCAAACCTGGCACATCAGAGAGCCCATACAGGGGAGAAACCTTATGGTTGTAGTGAGTGTGGAAAAGCCTCTACTTTCAAATCAGAGCTCATTGTCCATCAGTGCCTTGTCACAGGAGTAAAGCCGTATTGGTGCATTCACTGTGGAAAATTCTT